TTGGCTTGGGGAATCTCCCACTGCTCAAGAAAGTCCTTATTCTGCTCAATTGCGAAGGTGAGACGGCCAAGCAGGTTGAAGAAGTGGTGGTGGCATGGGAGCATACCGTCCATGCTCACCCCAACCGTCCAGTCATTTCTGTGCACCGATTTGGGGAGGTATGATTGGTTTCCTTAACCACTATTAATTGATTGATTAGTTAATATCTAGTACAGGGCCTTCTCAGTTTTAATTTTCCTCTCAAAAATTGCTAACTGATAAGCTTCTTTCTCGGTTAGCCTTTTATATTCCTCAATTTGTACCTGTCTCTTAATTTCAATTTTCAGTTCTTGATGAAAAAAGATGATGGTGATGATGAGGAGGAGATTTTAGCTACGTATGAAGTTGATGGAAGTGATCATGAGGAGGTATTAGAGCAGGTACAATAGCTAGCAGGTTCTACACCGGCGATAAAAAGCTACATAAGCTGCAACGATGAGTTGGCGGAGAAAAGGTACGAGAGGAAGAGTCCCACTCCGGTACTTTCTACTTGTAGTAGAAATTAATCCGAACCGTTGATCATATTTAATCGTAGGGTTGAGATGTAGTTCTACTCCCACCAGATTTTATAGGAGTAGAAATATGGAGGGGTATATATGTCTAGAGGTAAAAATTCGAGTATGGATATTATCGTAATTTGTCTTTATGTAACTCTTCACCCTCCCTCTATCCCTCTATCCTATGTTAATCGACGACGTCATTCCCCATCATCCCTCTCTGTCGCCAGTTCCCCTCCATCCCCGACTCCGTCGCCGTCCATCTCCCTCGTCGCCTCTAGCGCCATCGGCATCTCCTTCCCCTCCAGCGCCGTCGCCTCACCCGGCCTCACCGCCTTCTCCGCCTCCTCCGTCGCCGTCTGTCTTCCCCGCCTGCGTCGCCTTCTCCGCCCCCCTCCGTCACTGTCCGCCTCCCCCGCCCTCGCCGCCTCCGTCGCCTCCTTCATCGCCGTCCGTCTCCCCCGGCCGCGTCGCCTTCTCCGCGCCCCTCCGTCGCCGTCCGTCTCCCCCGCCCTCGCCGCCTTCTCCGCTCCCTCCGTCGCCGTCCGTCTTCTGGCTTATTTATGCTCAAGTGTATGGAGCACTGGAATGGGGATCGGCTGGACAAAGGTTTTACACAGGAACGAATTGATGGGTTTAGAACGAAGCGATAGTGGCAGTCTAATAGTTCACTCTTGTCAATGATATAAGATGACAGATGAGTAGTTAGACATTTAGATGATTTTAATCAAACTCTGGTATGGGATGTTTTTAATGAGTAGTTAGACTTATTTTTTTATTGTTCTTATTTATAACAATTGCAATCAACATACTGTTGCACATAAAGCTCTGATGCCCATCCAACCTGGTCTGGTCCTGTGATATGTGTAGGCAGAAAAGATGTTCTTGAGATATGTCAGAATATTTGTCCAAGGCAATCAGGCCAAACAGAACTGAGGGCAGCAATAATCTTCTGTTATTTGTCAAACAGCAGAGTTCTGGAGATAGGACGGAATCAGAAATCATCATGGATATATTTTCCTGGTCCATAAAGCAAAGCTACAGAATGGGGATTTCAGACCTTCAATGATCATCATGTCAGTGCCATCTGACTCAGGAATTGGCAAATAGCCATTCATGGATGGAGCAACACAGGAGTAGCTATGGCGTCGCACTCGCGACAGGAACAGATCGATCATACGAGTTAATTTAAAAGGAGAGGTTACATCGTTTTAAAATTATTCGCAACAATTCGTTGACAAAAAGAATTTTGTAGAACCAAGGCTAATCACTAGCAGGCTATTACATTGTAGGACCCCCAAGCCATGTACAAAAAGAATCTGGAAAAGAATAGTTCATTAGCTAGGTCTTTTGTTCTCTTGTCGGCAATTGAATCTGTACATGCTGTTGTATAGGTTATTGACTTGAGATCTAGACTTGGCAAAACATCCCGAAAAAATATTTGATGTATTGCAGCTGTATCTTGATCATTCTCGTGTGTAGAACAGCACATAAGCAGCAGGTGTCTTTATACTGTCTTCAGTTATAGGTCTCACACACTCATCATCAAACTTGTACCATCCCTTCCCTTCTTCATGATGTAGAAACCAACCAGCCTTGCTCGTTATCAAGACATTGAAAAAGATAGTCTCAAGCTTATTTCTTGTGAATTGGGTGTACGAGAACCTTTTGAGATGAATGACCAGAACTTCCGGTAGCCTCCACAGATCTAATTTCTTCATCGCTTGTTGATGCTTTTTGCAGCATGGGCAGTACCTGAATGCAAAGCAGAGAAAAAAGTGATTATCAGTTATGCAACAACAGTAAATTCAGAATCCAAAGCAAGCCACGTATTGAGGTAATATTTCCACATCATACATACGCACATCACCCTATTTTGGTTAACAAAAGAAATGAAGATTGCAAAGAAGGCTATTCAATAAGCAGTGAAGCCATAATATCCAAAAGGAACACTACATACTTCAGGCTTATCGAGAAGAATTTAACCATGCATACACACAGCACCATAGCACAAGGTTAAGGCTAAATCAGAGAATACAACAACCAGATGCGATGATGCGGTGCCTGCGAGTCGGGAGCTTTTGCGTCGGACCTGACGCTGGCAGCGCCGACGGCAATTTTCGCCGCGCCGCCACCTGCGATGACTGATGCGGTGCCTGCGTTAGGGGCTTTCGGGGGGGGGGGTGGTCGGGTCGGCAAGCCGCCGGTGGAGTAGATGGGCGGGCGGAGCGGCGGCGGAGGTGGGGGCCGGAGGAGGAGGTCCGCCAGTGATCCGGATCTAGAGCCGACGGCGATTTTCGCCGCGCCGCCGCCTGCTATGACTGAAGCGGTGCCTGCGTCGGGGGCGCGGGCGATATGCCTTTTGTCGGACCTAAGGCGAAAAGATGAGAAAAAGAAATAATCCCATGCCAAAATTAACCCTGACCTGTATTAAGAGATTACTAATCTACCTTTTAAAATAAACGGTCGAGATTAATTCTACTTGCAGTAGAATACTCCAAGTAAAATGCACTGGAGCGTTACTTGAGAGAGAAAAGATGAGCGGATAAAATTGTAGCTTGCAGTAAGTGATACTATTAAACTTGCTCATATAGCACCTTCCCGCAGTGTGCACATATACTACTCGATCCTGCCTGCATAATTAATTTATTAGCTACTGGTCTGTTTCCATGTTCCAGCCAACGAACACAAAACAATGAAAGCATTCCTAGATAGAGATGCAAACAGGCCGACCCACGAATCTACTTATATGTTAAATAAGTAAAGAGTAATTCGTGAGTTTTTATGTCATGGCTTAGTTTGCCGCGTCGTAGAGATGTAGGTGGATTAACCCATAAATCTATTTATAGGTCAAATTAGTAGATAACCCGCGAGTCAACCCACGAGTTACTCACTAATTTTACCTATAAGTGGGTTCGTGGGTTGGCCCTTTTGCATCCCTATTAATCTCAGGTCTCATATGGTAAGTGGTGACCAGCTAGTTTCCTCTGATCGATTCGAAGCAGGATGGTCAGTGCTAGCCAACATTGACAACACAACACATAGCATCACAAATTTACACATAGCATTCCTTTTTTCATTCGGAACTTTTTTCATTCTTTCCTGCTCGTTCTTGTTTTCTATATTTTTTTTCTACTCTATTCCATGGAATTGTTGCTTGTTGATTCGCTACAAAAATTTACTGCCAAGCTAGAGGATTGTGTTACATCGAGTAGTCTTTGCAAGTTCGCTTTGTGTGAAAATGGGCCCAATAAGATAAACAAGCTAGGATCGCAACCTCAGACTCACTTCCATCGGGTCAATTGTCAAGTCAACCCGTCAACAAGCTAAGCTACCTGCAAAAGAAACGTTGCATTATTTATTGGCTGTTCTATTGGACCCCTTATATTTTTTTCCAGAAAGCCGAACGGTGTTGATGCGTCATAGATAAATGCGTCAGTGCTTACGTGGATGTCACGTACTCCCTATGTCTTTGTTCACTTTTTTGCAAAGATTAACAAAGTAGTAAAAGTATAAGTGATGACATAAAAGATGATAAGAGATAGAATAAAAACTAATAAAAAATTAATAGGGATTAAACTAGTAGAAAAATGGATAGGTAAAGGATTAAAGGTGGGGAATAAAATAAAGATTATGCTTTGAAGACTAAAATCCCTTATATTATGAGATGGAGAGAGTATGACAAAAAAAAAAACTTTATCACACCTCTAGATCTCCTAATTAGAATGCATAAGTCTTTCTTTTAAATAATATGTTGTGCTAACTAGTCATAATTAATGTTCGATTCCACATGCTTTTTTCTTTTTTAATGCATTTTGCATATAATTTTATTTGCGATGTCAATACATGTAGTGGGTTGGAGCTCGTTTAAATATGCATGACATCCATAACAAGTTCAGGATCCAAAAATATATTTCGAGAGTTCACTAAACTAGATGATACATACGCACAAGTTTAGATACCACTCGTAAATAGATACATACAGCCAAAACCATGAAAACATAACTTACTATTAATTGTATGGAAAATATTAATGTTTGATATATATGCAAAATGAGTTTGGAAGAGTTGTAGAAAATGTACTTTTGTTTAATTATAATTTCGAATTTATGAATAAAAAACAGAATAATCCAATCATGTTAATAAATTAAGCTAGACAGTGTGCTATACCGCGCGCGGCGCGATCCACGTAAGAAAGTCACCAAACTACACACCACACCAAATAAAGTTGATCGGTGCTGCTAATAGTAAAGCTTTACTCCACTCCTTTATGTATGGCTCCTATATCTATGAGAACCTAAATTATTGTGCATACTCTCTTATCTAACCGTGGGCAAAAAAAGTCAATTGCAGAGTCATTTTTTATTTCGGGAAGTGTCAAATAAAATTGATCACCTATAGCTAGCTAGTAGCTAGTGCCGCACTGCCGCTATAAAAACACTTTTGTTTTTCGTTAAAGGCATATATTTTGCGACCCCAAGTGACCCTCCCAAAGACCAAAGAAACAAAAGAAAAAAAAAACGCGATACCGCTCTATCAATAATATCTCTCTTCCTCCTTGTATATATCTCAACTTACGTTAATCATATCCTTCCACACACCAGCTAAGCAGCAAGCTCTCACTGCACTCACCGCATCGATCTCTACTCGATACACAGCAGCAGCAGCAGCCGCCTAAACCCCCATTAGCTAGCTGCATGCCTCAGCGAGCCATGGAGTCGCCTCCAATCCCCTCTTGAGACAAGCTGTGCCAAGGGCAACGAGTACAAGCCGGAGCTATTGGGCTCTCTACTTTTCAAGGTCAGCTACATCCAATTCAAGGAGACCTTTCTGCACAATATTATACTACCAGTAGAATTAAGGGTAAATTCGTAATTTACTAACATAGTTATTAGGGGTAAATTTGTTACTTACCTTTTTTTTAAGTTGTACAAAGCAAATTAAGAGCTTGCATGGGCTTTATGTGAATTTGTGATTATGAGAGTTTGCAGCAATTAAGTTGGATCGCAAAAAACTGTTGTTCTTTACATATATTGATTCAATTTAGCTAGTGTAAAAACCTGATTTAGTTTGGTACGATATATATAGCTAGCTGAAATATTTTCTAATTTTTTGTGCTTCTCATTGAACTGAAGATATAGTGATGCAACTACTGCGAATGGAGATTTGAAAGCAGTTGATGAGTTATCAATCTACGCCACATCATCATAAGAAACGTGCAGAGAGGGAAAGTGAATTATCAAATGGAGTTGGCCACTGGAGCGATAGGTGCAGTCCTCCCCAAGTTGGGCAAGCTGCTAAAGGAGGAGTATGACCTGCATAATAGTGTGAAAGAGGGGATAAAGTTCCTGAAGGCCGAGCTCGAGTACATGCAACCTGCTCTTAAGAAGGTGTCGAATGTTCCACGAGACCAGCTTGACGAACAAGTCAAGATCTGGGCTAAGGATGTTAGAGAGCTATCGTACAGCATCGAGGACATCATTGACACCTTCATGCTACAGGTGGATGCACTTGAGCCACCCAAGAATAACATCTTCACATGGTTAATCAATAAATGCCACAAGTTGTCCCAGCTAATGATCCACCACAAAATAGGCAATGACATTAAAAGTGTTGAGAACCAAGTCAAGGAGGTGACCGAAAGATACGATAGATATAGGATTGATAGTATTGATGCTAAGCCTCCAATATTTATTGACCCTCGTATCTTGGGACTGTACGAGAAGGTCACCAATCTTGTTGGTGTTGACAAGGCCAGTGAAGATCTAATCAGGATGTTGTTTGTAGGAAGTGATGCATCCAAGATGCTTAAGATTGTATCTGTTCTTGGATTAGGAGGTTTGGGCAAGACAACTCTTGCAAAATTCGTGTTTGACAATCTGAAAGTGCAATTTCAGTGTTTTGCTTTTATTTCGGTTGGTCAGAAACCTGCTGACATCAAGAACGTTCTCAAGCACATCCTGATTGGACTTGACAAACACAAGTACATGGAACTCGATACATCCCAACTAAGTGAAAGTTATTTAACTGATGAGGTCCGTGAATATCTGGATAACAAGAGGTATGTATGCCAGAACCCATCAAATTAATTAATTGATGTACATTAATTATCAGTGTTTACTGATGATTTATTGTGTCTGCTACTAGAAGATCAATTGTTTGTATTAGCAGATCGATGCTACAAGGGTACATTATCTAATATGTATTGGTGTTATATAGATATTTGTCTCTCTCTTTTTTTACATTTATTTGAAACCCCTCAATTTAACCCAAAAAAATTTAACAGTTGACAAAAAAATTAAGGGAAAATGCTAGGAATTTTGATGTGAGTTAGAGAAAAGTTCTTGACCACCTGAAATACTAGCTAGATGTATTGTGTACGTGGCTTTATCTTATCCACTGGCCAGGGACCAATTAGATTTGAAACATATACTCCCTCCGTCAAGAGTACTTTGTGGTAAACATACAATCATTTATGACCATCTCCATGTCAATTTCTTCTTATATTTTTAGGAGTACATGATTAGAAGTAGCAAGGATCAAAAATGTGTTTTTGGAGAGCATATCATGTATTACTATAAGTGACAAGTGAAAAACAACAGAGAGGGCATATATATATAGTTTAGAGAAATATCAATACAACATTTGTATGTTCCCAAATCTATTAGAACTTCTAATAAGATCTATTTGGATAAACAGATTTTTAAATACTTCAGATGAAGAAAATACTATATAAAAGTTGTAGAGAGCTTGATGAGATCAACAACTCCATAGTTGAGTAATATAAAGTGTTAAATACAAATTACAAGTTTTTGACGAATGGAGTAAAGAATAGCATGTGTTGTTGAAGTAAGAAGTGCTTTGAGGCAGTAGCGTAGCTAGGATTTAAAGTAAATGTGGTCCATCTATATGAAGTATGTCAATTAAAAGGGTGATCCGCTATACAAATTTTATTATATTAACTAGCACATATACTATAATTTCAAATTTTTAGGTGTGGTCCATGGACCACGGTGCCACCTAGCTTGCTACGCCACTGCTTTGAGGTGATATGGTAAGGAAGCTATGTGTAGAGAGATGTCAAGTTCAAATCCTATATACGACACACAGCCTAATTTCACGCCAAAAATCACACATGACTTTCTTTTCTTCACCTAAAAAAAAATTCAAAATGCAGGAATACATTTCGGCAGGTAGTTGCGTTAATTTAGTCATGGGTGGATGGGCTAAAAGCACGTGGCAATGCTGATTTATCCGCATGCAGAAAATGTTTTCATGGTAGTAATAATACAAAAGTAAATAAAATTACATAATATATATTAATACAGTTCATAGTTAGGCACATTTCTCACACGTTTAAAGAGATCTCAGCAACCTGCTCCCTGGCCGTTGGATTAAAATCTAATGGCTAGTGGGTTGTCTTCAAGCTCTAGCAACAGAGACCATGAGAGCCAAGAGAGAGTGAGGGAGGGGAAGCCCGGAAGGTGGCAGAAAGAACATACTACGATGGCGCGACGACAATATATAACTTCAGCACTAAGTTTAGAGTTTAGCATTTTGTGGTAGGTGCTGGGTGGGAGGGAGCCTAGTAGAGGAGGAATAGGTGGGTTTCCCTGGGCCTAGAGATATGGCCTTGGGCGCCCGCGACCGGTGGTGGGCGGTGGTGCTAGGTTGGATTCCCATGCACTGCTGGAGAAAGGCTCTTTAGTCCCGGTTTGCAACTCCCTTTAGTCCTGAGTTGCAAACCGGGATTAAAGATGACTATCTAACCGGGACTAAAGATGGTAACGCCACGTGGCTAACGCTTTCATCTTTAGTCTCGGTTGTTGCCAACCGGGACTAGGGTTTTCTTTTTCCCCTTTCTTTCATTTTTTTTGTTGTTCTGCATATCTCAGCCTGACATCCCAAAATTGTTACAATAACAAAATATCATCTCCCGATATCCCAAATCATCCACAACAACAAAATGATCCTCAAGTTACAGATCGAATGAACAAATTATCCTCAACAAAAAAGCATCCACAAATTAAGAGGAAAAAAAAAGGAAATAAAAAAATCCGCCCGCGCCGCGCCCAGCCAGCCGTCTGCCACCCGCCCGGCTCGCTGCGCCACCGCCGCCTGGCCGCCTCCCCTCTCAGATCCAGCGGAGGGGAGGCCGTCTGCCACCTGCCCGCTTCCTCTTGCACCGCCACCCACTATACTGCTGAGTGTCCACTAGAGGAGAGAGGAGCGCGGGGAGGAAAGAGAGATAGAGGAGAGAGGAGGAGGAGTTATTTGCGAGGACAGGAGGAGAGGATAAGGCCTAGGGATTATATAGGACGTTTTGATATTTAGTCCCGGTTGGTAACACCATCCGGGACTAAAGATAGTAGGGGCTCTGACGTTTTTTTAATTTGAACCGGGACTAAAAATGATCTTTAGTCCCGGTTGGTGTTACCAACCAGAACTAAATTAGATCATCAAGTCCCGATGAAGTTTTAAACCGGAACTAAAAACCATCTTTAGTTCCGGTTCCTATTTAAATCGGAACTAATGTGGTTTTTTGCCAACCCAGTAAAGATATTTTCTCCAACAATAATGGGCGCTCTGGTTCAATAATTTTGTTGGATGGGAGGGATAAGTGAAGAGGAAGAGATAATGATGAGTCACTGTAGTCAAAACTCTTGGCACAATCCTAGCCATTCAAAAGTGGCTGAAATTTGTGTGGGTTCCCTTAGAGAAAATGCTAGAGATCCATAAGGCATATGGAGCACGGGAATGCGCCCACTAAAAGTTCACATATTTATTTTCATAAATTCGAATGCGTCGGCAATAAGGCTGTGGCTCTATCTGGATGTGTTAGGTGCATAATCATACTGCTAGCTATATTGCATGCATATCACTACATATGTTCCCTGCTGTTTGCTAGACGCATTAAAAGAAAGTATAGAATTCCTTTTACGCACATACAGACATAGTGACATACTTGTTTTGGAGAGTCATATGTAGTTTTCCAATTTCAAAACAGAAAATGAGATTGCACAAATGCATGGCAAGTGATGAATTTAATATTTTTCATCGAGCAATCTTATGATAATTGCTTATGCCATTTCGGATCCTCCATTATGTACACTTCTTGTTTTACAGATTTACTCAATAAATGTGTCTCACTAATTCATATCTCTTCTACTCCTATCGGGATAGGTACTTGATTGTTATTGATGACGTATGGGAGATATTCACATGGAAAAGGATTAATTGTGCTTTGGTGGATAGTAATTGTGGAAGTAAAGTAATTACAACAACTCGTATTTCTGAAGTTGCTGAAGTAGTTGGTGATGTTTATAGGATGAAGCCGCTTTCCAGTGACAACTCCAAAAGGTTATTCAACAATAGAATATTTGGTATTGGTTCCAATGGACCAACTAATAATCAATCAGTTGAAGCAACTGAGAAGATCTTAAAGAAATGTAATGGCATGCCTTTGTCTATAGTTACAATGGCTAGTTTGTTGGTTAATAAACCAGTGGAGGACTGGATCGAAGTGTACGACTCTATTGGTTTTGGGCCTACAGGTCAAAATCAAGAAGTTGAGAACATGAGAAAGATATTATCTTTTAGCTACTACGAGTTGCCTTCATACCTAAAGACTTGTCTACTATACCTAAGCATATATCCAGAAGACCACCGGATCATGAAAAAACCATTGATATGGAAGTGGATAGCTGAAGGCTTTGTCCAAGAGGAACAACAAACCTGGTTATTTGAGGTTGGCGAGAGGTATTTCACCGAGCTTGTAAATAGAAGCATGATCCAACCAATTGAGATGTATGGCCGGGTGTTTGCCTGCCGCATCCATGACATGGTGCTAGATCTTATTCGCATCTTGGCAACCGAAGAGAACTTTGTAAAGATACTAGACAGGTTATATGATGTTCATAGCTCATCTTCACAAAGCAGCACTGCCCGTAGGGTAGCATGGCACAAGAGCTTGAACCAAGATAAATTCGATAACTTGACCACAGGGATGGCACAACTGAGGTCACTCAATGCCATTGAGTGTCCTATTAGTATGATTCCCCCGTTAGTGAGCTTTGAGATTCTACACGTGCTAGCACTGGAATCGTGTGGTGTCATAACAGGATATCACTTGAAGCATATTGGGAAGCTACAAAGGTTGCGTTACCTGGGACTTAGAGGCACACGAATTACCGAGCTCCCAAGTGAAATAGGGGATCTCATGCATCTGTTGGTATTGGATGTCAGGGGCACTAATGCACTGCCAGCAACTGTTGGAAAGCTAAGAAGGCTGATCCGACTATGCGTCGGAGGCACCATAGTTCCTTCTGGGGTAATTGGGAACCTGACCTCACTGCAAGATTTGCGTTTGGGCGAGATAACCGATGATGGCTGCCCAAACATTGCTGTGGATCTCTGCAAACTGACAGACCTGAGGAAGCTCACCATTGATTGGTTGCATCTAGATGAGGGCTCACTGAAGACACTGGTGGAGTCCCTATGCACCCTGCGCAAACTACAGAGCATCAAGATCAAGGGCAGTTGGAAGGTGTTGGAAGGTTGGGAAGGCTGGGAGCCCCCACGGCAGTTCCGCAAGTTCTACGTGGATGGTTCATTGCCTCGGCGGCCAACGTGGGTGGATTCCGTGCGTATTCCACACCTCTCCCATCTGAACCTTCACTTGCTGGCTGTGGAACAAAGGGACTTGGATGCCCTTGCGATGATGCCGGAGCTCCGCGTCCTCGAAGTGAACTCCGATTTGTCAATTTCATGGACAATCGCTGGTGGCGGTTTGTTCCCAAGCCTGAGATGCTTCTCCACGGACATAGAGATCATGTTTTTGCAGGGAGCAATGCCAATGCTCACGAATATTTCATTTGAGCCATCTGGTGATGATTCAGCCAATGACATTGGATTAAGGTACCTCCCTTAGCTGAATGATGTTTTTATACATCTGCTGTACTGCTCAGATCTGACGGCCAGGCAAGTGAAGGAAGCCATAGCGGTGTGGAGGCGTGTGATTAATTCTCACCCCAACCGTCCCATCACTCATGTGCAGATAGGTGACGAGGTACGATTGGTTTTTGTTAATACTCTATCCCATCATAAGGAATTTTAGCTCTATAATTGTATAGACAAAATTTCTTATATTATGCAACGTATGGAGTGGAAATAATGAAAAAATGATTGACGTTAATTCTCTTTCATGCCTCCTCTAAGTAATCATTACTTTTCTTAGGCTATGTTCTTTCTTTCTTCGTAACTTCTATAAGTAATATTTTTTTCGCGCTTGCTTCCTAGACAGATAAACGGTGTGTTTGTCAAAAAATTATATAGGAAAGTTGTTTTAAAAAATCATAATAATCTATTTTCAAGTTTCTATAGCTAATGCTTAATTAATCATACGCTAATAAGCCACTCCATTTTTTGTAAGGGGTAAAGGTTTAAACCTCTAGTATTGAACATAGCCTTGCTAATGTACTCTCCCTCAATTTCAGGCTTATAATCTGATTCCATCAGACGATAGCGATGACGAGGAGATTTCCGATCCAGGGAAAGATGACATAAATGATGAGGAGGAGGATCAAATTTCAGATCCAGAGGAAACCGACAGAAATTATGGCGAGGAGGAGATTTCAGCCACGGACCAGAAGGTGCAGCATTTGCGCACATCGTGCTAATTTAACACTGAATTCGTACAAAGTGTATATGTAACTAATTACTTCTAACTAATTACTGGTTTCTTTCCCCATCCAGCAGGACAATGGCGCAGCCGACGAGGCAAAGAGGAGGAGGCTATCTTGAACCAATTCGCTCTGCACTCTCGTTCCTTGATGCGTGCAGGTACACATTTAGGAAAGTTACAGTCATCTTCAAAGTTGTTATTGTTTTATGTAAAGTTCTCTTACCGACTGTACTGAACAGCGGCAGGAGGATAATTTCAGAGAAACTCTTTGGTGGAACCCTCCATGGCTTTATGACGAGGAAGAAGACCAGTATCCTCCGGCAGACTTGAGCGCCAGAACAGAACCGGCCGTTCGATGGATTGGCTAGTTTTTCCTAATAGTTTCCTGTGCCATTTTACTTAGCTTTTCTACATTGTTTTTATTTACAGATGGATTGTAATATATGCATCAGTGAGGCCTAATCATAGGCCCAGATAAAAACACAAACTGATGGTGTGTAATTGGTTGGAAGTGCAATGTTTGATGGAATGATCCCATCCAAGTTTTACGGTGAATGTTTGAGATGATGGGGCACTTTTTTTTTTGAGAATAATTCGCATGCAAATACAAACTCACATGCTTTCAAGAGAAAGATGAAAAAAATAGTGATTTTACAGTCATTGATTAGTTACTGGGAGGTATACAAAGGCCAGCCGGGTCTTGGGCTCCCGGCGCCCCGGCGCCTGCCTCGCGACGTGGTGCGTTGGCGTGGCGACACCTCCATTTTCCACCGCTCCGTGGATTGAGCGGCCAGGAAGTCAAACGACGCCAGCGGAGAGAAGCAGAAGCTGCGAGGCTGACGCGAGGGCGAGGCGAGCTGGGCTTGAGTTAATTTGTGAGAGATGATGGTGAAGGAAAGATGAAGATGCTTTGCCTACTAGTGAAGGATCGATATGATGTACTGGCCATGCCACGGACACAGCAGCGTCATGTTCGTCCTCCAGTCCACGATTCGTGTTGCTTCAGATTGGTACCGAGCTCGTCTGTGCTTGTGTTCAGGAGGGTATTGAGCTCGTCGCTGTGGACGTCTCTTCGTTGGCGCGTTGAGGTCATCGTCGCCATCGGCTCCCTGAAGTCGGCGCGGCCGGATTTGGACCGGGAGCAGGAGGGGCAAGTTGGGATTGGGCAGTGTGGTGATGGCAGGTAGTAGCGAGGGAGGCGGAGGCCAACGAGCTTGGCTGCGCCGCCGCCGTCGTCAAAGGACCCGAGGGGCTTTTAACTATTTGCCACTCTTACGAGTGGTGCTTAACGATTTGCCACTAGGCCCACATGTTATAGACATATGAGAGCCCACATGTCATAGACACGGTGTGGCAAATCGTTAATTGCAATGTCATAAGAGTGGCAAATAGTTAAATTTCCCGGAGGGGGGGGATTGCCGGTGTCGGGGACTCAAACCGTCTCGACGAAAACTATCTATTATGCGAAAGTCCAATTCTGCCCTTTAATTTGTTCCACGCATGCGAATGAAGTGGGAGGTATCCAGCACGGGACTCCTGTACCTCGCGGTACCAGTGATTGTCGACCGTTTGGTTGTAGTACCGGGAGGTACCAAAAACTGTGTTGGATGGTAAAAAATCTCACCGAATCCTTTACTAAAGATATTCTATCTGTATATGGTACCCTCATACCTAGTTGGATATACATGTCGTATGGGTATGGAGTATCCATAATCTCCAGAAGTATGTGCGTAACTGGTTCTGACGGTTGGATTATCTCGATAATATTTTTTTAAACTTTTATGAGTGCCAAGATTATCTCGATTATACCTCTTTGTTTTATTTTATGTTATGGTAGTGGTGAAAACTTTTTTTTTTACGTTATGATTGCCTCTGTGTGGTTTGTCATCACAGCGATACTTTTTTTTATATATATATGAGTAGTGGACATAACCGGTTCTTCCTGATGTTGGATTTTATCTGAATGATAGTCGTTTTTACTTTTTAAAACTATATATTATGAGTGCGGTGGTGATTGCAGCTTGTTCTTCTCGCCATTGGATTTGTAAGGTGAGCGCCAGCCAGGGCCGCAGCGTAGGCGTGCTGCGGCAAGCGAGCCAAGCTGAATCGGAAAATGGAAATATAGAAAGAGGAGTTGAGAGGCATGTGATGTATCGCTGAAAGCGTAAATCTAGAGGAGTTGAAGGGGTGATGCTAATGGGCGATCGATCGCTTGGAGCGATCACTCCCCATCCCCCCTATGCGCTCCTCTCCCCCTTCCTCCTCTCCTTCTTCTCTTCCTAGTAGTATTACACTATAAATTTTAAAAATATAAAAAACAAAACTGGAAAAAATTATGTATATAAATACAATATATAAAAAATATTTGAATTCAAATTCAAATTTGAAACGGGTATGTAAACTTTTAACTTATAAACTTTGTGTCTATAAACTAATATTTGAATTCAAATTCAAATTTGAATAGGGTATGTAAACTTTTGACTTATAAACTTTGGGTCTATAAACTTTAGGTGCATAAATTTTAGATGTATAGAAATACTATATATAAAAAATATTTGAATTCAAATTCAAATTTGAATCGGATATATAAACTTTTGACTTGTAAACTTTGGGTCTCTAAACTTTAGATGTGTAAACTTAAGGTGTACAAACTTTAGGTGCATAAATTTTACTAAAATAGAAAAGTAATACGGTGCCAAAAAAAAGAAAACCACGTGGAGGGGGTCTGATCAAGTGATCGATCGCTCGTTAGCCTTTCTAGAGTTGAAGTACTCTTTTAAGTACATATTCTTTTATTTACACCTTTAATTTTGTAAATAGATGATGAATCGTGAACTTGTGATTAATGCTTGTTACGGTGCTTAATGTAGACTTGATGAGAAACGTTGCCTTGTAAAATATCGTGCATTGAGATTGATTTTTTTTTCCATTACTATTATCCTGTACTAACTCTTGCGTAGTTCATGAGCCACATCTAATTTTTTCTCGTCCTACGCTACTGTACAAGCACACCTTATTTTAAGACTGAACCGATATATTTTAAGATTGATGAAGTTACTACACACATCCCCACTTAACTAGCACCAAGTATGTCTCGGAAGTATCCATCAATGATGTACACTAGCTAGCTGGAAATATTATTTCCCAACCCGGTCAGTACGTATACACGATAGGGACGGGGAGTCACGGATCACGGCATGATCGGGCATCGGCCGGTAGTGGAGAAGGGTGACGACGGCTTTGGTGGGCACTGGACTGGAGGCTGTTGAAGTAGGCGTGGAAGGCCGGGCGGACACGGTGCCTCCATGGATTCGCTCAACAAAGAAATATAGTGGCGCCGACGCATTGTGAGGTTCGCCTGATCTGGACGGGAGAAGCATCTGCGAAACGTTAAAAAATTATGAGAGCTTTTAAGGTGCTTTTAATAAGTGCAACCCCGATTATATTGTATCTATAAAAGTCTACGATCTCCATCTTCCATCTTGGACAATTATACCCTTATTATTACTCCCTCCCTTTTCAGGCTATAAGGCGTTTTAACTTTGGTCAAAGTCGAACTACTTCAACTTTAACTAAGCTTATAGACAAATATAGTAATATTTATAATACCAAATTAGTTTAATTAAATTAATAATTGAATATATATATATATATATAATAAATTTGTCTTGGGTTGAAAATGTTATTTTTTTTACAAACGTAGTCAAACTTTAAGTAGTCTGACTTTAACCAAAGTAAAAATGTCTTATAACTTAAAAAGGAGGTAGTACATGTACTACTAGAATAATGCTCGTGTGTGGCAATAGAAAGCAAAAATTAAAATAATTATTAGATGAAATCTTTGTGATATATATCCCTTAAAAACATAATTTTAAGTGGATTCTCAAATTTTGAGGTGATGTGATTTAATGAGAGAGAATAGAAAACATTAACTAAGTGGGGATGAAGTATACATAGGATTCCAGTCAAAAAAAAGTATACATAGGATTTGGTAGAAATGACAGGAAAAAAACATGTTAAAATGTTATGTAAATTATGTGGGATGATTATTTAACATGTTTGTATTTTAGATCTTCAGAATAAAATAAAATATAGATGATGTAACATGTTTACATGAGTATTAAGATGTAATAATCACTAAAGGATGGTGATGCGGTATATTTGCATGTTGAATTTAGAATGTAGTGGATTGTAACTTTATACTCCCTCTGTCCCATAATACAAGAAGTTTTAGAGTTGGACACGGTTATTAAGAAAGTAGGTAGAAGTGAATGGATGAGGGTTGTGATTGGATGAGTAGTAGAGGTAGGTGGAAAAAAATAAATGGTGGAGGGTTGTGATTGGTTGGGAAGGGAATATTGATGTAAAGTTGTTAAATTTTGGGACAAATACTGAGAGGTAAAAGTTGTTATATTTTAGGATGGAGGAAGGAATAGAATCGTCCATGCCTTCATGTCTCCTCTCCCATCCACACATTTATGAGTAAGAGTAGCCCATGCCACCTCCACAGAACTGAGCAAGTGAGCAGTACAAGCTCTGCCGCCATGTATCACCAGCAGCCCCCAGCCGTTGAGTCTCCTCCCTCCCCGTGTTGAGCCAAGAGCTGCGAGGGGAGATCGGTCCTCTACTTCATAGGTAAGATCAGCTGGCCCCTCTCGAGTCTCGCCAAAAATTCGTAGAATTTAGTTTCCACATAAACAGTCGTACAATTTCTCTTCTTTCTTTTTCTATGAAGCCCAGTTTGTGGGTGAAAACCGCTTTTGTGCTTTGTTTGGCATATCTGCAAGAACATATATATCAATTGTGTTAGAGAATATAGAAAGAGTCATACTTGATACCGTTGTGTTATGGTAGAATATGATTAAGTTTTATCTTATCTCTCCGAGAGAATCTCTAAAAGAGTGTCTATTTAATTTTTGGCTCTCTCAATATCCATATTTTCATTGCACTCGAATGAAAAACAGACAATATGCCACTATTTTCATGTGGTTTCAAACAAAATTACATCCACTAGATGCACCCGATAAAATGTTACTGTAAGATATTTTGCCACTTTACAAAGCTTTAGCTATTTTCTTTTCTTTTCAACTCATTTTCTTTTCACCATGCACTTAAAATGACCGAAATGCCCTTGGCTCCTCCTAAACAAATCAGCTCTATCTGTCCTCTCTTTGTACCAACCCAGGCATCAACAGCCTGTATGCATCAAAATTAAATAGCAGGCCAGACATAAGAACATCAAACTCAATCCAGTGAAGTTCACAAACCATTCAAGGCAAAATCTAGTGCATACACAAACTTGCTACAAATTGTTCAACCGAGTTCATATACAAACCATTCAACGCATAATTCAGTACATAGACAAATTGTTCCTCATTACCCGCTCTTGACGCCTTCTTGGTCACCGATGCCGTCTTCCTGTTTGGCCAGTGGAGACAGGGAGAGGAAGAGTGGAGTGCAGGGGAGGGCTGAACTGACGGGCACCCATGCATGCTCCTAGGCTTGCTCCCCTCATGGCAGACAGTGTTAGAAACGGCAACTGAGTGAGTGAGAAATGCTGGAGAGAGAGAGGGAGTGGGAGTGGGAGAGGGGAGTACGGGAGGCACCGAGCCGGCCGGCGACCGATGAGGAGGCAGCGAGCGGTGCTAGAGGAGCAGCGAGCGTGGGCAGGCATCTCTGTGGAGGCGGTGAGCAAAGGAAGAGTGTCACTGGAATTGGATTGAGAGATGGCATCAATCTGATCTGTTTAGGAGGAGCCAAGGACATTTCAGTCATTTCACGTGCATGAGAGAAACGAAAATGAATTGAAAAGAAAATAATTAAAATTTCTGCAACTCTCTAATGTGGCAAAATATCTAGCACAACTACTCAGGCAGATCGTCAGCAACATTGCGCCGGTGGCTGACGGAGCTTGGCAATAGGCGGAGTAGGAGGCCGAGAGGCAATGGTGATGTTTAGGAGGGTGGGAGGCAATGGATGAGTGTGGTGGAAGGTAGGGCGTGGTCTGCCATGGGACACATCGAGCAGAGCTTGGTGCTATGGCAACGTAGGTGTGGACGCAACTCGAGCCGGAGGTGACGATAGTACGGATGACAGGTGGAGCTTAGGGCATTGTTGCTCTATGCCTGTGCTGCTCATCTAGGTTGCGTAGCTATAAAGGATGAGGCTTTGGCTAGGAGGCAGATCCACAGATCTAAGGATGGCATTGCAGAGTGAGGAAATTTTGGTGTGTTGTGGTCTAGAAGAAGCCCCTGAGCTTTGATGAAGAGAGCATAGGTTGCGATGCGGCATTAGGATAGCTCGTTTCCACTGTAGAGGGCGGCGATGCATTGAGGAGTTAGGACCCGTGGATGCTCAATGGAGTAGGCTGGCCAAGTTTGGTCGAGGAGGTAGGGGGACATTTGACCAGCCCGATTTTAATATGTTCTAGGATATGCTTTAATATGTTGCAGGATATTCTTATCCTGCTTTTATATGTTTCACATCCCCTTCATAGCTAGAAAGATCATGTCTTTATGTCTTTTAAGATTTGATGTGTTTTATGGTAATTATATTCAAATACCCATAGTTCATAATGACAATGTGAGGATATTTTATAGATATTGAATATTTCATTTTATACTTCCTAAAGAAAACATAATCATTGCTTCAGGATGCAATGATTTCCCAAGCTTAAACCCCTATGCTTCCTCGGTCATCCATGCGTCTATATTGTGTTCTCCTATACAACTCCACTTGTCATTAGTCATGCACTGTTCTTTTTTTAGAGGGAGTATATTAGATCAATGGATAGTTCTTGTAATGTGGGTAGAAGATCACACCAGCCAGAATGTGGATGAGCAAAACATCGGGACAATAGATACATAGATACGTTAACAAGGCTTTGTAAAATGTGTATCATTAAGTGAAAAGTGGCTATAGCCTTGGTCTATTTGCAACTTTATTCTTTATACATAGTTCAAAGTAAAATCTACTCTGTTGCTTAATAATATTTTTTAAACAGAATCTTATTATAGGTTTAGCACAAAGGTTTCCATTTTGTAGTTGCGGTCCTATCGATGGCCTAGCAAGCAGGGCTGCCAGCATGTTGAAGAGGTTTTTTTTTTTCTCTATGTTTGCTAAACATGGAGAGCTATATAGCCCCTCTTCTAGAGATACTCTAAGATTGCTTAAGATCCAAGCCATATAGGATAGTACGACATCTACATGAATGTTTTAGCTTCTTTCCTTAGTTTTTTTTTCTCTAAAGGGGCATAGAATCTCAATCAGTTACTAATTGTGGAGATTGTATTAGGCTTCCTAATCAGGTATCATGATTTGTTCATAAATGCGACCCATATCTTCATCAATCATCATCATTAAAAGAAAAGGGGAAGGTGTGAATCATCCAAAATGGAGTTCGCCACTGGGGCAATAGGCACTCTCCTCCCCAAGCTAGGCAAACTACTTAGTGAGGAGTATAACTTGCAAAAAAATGTGAAGGAGGGAATCAAGTTCCTCAAGATTGAGCTCGAGAGCATGCAACTTGCCCTTAAGAAGATCTCAAATGTGCCACTAGACCAGCTTGATGAGCAAGTCAAGATCTGGGCTAGGGACGTTAGGGAGTTGTCCTACAGCATCGAGGACATCATTGATACCTTCATGCTACGGGCAGATGACCTTGATCAATCCAAGAAAAACATATTCACATGGTTAATCAATAAGTGCCACAAATTGTCTGAAGTAAAGATCCAGCATAAAATAGCCAAGGACATCAAGGATGTCAAGATCCAAGTCAAGGCGGTGATGGAACGACGGGATAGGTATAGGCTTGATGGTGTTGTTGCTAATCCTCCAACGATTGTCGATCCTCGCATATTGGCACTTTACGAGAATGTTACAAATCTTGTTGGCATTGACAAGACAAGTGATGATCTAATCAAGAGGTTGTTTGAGGGGGACGATGAGTCCAAGAAGAAGCTTAAGTTAATATCCATAGTTGGAATTGGAGGATTGGGTAAAACAACCCTTGCAAAGGCAGTGTTTGAGTGTCTTAAAATGCAATTTGAGTGTGCTGCTTTGATTCCCGTGGGTCAGAAACCTGACATCAAGAAAGTTTTCAAGGACATCCTTATTGAACTTAACAAGTACAACTATATGAAATTCGATACAATGGCACTAAGTGAAAGATATCTAATTGATGAGCTCCGAGAATATCTTCACAAGAGGAGGTATGTACTCAATGCCCACCAAATTGATCGATTGTTAATTAACCATAATAAGTGTTTTTTGAATGATTTTTTCCATTAGAATGATTTCAATATTAGCTATTGGTTGTGATAGTTGAGATTAAGTAAATCTGCATTAGGTATGTATATCATTAATGTTTCATGTGAAACTAAACCCCACAATCAACTCGCCATCACACTCATGCCTCGCTACTATGGGTCTAAATCTCTTTGCCACGGAGATTAAATTATTGTATCAATAATGATGGGTTTAACCCCTTTGTCAAGTAACACGTTGATGATTTTCTTATGCCTCTTGGATCTCTAATGTTTGTAGGCTTCTTGATTATGCATTGATTGTTTTACTAATGAATATCCGTTGTATTCCAATGCACATAGGTATTTGATTGTTATTGATGACATATGGGAGACATCAACATGGAAAATGATTAAATGTGCTTTAGTTGATAGTAATTGTGGAAGTAGAGTAATCACAACAACTCGTATTTCTCAAGTTGCTGAAGAAGTTGGTAATATTTACCTAATGGAACCACTTTCTGCTGACAACTCAAAAAAGTTATTCTACAATAGAATGTTTGGTGCTCAATGCAAAGGTCGAGAGGGTAATCAACAAGCCGAGGCAACTAAAAAGATTTTACAAAAATGTGGTGGTGTACCATTGTCTATAATTACAATAGCTTGTTTGTTAGTTAATAAACCAGTGGAAGACTGGTCCAGAGTATACAACTCTATCGGTTTTGGGCTTGAAGATCGAAATGAAGCAGTCCAAAACACAAGGAAGATATTGTCTTATAGCTACTATGAATTGCCTTCACATCTGAAGACTTGTCTGTTGCACCTAAGCATATTTCCAGAAGATTGTTGGATTGAAAAAAAATCTTTGATATGGATATGGATAGCCGAAGGATTTGTCCATGAGGAACATGGGAATAAGATATATGAGGTAGGTGAGAGTTACTTCACCGAGCTTATAAATAAAGGCATGATCCAGCCGATGGGCTATGACATTTACAGTGACACGTTTGATGGTTGTCGTGTCCATGACATGGTCCTAGACCTCATCCGCATTTTGACAAATGTAGAAAACTTTGTAAAAGTATTGGACAAACCATATGATGAGCACAACTTGTCTTTGCAGATCAGTATAGTCCGCAGGATAGCATTGCACAAGAGTAGCAACCTAGAAAAAAGCCATAACCTGGCTGCTAGCATGCCACAACTGAGATCATTCAATGCCATTAAGTGTTCCATTAGTTTGATGCCCCTACTTACAAGCTTCCAGGTCCTACGTGTGCTAGTACTGGAACATTGCGATATCACGGGAAGTTGTCACCTGAAGCATCTAGGGAAGCTACATCAGTTGAGGTACCTAGGACTAAGATACACATGTGTTGATTACCTACCAACAGAAATTGGTGCCCTTGTGCAACTTCAGGCACTCGACGTAAGGAACACAGGCTTGGCAGCACTACCTGCAAGTGTTGGCAAGCTAAACAAGCTAATGCGCCTATGCGTCGACAGAGAGACGAGAGTTCTTGCCAGTGTTGGGAATCTAACGTCCCTGCAAGAGCTATCTTTGGGCCTTGTATCGATCGATATCTGCTCAAACTTCGCTGTGGAGGTGCGCAAACTGTCAGACTTAAGGATCCTCAAGATTAGTTGGCTTGGTGAAACAGACAAGGGCTTGCTAAAAGCCTTGGTGGAGTCTCTATGTAGCTTGCAGAGAATCCAGCATCTGGAGATTTTGTTTGGCTCGTGGGTCCTTGTAAGCCACTGGGAAGGCTGGGAGCCCCCACGGCAACTCCACAAGTTTTGTATGGATGGCCTCCACGTCTTCTTGCCTCGGTTGCCATCATGGGTGAACTCCATGTGCATCCCACACCTCTCCTATCTCGAACTCCAAGTGCTGGCCATGGAGCCGCAGGACCTAGACGTCCTAGCGAGGATGCAAAAGCTCCGGTTCCTCCACGTGTACCTCAACACAAAATTTTCATGGACCGTCGCCGGTGGCGGGTTGTTTCCTAACCTGAGATACTGTTGCACAAACATAATGCTCACATTTCTACAGGGTGCCATGCCAATGGTCAAGCATGTTGAATTATGCGTACCAGCGTCCAGGGATAGTGTGACCAATGAGGTTGGCTTGGGAAACCTCCCTCTGCTCGATGTAGTCTCGGTATTGCTCGACTGCGAGAGTGCCACAGGCAGGGTGGTGGTGGAAGTGGAGGCGGCATTGAGGAGAGAGGTTAACGCGCACCCTAACAATCCCACCATTCAAGTTAACTGGTTTACGCACCTAAGGTTTGTTTAGTTAACCATGAATAATTCATTGATTACCTAGTCAATTTACACATTTGCCTTCTCAGTTTGTAGCTTTTTTCAGTCCTCAATTGACACCCACCGTCCCCTTCCTCATTTTCAATTTCAGGAGAAGATGGTTTTAATAAATCAAGTGTTACTGCAGCTTAAATTAAACATTTTTGTAAGGAAAACAGTAGCAACAGGGGGGAGGAGAACTGCAGGGATAATCTTGGTGGCAGCCTGCTCTCCGGTTGCATGAAGATGACATGAGGACCAGCCTCCTCCGGTAGACTTGGGCGCCAGAACAGGATGATTATGTAGTGTGTTGACAATTATTTTGCTCTCAATATTTATCCGCGAGATTCATGTGTTCAGTATCTATTATATACTAAAAGTCCATTAAACTTCCTACAAATGCTCTCAAGCCGCCACGTGGCATTCTACAAATGCTCTCATAATACCATGTGGCACTCTAATAAATTAGAGAAAATATAAGAAATATCTAGCCATTGATTTATGCGCAAACATATGGATTAGATTTGTTAAAATCTCTCTCTCCTTAAAACCGGCTAATGTCCTTCCTATGCGCAACAGATGTGAAAAAAAAGAAAGAAAAGGTCCGTTATTTATTTGTTAATGGGTAATATACGGCGGCGAGACTGTCACGAACCAACAAGTCGGATCGGAATTATCTCCTGTGAACAAAATACAACCACCAAAACACAGATTAAGTCTAGCACCCCGTGCTAATTGAGTCGCACACAGATTAAGTCTAGCACCCCGTGCTAATTGAGTCGCCTATTGTCTACCAGCAGTCCAGTATGATTAGTATACGTTTGATCAGTTGGATAGTTGAGAAGAGTATTAGAACAATATATTGACACATCTAAATATTTTGAATAAATGATAGATATATATTAAATGTTTAATTACAGTATAATTTAGATTAGTTGTATATATAACATAATCGTTTAATGGAAACCTACCTATATTCTATATTTTACAACACAACTACGTAGGACCCGGCCATCCGTTAGTTTTCTCTTTCCTTCCACCTCTAAGTTTTTTTTCAAACTGTGAATATGTACCAAACACTCCTACGAGGCCGTGAAGAAGCCACGCCCCATGCCACGGCGGCGCCTCACGCTATCCATTGCTTCGCTTTCTTACCATCAATCTATCTATCTATTATCTACTCTATTATACCCTAAAAGAACATTAAATTTCCTACAAACGCTCTCATGCCGCCATATGGTGCTCTAAAAAGCTCTCAAGCTGCCACAAGGCGCTATAATAAAATAGAAAAAAACTTAAAATTTCTGAGAAAAAAGAAAAAAAATATATCCCTCCAAATTCTTAAAAAGTTGGTGGACCCATTAGTTTACACAATTGGATTAGATATGTTATAAATAGTAATCTATCCCTTCAAATTTACCGAGTAATACTTTCCATAAAAAAATTGACTAGAAAAGGCTGAGAAGGCATTGGTACGTACGAATTAACAACCACAACCGAGAAAAGAAGAAATGATATACAGCAAAAAAAAAACATACTGTACACGTACGTACTACTGGAAAAAAAATTTAAAAAAAACATCGCTTTTTCTAAACTTGGATTTTCACTTCCTTTGTATTTTTTTTATGACAGCCAACGTTAAATATTTAGTGAAACTACCGAAAGAAAACAACGCTCTTTAATCTGGATTTTCTATTATACTTCCTTTGTATTTTTTTATTGTTTTTTATATATTGATGACCAATGTCATATATTTAGTGAAGGTGGTAGTATAAAAAATATATATCACTTAACAAACATGCACAGCCAAAACTAGATCTACAATATAATATAAAATATCAAATAAACGTATCAGTTCACACTATTATTGTTGAGTATAGATAGCATTTATTTGCATCAATGGGCCTATATATTGATAGTTCAAGATGAAATAATGAGTAATTAAAATATTCAGGACATATTGTCAAAAACACAAATAAAAAATGTATTGTCTAAAAATAAGTTGCATGTTTTTCTCGCTAAACACGGTTTGAATTTTAGCCGTTAACGACTCAATCTACGCTTTTGATTTGTACGTATTTTTTAAGTACATAAGTAACAAATTTAAGATTGAGTTGTAAAGTGTTTATCAGATTAGCATGTTCTCCAAACTACTAAATTGTGTGTGTTGTGCAAATACATTCTATACATTTTTTTAAAAAAAAACTATTTTCATGTTTGTAATATTTAATACTTAATTAATCATACGTTAATAGCCTATATTGTTTTGTGTGCCCTACATAAGCTCAATCAATGAGATCGAGTGTACCCTAAGTAGGAGATAAATTAGATTATTTACTATAAAATTTAAAATTAAAGAACCAAGTTAACTATATTATTAAAAAAATCATTACTTTGGATCATATATATTATACGGACTAGCTATTGTTCACTAATCCATACATTTTGAAGAAAAAAATCAAATAGATTTTAGCGTCCCTTCCCTCTCTCTTAGCTATAAAACTAAAACAGAAACAATCAATAATATTGAAAATCTTTTAGAAACACAGCGTGCACGCACCCTACACCTTTAGCATCTTAAAAGACAGAGCCGGTACATTTTGAGATTGAAGAAGTTACCAAGGCACTTCGCTGTCGATGGGTACGTTACCTACCACTAAAAGAATAATTAGTCGTAAATACCAACACCCATGTCAAATTTAGAACTTGAACCCAGATGGGCAAGCTCCACCACGAGAAACCTAACCAGATATTAAAACAACCATAATTTTTAAGCTACATTTCTGCAATACTCCTATGCCTTTTAAACTGGTAAACTATTAGTTATAATCGTTAGATCTATCTTATATAAAAAAAGAATGTATTCATGGTACATGATATTTTCAAAATATTACTGCGCAATTATATTTCGTCGTTATCGTATTCATGTTAGGCTGCATGGAACCTCTCACCCACCCTACATGAAATGTACATGAAATGTTCATATATGATCGCCTCTCAAACTACATCAATCATATTGGACTATATAAACCTAAACATTTAGTAGAGCTTCATGTTCCACCTAATTAATCCTTTAATGAATTATGATAATAGATATGCAATTTCAAAAACGCCTTATTTTACTTATTTTTACTTTCAATTCGTTGACATGTTTTTAAAAAATAAGTCTACCTTAATTTCAAATGATATAGAAGATTATAAAAAATTACTTATAGATATTATTTAAATATTGATACAATATAAAACTAATAGGTTAGAAAATTATAAAAGCAATTAATGCCGATGAAAACAATTTATGGAGAAATTGTGGTAGATGTAACATTTCGCTCTTACAAATATCTCAAACTTAGCATAGGACGCATGCCCGCGCGAATGCGCGGGCTACCTTTCTAGTTTTAATAATATTAGAATAATATTAATATTACTCCTAATTGTTTGTATTTCTGCTGTGCACGTTTACCAAATCTTCTTAGGCTGCATTCAAGACCGTCAGTTAGAAACATTTATGTCTAGTACGGAAAATAGAATAACTCATTAGTAATATGATTAATTAAATATTAGTTCAAAATTTAAATATCTTTTAAAGTAACTTTTCTATATAAATCTTTTAGAAAAAAAACATCGTTTAGCTTCGGGAAACATGCATAAGAAAAACAAGGGAGAGTAGAGATTGGGAGAAGGAAGAGCCGAATACAATTAACCTTAGTTAGTAGGGTAATTTTACCCTATACCAAACTGCAGTTATCACGTTTTTTAATATAAATTCGGTACCTTCAGATACCCCATATCTCTTTGTACCAAAATATTTAATATAAATTAAATATATGTATCTATAGGTACCTTCTAAAGGATCGGGAAATTTCTCTAATAACTCTACAATTAATACAAACCGAGCCGGCCAGTCTAGTATGACGAATGCATGATTGGCTAGCTAGTTTAATTTTGAAAGTTAGAACCCGAACTGGTGTTTTTCTCACTCTGGTTTGGAAAACGAATAAACGTGTCCAACGCGTGGTGACGTGTCCCCAAGTCTTTGAAACAACAGATGTAAGCAGCCTTAGAAAAAAGAAAAAAATATATGGACACATCACCCATGCGACGCGTGCAAATGCTTAAACAAAGTTATCAGTGAATAAATACGCTGTCAGTCAACACACAGCTGCCAACTGCATGAGCCGATGGAGAGTTCACATTGGCCAAAATAAAAACAAACAGATGAAGAGATCTCAATTTGCCTCCATGACCGCTACCTCCAAGCTTCGCTAGGGGAGGGAGAGAGAGAGAGGGATGAGAAGCCATGCATCCACCTGATGATGATCAGCCTCTCCCTCTGCTTTGATTTGCAAGGTCAGTTGCATACCTTCCCTCAATTCAGATTTCTAGAAAATGGGGAGAGCTTTGGGATTTGCTTTGATTTTGGGAGTTTAATTTGCTGCGATTTTTTTATGGCCTGAGACTTGGAGATATGGAGTCAGTTTATTACTAGTAGTAAGGAAGTACCTGAGTACTAGGCTTCTTAGTATGCTAGCCAGGGGCGGAAGCCAGGATTTTGAGCCACCAGGGTCATGACTTACCCTATTACTTATCCTGTGTTTATGGGCTCTAATATTGCTAGCTGAAATGTGTTTCTGTCATCTTAGAGTTGCAGTACAGTGATTGTGGGTTCGTACTGATGATAATTTAAAATATTGATTGCAGCCTTCAAGTGATTAATTGGGACTGGTTAAACCAGACCAGACACTAGAGACCTGAGTTTGTCATCCTTTCTTTTTCTAATAAACTAGAAAAAATACCCGTGCATTACAGCGGGTGAAGACTATTTTAGTTTTATTATTATTGTTATACGATTTAGTTAGGGTGAAAATCATTGTGGGAATTTACTTGGATATTTTTTTTAGAAAATCATGAGTTGTAATTAGGAGTTCGACTCTTATCTCAAGTTAGCATCTCAAGTTAGCATGCGAGTTTTTTTTAAATGATTTCTTATACAACTTCTTTTGTATTTTCAAAAGCGTCCCAAGTTATCATGCGAGTATTTTTAAAGAGATTTCTTACCAGACGTCTTTTGTATTTCCTAAAGCAAACGAACTTAAAACTGACTCAAACACATATCTGTATTTCCAAAAGTGAATGAGCTTAAAAACCGACTCAAACACGGATGACCTACCAAAGTATCGACAAAAACATCTTCAATTTTTATAATAGTAGAGATAGAGATATAGAGAGAGAGATGTGGCACCTTCTACACTCTGCCTCCAAAATACGGATTAGTCCAGCTTACCATGTAAAGTCAGACCTCATAAACATAATATCACCATATCACCACTTTCGTATTCGCTTCGCATAGACGAGTTTAACTATGATATAGTTATAGTTGAAGCGTCAAAAATTACAAGCTAGCCCTCACAAACAACCACTGCAACTACTTCTGGGTCATAAGTCTTAACTACACCACTACTAATTGGCTAGGGCCTAGGGTAAACTGAGTATAATGCATGAAGGCCAGCTTAGAAGCGATTGACCCAAACCATGTGTCAACCTTTTACTTGAAGCGAGGATGGAAGTGTAAACTAAGTATAACGTGTATGTGGTCCTTCTCTATTTGGTGTGATGCATTAATCAGATATTGCAGACGGAGTGTTAAAAAAAAAATTCAAGTTTGTGTCATGTGTAAAAATGCTAGTATATGACTATTGTGCATTCTTAAATATTATTAAAAATTGCATTTAGGGTCATTGAGTAAAAAAGGAGACAAAACCAAAATATGCACATAGCTGATGTTTTGCATATGCTTTTTATTTTACCAGGGTTTGCTGGGATATAAGGTGAAGCTATCTGAGGCAATTACTGCAAAAGAGACTGTGCAAGAAGCTGTGTGGTAGTGAATGCAGGCATCATCACCCCACTTCACACTTTTTGGGTACTCTTTTGGTTAAATAAGTTTTGTAGACTTGTAGGTGAACATTCTGTTCTGTGTTAGGCACCTGCAAGAACATCCAAAACATCTGCAGAAATTGGGGCAATTCATTTGATCCTAAAACATTGTTGCTATTTACTGAAATTGAGTTAGTTCAGCTGAAAATTTTTCCCTTCTTACATACTTTTCTTTTACCAGGACTTGAAGGGAAACTATAGTGAGTCAATTACTACAAATAGGATTGTGAAAGCAACTGACTTGTCGTCAATCTATGCCTCATCATCGTAACAACAGAGAGGGAAAGGAGGGAACTATCAAGTATGGAGTTTGCCACAGGGGCAATAGGAACACTCCTTCCCAAGCTGGGCGAGCTATTGAAGGAGGAGTATGACTTGCAAAAGAGTGTGAAGGAAGGGATCAAGTTCCTCATGGCTGAGCTTGAGAGCATGCAACCTGCCCTTAAGAAGGTCTCAAATATTCCGCTAGACCAGCTTGATGAGCAAGTCAAGATCTGGTCTAGGGAAGTTAGGGAGTTGTCCTATAACATCGAGGATATCATCGATACTTTCATGTTGCATGCTGATGTAGTTGAGCCAACCAACAAACATAACTTCACATGGTTTATCAATAAGTGTCATAGGTTAGCCCAAGTAAAGATCCACCACAAAATAGCATGTGACATCAAAGATGTTAAGAGCCAAGTCAAGGAGGTGATGGAGCGACGTGATAGGTACATGATTGACAATATTGCCGCTAAGACTCCAACGGTTATTGACCCTCGCATATTGTCATTGTATGAGAAGGCCACCAATCTTGTTGGCATTGACAAGGCAAGTAATGATATAATCAAGAGGTTGTTCGTGGAGGATGAGGCATCCAAGATGCTCAAGATGGTCTCTATTGTTGGATTCGGGGGATTGGGCAAGACAACTCTTGCCAAAGCAGTGTTTGATACGCTTAAAGTGCAATTTGACTGTATCGGTTTTGTTCCAGTCGGTCAGAACCCTGACATCAAGAAAGTTCTCAAGGATATCCTGATTGAACTTAACAAGCACAAGTACAAGGAACTCAATGCATCAGCACTAAGTGAAAAACATCTCATTGATGAGCTCCGAGAATATCTTGACAACAAGAGGTACGTGTGTTGTGCCACCAAATCCTGATGGAAAATTCTATAGTGATCTCACATTAATGTTGACCACTAATTCCATTAGATCTTATTAAATCTAAGGGCCAAATATCTCTTACCACCTAGGAGATGTAATGAAAAGAATATTAGTGCCAAGGGTAATAATGACAATCACAAACTATAACAAGAAAAGTTCAGGAGAAGAATAATAAGAGTAATCACTATCATTTAGAGTATGCTAACTGCATTCAGCACACAAATAAAGTAATAACAATGAGTATTGTTTATGAACTGGCCGTGCTATTTGTTTTCTCATTTGACATTAATTGGAACGGAATTTTAAAGGGATGCATCTAGTTGTGTCAAACCAAAAGAATAATTGATAGAATTTTTTATTGTATATAAAACTTCTAACGGCATGCAGTTTATTTTTATTTGAACAGTTTTAGTTAATTTGGTATATATTATATGTGTTTTGATGAATCAAGCTAGATATTTTTATTTGGCATGTTACAAAATTTTGAAATTAAAACATTATCTTCAGAATTATGTGTTATTTTAAATTTTGTGATGGTTTGAGTGCATTTGTATATATCATATACATTACGCACATAAAAATGGCTTTTTTATGCGATAGATGTATACATTTCTGCACAAAAAATTATAGAATTATCCAATAAATCGCTATGGAAAGAAAAGATATGCCAATTTTGGATCCTCGACTCTGTATATTAAATAGATTAAATTTATTGGATGAGTACACCACACAATAAATTTAATCTATTCATGCCCTTTCTATTACCATGAGGATAGATACTTGATTGTGATTGATGACATATGGGAGGCATCAACATGGAAAATTATTAAATGTGCTTTGGCGGATAGTAATTGTGGAAGTAAAGTAATTACAACAACTCGTATTTCTCAAGTTGCCAATGAAATTGCTGATGTTTATAACATGGCGCCGCTTTCTGATGACAACTCAAAGAAGTTATTCAACAACAGAATATTTGGTGCTAATTATAGAGATCCAAGTGATCATGAATTAGTTGCGGCAACCAAAAGGATATTAAAGAAATGTGGTGGCGTACCACTGTCTATAATTACAATAGCTAGTTTATTGGTTGATAAACCAGTGGAGGATTGGTCCAAGGTGTACGACTCTATTGGTTTTGGGCCTGAAGACCGTAATGAAGTAGTACAAAACACAAGGAAGATATTATCTTTCAGCTACTATGATTTGCCTTCATATCTAAAGACTTGTCTACTACACCTAAGTATATACCCAGAAGATCATCGTATTGAGAAGGAGTCTTTGATTTGGAAGTGGATAGGTGAAGGCTTTGTCCAAGAGGAACAAGGGAAGGGGTTGTTTGAGGTCGGTGAGAGATACTTCACTGAGCTTATAAATAAGAGCATGATCCAGCCAATTGAACACCACCTTTACCTTGGCACTGTGGATGGCTGCCATGTCCATGACATGGTGCTGGACCTTATCCGCCTCTTGGCAATAGAAGAAAACTTTGTAAAAGTGTTGGATAAAATGCGCGAGGAGCACAACTCATATGCACAGAGCACAACTGTCCATAGGGTAGCATTGCACAAGAGTTGGAACCAAGATAACAAGAATAACCTAGCCACAAGCATGGAGCAGCTGAGGTCATTCAATGCCATAGAGTGCCCTATTATGGTGATGCCTCCACTTGCGAACTTCCAGGTTTTGCGCGTGCTAGCGCTGGAAAACTGTGTTTTCACGAGAGGTTATCAACTCAAGCATCTTGGGAAGCTACTACAACTGAGGTACCTAGGACTAAGGCATACACATGTTGCCGATCTCCCAAAGGAAATAGGGAATCTTGTGCACCTGCAGGTACTAGATGTTAGACACACTGTCCTGAAGGTATTGCCGGCGACCATTCACAAGCTAAGGAATCTAATGCGCCTACGCATTAATGGGAACAAGACGAGATTTCTGACCGGGCTTGGGAAGCTGACATCCCTACAAGAGTTGTCGCTAGGAGCTGTATCCGAAGACACCTGTCCAAACTTTTCCTTGGAACTATGCAAACTGATGGATCTGAGGATTCTCCAGATTGATTGGTACACAAAGACAGACAAGAACTCATTGGATGTTCTGATGGAGTGTCTTCTGACCTTGTGCAGGATCCAGAGCATACATATCTCTTTTGCTATCGATTTCAGTGAGACCCCTGTGATGACTGGCTGGGAAGGCTGGGAGCCCTCGCGACAGCTCCGCCTGCTGCACATCACTGGCGTCCGGCTGCCTCGGCTGCCAGTGTGGGTGAACTCCATGCGCATCCCACACCTCTCCATATTGGACCTTAGAGTGGTGACCATGGAACCTCGGGACCTAGACGTCCTTGCGAGGATGCCGGAGCTCTGCTCCCTCCGTCTGGACATCACGAGGAGGTTTCCATGGACGGTCGTCGCCGGTGACGGATTGTTCCCAAACCTGAGATACTGCCGCATGGACATAGCGCTCACGTTTTTGCAGGGAGCAATGCCGATGCTCGTCAAAGTTGAACTGTACGTGTGGGTGGCCAGAGATGATGCTGCCAATGATGTTGGATTGGGGAACCTCCCTCTGCTCAATACCATCCATATTTGGCTGCAATGTGGGGGTGCGACGGCCAAGCAGGTGGAGGAAGCGGAAGCAGCATGGAGGCGCGTCGCCCATGCTCACCCCAATCATCCTGCCATTCATGTGAACCGATTGGGAGAGGTACAATTGATTTCGCTAGTAATGATTAATTGATTGATTGATTAGTTAACTCTTCTAGCTACATGATTTCTCAGTTCTGATTCCTCCCCAAGACCCATAACTAGTCAGCTTCTTTAATACATTATCTAAAAAAATCAGCTTCTTTCTCAGTTAGCCCTTTTTTTATATCGCCCAATTAGTATCATCAGTCTCTCAAATTCAATTTCAGTTACTGATGAAAAAAGACAAAGATGATGGTGATGATGAAGAGGAGATTTCAGGAACACACAAAGTTGACAGAAATGATGATGAGCAGGATATTTCAACTGGGGATCAAGAGGTATACAGCTATTGGTTTACCCACAGCATGCAAATATAATCTCATCCTTGCTGCATAACAAACTTATACTTATTTTAGACAATGGATAAATTAATTCCAATCTTTGCTTCAAAGAAGCTACAATCACTTATTACAAACTTTCTTCAACTGGGTATGTAAAGTATTACAAAGGATAGGTAAAGACAAACTAAAAACACACCAACAAAAGAGAGATAAATTCTAAGTAAGACGTAGTCCTATTAGAAAATCTTCATCCAAAGTTGGGAAAATCTGCATTACCGTAGATTTTGCAAGTAGGTTGCCTTGTAATGTTCCTTGTCTTCTTCACAGCTGGGATCAAAAGCAAAGCCAATAGGTTACCCTGAAAAGTACATGTATATAAGATTGAATTGAAGCTTTGTCAAAACCATATCATTACTACTAAGCCATACAGTCCAATATAGTGCAGCAGATGCTCCCGCTAACATATGTTTTATTGGTTTTTATAATCGATACCAGCAAGTCAATTTCCAGACATATGGGAGAAATTCTCTGATTTAAAACAATTCTCAAAAGAAATTTAGAGAAGTGGCAATCAAAGAAACAATGTTGAATAGTTTCACACTACTACAAAAAGACAAATAGGTGTCGTCACTATAGGTGCCGGAACAGCTAAAACCGGCACTTATAATGTCTTTCCCGCCCATGCACCCGCCTCCATGCACCTATGATCATCATGCAAACAGAAGCAACACTTCCTACTAGCATTCCAATTCCGTCGTGCTAAATTATCTTTGGCCAGTGTTACCCTTTTAATAAACACCACGTAAAAATATTTATTTTAAGGGGCACCATCAGTCTCTATGGGACCTTGCTTCTCTCTATATGACCATTGCTAATCAAAGCTAGGCACATTGAACGAACTGAAAAAGGAGCATTCTGATGTCAAATTCATCTTAAAGATATATTTGTCTTCATTCAATTGTACATGTACTGTTTTTGCAACTAAAGCATGCCAAAGAGCCAGATTCCAGCCTACTAATAATGCTCTGCGAAACAAAAATTAAGAGAAACAAAACCCAAGATTGTTACCACTGTTGCATTATTCGTACAAACAATGTTACAGTTGGATGGATATTGTTCCCTAAAAGAAAAGTTATAACTCTATCTATCTCCCCAAAATCTAACATATTTCCCATCATTAACCATAAAATTACCCGAGCTTAAAAACCTATCTTTTACTTTCATATGTCCCGGTCAGAAGTGAGAGCCTCCTGGTTTTCTCAGTCTAGGTGATAGTTTGATTCTTTAAATATTTTCTTCCTTATAAATTATGCAAAATGCCATCCTTGTTAATCCTTGAAAAGCCATTTGCGTAGAAGACATAGTTCTGCACATCCAAATTATGCATTCCAAGCCATCGTGTTTCTTTGGTTGACAAATTATATTTCATCTAGTCAATATGTTTTTCTTATTGCGACTATCACATTGTAAAAAAAATTATGAATCTATAGTGATCATATTTTTTTCAAGAATTACTCTAGGAATCTCGAAAAACAAGATCATAAACATAGCTAAACTGGTTAACATAGATTTAATTAGAGCCAGTCTTCCTCCAACCGAGATTATCTTTCCAATTAGTAAGTTATTTTCTCTATCCTCTTCTCAATTGATTTCCAATCCTTATTACTTAGCGTCGAAATACCAAGCTACCTAAAAGAAAAATATCCTAATTAACATCAGAATAACCAGAATATATATATCCTTGTGTTCTTTAGTCTGGCCCATAAAAATGAGTTCACTCTTACAAAAATTTATTTTGAACCAAAAAGCTTCTAAAAAACAGTAAATAACAACCTCATGTTTTTGGCTTTATTCAAATTGTAATCAATAAATATTATTGTATCATCAACATATTGCAAAGTTGATAGATGAGAAACTGCATCCACTATTTGCCGATCTTCTTTAGCATGCTTAATTAGGATAGCTAACATATCAACTACTACTCCCTCCGTCCTAAAATATAGCAACCCAGTACTATTCTATGAATCGGAAGGTAGTATGTTTCTAATCTTATACTAGGTTGTTATATTTTGTGACGGATGAAGCATATATGTTAAAAAGAATTTGAGATGAAGTATTGCCTTGTCTCAAGATTCTTCTCTCTTTTTTTTGAAAATTAGTGCCAATCTAGTCATTAACTTTGATACCTATATGTCTCCCTTGATCATCCATTGGCACCATTTAAGAGAAAGGCCTTCCATTCTGAGGTTTGTGTATAAATAACCATTTGACCTTATCATATGCCTTTTCAAAGTCAATCTTGAAAAATACTCTGTCATGTTTCTTTTTATATAACTCATGAATAGTTTATTGTAAAATCACTATTGGTTCCATTGGAAGGTATGAAACCTGTTTGGGTAGGACTAATTTTTTTTAGCTACCCCAACAATCCAATTAATCGCAACCTTGGTAAAAATATTAAAACTCACCATATAATAAACAGATCAGCTTATATTGCTCAATCTTAAAAGCCTCTTTACATTTAGACAATAAAATAATTGTACCGAAATTTAAAGAGTACATAGGAAATAACCAAAGTTAAATATTATAATTAATTTACTTAACTACTGGTTTCTCTCGCAGTTCCAATCTGACAATGGTAGAGCCAAAGAGGAAGAGGAGGCTGCACAGCAATCTTGAACGCGCATGCATGCACTCCTCCTTTCATGCAATCTTCTCTTAATTTGTGAGACATTCCTATCGTCTTCGAAACATTCTTCAAATTTAATATCGCTATACGCAAACTTCTCTTAATTTCCGACTGTAATGAAACAAGTTTCTTTGGTGGTAACCTAATATTTTGGTTGTGTACTGTATGAAGACGAAGAAGATCCACCTCTCCTCTGGTAGACTTGAGCGCCAACAGCACCAGCTGTTCGCCTGTTCGACAACATTGGCTAGTTTTTCATAATATTTTCTTTTGTCATGTCTGGAGGATTTGTATGGTGTGTTTGCAAATGGATTGTACTATGTGCTTCGATGAGACAAAAATGTTGAGCAAATAAGCCATTACATAGGACATACTCTCTCCAGTTTTTAATCTTTGGCATTGTTGAATTTTGGATATACATTTGATCATTCGTCTTATTTAAAAAAATTTATGCAAATAAAAAATATAAGTCATATTTAATGAAAAACAAATCACAATAAAATAAGTGATAATTAAGTTTCTTAATAAAACGAATGGTCAAACATATGTTCAAAACAGAAGTCGCATCGTGTGTAGCTTGGTTTCTTTTTACTTGTTTTCGTTTCTGTTTTATGTAAAAGGCTCAGTTTTTAGCTTTCTCAAAAAAAAGCAGGGTAATGAAAAGTTGTGCATCAAACATAAAACCGGATTGAAAACTATTTTGCACCATATTCTATTTTTCAAAAAATATTTGTTTACCAGATTGAGTGGTTGGTTGAAACTTGAGAGTATTTTGTTTGAGATATGATGGATAATACGATCTTCCTAGATTTAGTGGGGTTTCATAAGTTTCACAAAGCTAAACAGATTCTATATACTAACCCACATCACAGCAGTCAAACACAAATTTATGGTGCATAATTGGTTTTGTAGATACATGGTTGGATTGAGGGTGCGCTCGTTTCTGTAGATAGGTTGGGCTGATTAGCCGCACGTAAAATGAGAAATGTGATTAGCATATGATTAATTTGTGTTAATATATTTTTGATAAATAAATTTGTTGGATTTTTTTAAACAACTTATTTATAGAAAGTTTTCGCACGAAATACACCGTTTAACAGTTTAAAAAGCGTGCTAACAGAAAACGAGGAGAATCTAATCCTATAGGCTGAAACGAGCTCACCTTGAATGATCCCATCCATGTTTTAGGGTAACACATGCAAGTAAAAGGTTAGGTGAGTGGATGACATGGCGGGATACATGTTTCCATAATAGTTCATGTAGACGCTACATGGATTTGGATCAGGTGCAGTCATGACTGCAACTTAACCAGTAGCAGTAGTACCATTGGATGTAAATTGGACGGCTCAGAAAATGGTGTGAAATAAGGTTACGTTCGGGAGGAACTCCACCTCCCCGCACGAAAAACGTGATGGTTTATTAATGTGTAATTAATTAAGTATTAGCTAAATATACTTGAAAATAAATTAATATATTTTTTAAAACAACTTTCTTATAGAAAATATTTTGTAAAAACGCATCATTTAGTAGTTTAGGAAGCTCGCGTAGTCGCGTGCGGAAAACAAGGAAAATGATTTCGAAAATGAGGGGGGAGAACATATCCTAAGGCCGTGTTTAGTTCCCCTCCACCAACTTCAAACTTCCAACTTTCCATCACATCAAAAACTTTCCTACACACATAAACTTCTAACTTTTTTTTCAAACTACCAACTTTCTTCAAAATTCCCACTTTTTCCACCAACTAAACACAGCCTAAGAATGCTTAACACAGCTCAGGCCACATATATCTTGAATTCATTCTTAATTCCATTGTTCTTGTGAAGTTTTTCCCCCCTGTAATGCTATACCATTATCACCCTCTTGTATATATATAAAAGCGGTTTACCCTCGTTTACAACACAAAGAAGTGAAAATTGCAGACTAGTAAACTTTGATCTTTCAGGAAGTGAAGTCCAAAACAGAATCAAGAAATTGTATAGATGGTGGTGGCTGGCAACCATCATATGGCATCTGAAAAATTCTGAAACCAGTAGCACTATATCATGATGATGCCTGTTTCCTGCCCAGGGTGAGAGCTCACTCCTTTCCATCAGCAGCACGGAGGGAGCCAAGCTGCACCGGCGCCTGAGTCTGCACTACCTTGGATGACCCGTAGGCCGACAAGTCGACGCCCTCGGCCTTCTCCTTCTCGAGCTGCTCCTTGATCCAGAAGTATGTGATCCTCAGACCATCCTGCGCCGCAAGAATCAAGTTTCCGATGAATGATCAGAATGCATGAATTCGGGGCGATGAACTGATAGGCAGATGGTTGCCTGAAAATCAGGGATAGTAGTACCTTCAGCCTCATGGTTGGAGCCCAGCCAAGCTTCTCTTTGATGAGCGTGTTGTCGGAGTTGCGACCACGGACACCCTCTGGCCCGGGGATGTGGTGGATGGGCAGCTGCTTGTTCTCAAAGCTGAGGACTATCTCAGCCATCTCATTCATGCTGACCATTTCATCACTTCCAATGTTTACAGGCTCACGGAAATCGGACTTTGTCAACCTGAATGCATTTGGCAATGTAATGACTTGGTCGACCGGCCCCCAAAAAAAAATGTAGACAAATTGGTATGTCTCTTTAGATCACATGGTATGCTGTGATGTTAGTTAAATCCAAGCTCTATTGTGTCACTGACTTTATGAGCGTTGGAAGATCCTTCAAGCAGACAGAGGGTGAAAAGGATAATTATTCAAGGCTCAAGAACAAAATGGTTAAAATTTACCTTTTTATTTTCTCAATTATTTTTTGTAAGTATATATATTTAAGAGCAACTATATCAAAGAAGAACCACTCAGCGATACACCATTTTGGCAGATTGAACTGCTAGTACTTGTATGCCATAAAAGTCCAGCCTCACATGGTGACATTACTAGTAATTGAGACATGTTAAGCAATTCTAGTATTTCAGATACTAGCATATTCATTTATACAGAATTTGCAATGACGCGCATTGATTTCTCTAAAGACTAGAGATCGACGAACCAATCAATGTGCTCCCAGTCTACTGGTCCTATGTACAAGCTAGAGGGACCAACAGACTCTGTTTCTCATCCAATAAATTGCCTGTTGGACAAGTGGTAATTAAGAAAACTACACAAAGAGGAAAGTGTTTCTCAAAATCTAAAATTATGCTCATCAAATAAGTATTCCATAACATTTAGAAAACTTCGAGAAGTTTAACAAACAACTGATACTTCTCTTGGAATTAATATACATGTAAACCTTCAATTATCATCTGAACATGGCGTGATCAGAGTAGCAAAAGCAGATCTATGCAAAAATGTGCTTGGTGTTAAACTAAGATATGGAAATGCTGAATAACTGGATTGTGCATAGAAGAAATAAGATTAAAATGTTTACCTGAGGACACCCTCCACACATTCATCAATAAACGTGAAGGATCTAGTCTGAAGACCATCTCCCCACATCTCAAAACGGTCAGTGGAGGTTAGAGCTTTTCTGCAGAAAGCAGCAGGCGCCTTCTCCCTTCCACCTGTAGAGCCAATCAATTATTATAACTTCTACAGTAACAATACCCAAGTTTTACTAGGTACCAGATATGTAGCTTACCCTTCCATGTTCCAAAGGGACCATAGATATTATGAAAGCGGCCAACCCGACATTCAATGCCAAAATCCTTTGTGTAATGCTTGCACAGTTCCTCAGTAGCAAGTTTTTCCAAGCCATAGGCATCTTGAGGCTAAAAGGTAATTACTGAAATCAGTGCTGTTTTGTAACAATAATTAACATATCAATTTGCAACAGAACATATATCAGTGGGAAAGTTTAGAAACCTCTGCAGGCCAAGCATCTGACTCCTTCAAGCTAACTACAGTGTCCAGCTGCTTAAATTCAGGGTAGATACAAGCACTTGAAGCATAAAAGAACCTACAAGGAAAAAAAATAACCAAAATGATGATTCTTCTGAGTGATGATAACATGACAGGATTGTTAAAGTAAATGCTCTGTTTTGAGGAATTCTAGGGTTCTACGTATGATCCATTCCTTTCATTTGCTTCCCCAAGCCATGCCAATCTATGAAAGCCAGGAAGCATAACAATGAAATGATAACAATGTATAGACTGAAAAAAGAAAAGAATACAGTCAACTCAACAAACTCGTTTTTTTCTATCAAAGAGTTGAACACAATTCTCTGCAAAAGCTGTTTGTTTTGGAAATTACAACCAGTGAATACTACTTCCTCCATTTCATAATGTAAATCTTTCTAGCATTGCCCACATTCATATAGATGTTAATGAATCTAGACACATATCATTAACATTTATATGAATATGAGCAATCCTAGAAAGTCTTACATTATGAAACGCAGGGAGTATGTTTGAAGTGCATTTTTGTTGACCAGGAGAGAAATGCAAGTTTTAGATAATATTTGAAAGATTCTAATATCTTCCTTGATCCCCAACAGTTCATAAAGCTCCTATAGGTGAAAAGTTTTCATAGAAACCCCCTATCTGCCTATCCCCCATAAGGGACATCCACTAATAAATGAAGGCACACCAAAAATCATCAATCAGCACCAACCACCAAGTAGAATTCTACTAATTTATGCTTTCCTCATTGAGGTCAATCCATGCCCATTATGTTGATATACATTAATCTGCTATATGCAACTGCACTGCCTAGAAATAGTAATACTTGTCCACACTTTCTCTTAACGTCATCAAACTTATCGTTTAGCAGGAAGCCCCTGATTGAAACTTTCCAATACAGGCCAGGTCAATCCAAGCTCAGTACGCATAGATTCTCTACGCAGCACACATTCCAATTCTAACGCTTCTAAATTAATGATAGCTAACATGTGGCATTCACTTCCCAAAGTTGCAGCTTCAGCCAAACACAAATTAATACATCGTATTAGCATATCAAATCAAATAGGTAGATGATTCCCGCCAAATACTATGTGATGATTTCCATTTCTATGTTTTTCTGTAGATAGGCTTTATATACCTTAACAGATCTTAGCATCCTATAGCATCAATTGGTGAAAAATAAAACATGGGATTTACAGAGCCAGCACCAGTTCAAAAGTTACCTTTTGACACCATTAATCCTAGCGGCCTCAAGCATGTTAAAGCTGATCATGGTGTTGTTGTACATGATAACAGAGTGATTGGATTGAATGAATCCCATCCCTCCCATATCAGCGGCAAGGTTGAAAACATGGTCAACCCCGGTGGTCACCTTGAGGCAGTTGTCCATCACCCTCAAATCAACAAGATGGAACTCATGGCAGAACATATCCTCAGTCATGTGCTCATTTTTCTTCCAGTCAGAAGCAATGATGTAGTGGCCCTCGCTCTTGAGGCGCCTCGCGATGTGGGATGCGATGAACCCGCCAGCTCCCGTAATCGAGATCCGCAGCTTCTCAAATGGCCAGTAAGGCTCCTTCTCCAGCTCCACGTATGTGTACTCCTCATTGAGCGCCATTCTGCAGTAACACATATTCATCAAGCTTTAAGACGACAAACCGTTCAAGAGGTATACATTGTCCTTGCTGAGATTATAAACTTCTAAAGCAAACAACCAATCTGCTCTGGCTACCAAACAAAAGTTCTGATTGCCAAACATGTTTCTAGACACAGTCAAAGACTACTACTACTAAAATCACAGAATTTGATATGAAAAACCACAACAAGGATATGTTTTGACCATGTATATTCAATCAATAACACATGAATCAGCCAAACTTTGTAGTCAAAACCAAGTGTTGCCATGAAACCCTCAAAGGACAAGCCACTATTAAAGCTAAACCCTTAACTTAGCTCATACTAAATTGTACAAACTGCATCTGGCAGCAATCCCACACACAATAATTCATCGAATACGAAGTTACGGAATGCCATGTGCGATCTCCTCAATTTCAGGAAAAGATAGTAAGAAATGTGATCCCCTGCTCCAATCCAACACCAAAGCAAGTAGGTCCCTTTTGGGGGGAGCAACATGATATGGAACGCAGTAGACGGTAGAAATGGATCCTTGGGCAAGTTTAATCCACAAAATCACAGATTAAAAGATAGAAATTTACAGCAGCTATCTCCAGCTTGGCTAATACTACTTGCTTAACTCCCCACCAACCAACCAAGCGTCCAAGCTTAACAAATCCTCTTCTCTTCCCCAAAACAAATCTGGAGTCTTTGGCCAAAAAAAAAGAAATCCTAAAGCCACCGATCCAAAATGGCCAGGCCAAAATCGAACAAGCCAAGAACAGCAGAAATCCGGCGGATTAATAAACAAGAAAGAACCATTACCAATCCGTTCAATCAACTTCTAGGACCATGAACACACGGGATTAATTAATAATAACCAATAAAAAGAACTTCTTTTTCCGCGGGGGATCGGGGCATTACCTGTCACAAGTCGGAAGGAAGAGGCGTGGGAGCGAGATTTGGGGAGGGGAGGTAGATTCTTGCACACCCCCACAGGATCTCCTTTGCTTTTATTCTTCCTCTTTATATAGAGGTTAGACTTGCATTCGAGAAGAACAGGGGAAGAACGAGTTCGTTCATTTTGCATTTTTGACCCTCCACGGTTTGGGATTCACCTACTGGTCCCTGAGAATCTCAGATTTGTTTGACTTACGTTTTAGCCAGGACACAGCTTTCAAATTCTTCCTAGCTGGAGTAAGATCCAAAAACTTTTGTACTACCTCAATCCCATAACATAAGATATGAACGTATTTTAAGATTTAGTTTTTAAAATTTTTATTTAACCGTGAGTATAATATGAATCGAATTTTGTTTTGTTCAAAATAATATAATTAGATTGACATTTGAATTTACAAACTTTATAGTATATGAGAAATTATAAATCAAAGATTATTTTTAGAAACCAAACCAAATATGAATGTACATTATATTATGGGATAGAAAGAGTACCAAATTTCGGTGGTTTACTTCAAAATTGGTTTTGCTTACAAGCAAATTATTTCGTACATTTTTTGCAGAATTTTCTGAGAATCAGCTCAATTCGTAGGAAATATTGAGGGAACAATTCTTGCATTTCGAGTAAAGAAAAAAAAAGATGAATTTCATGGGACGAGAAACTTATGGATTCTTTTCTACTTGACGCTTATGATATTTACCATTCCTAATTCCTATAAAACTATTACCTACATCCATATATATATGATGCAGGCTAGTATAAATTTGAACTAGCCAAAGTCATATAAAAAGTTGGAGGGAGTACTTTGGAGTGACTTCATCCAAACTCCTGTACTTTTCTTGTGAAGTACTCCACCTAACATGTTGCTTCTTTAACAATCACTTGGAATCAACTAAGCATACCGTCTTAGATACTCCATCCGTCTCATATTATAAGACTGTCTCATATTATAAGACTTTCTAGCATTGCCTCCATTCATATAGATTTTAATAAATCTATTCATATAGAAAGTCTTATAATATGAAACGGAGGAAGTACTTCATATATATCAAAATATAACAACCTAGTAGTGAATTAGGCACAATCTAATACGACAAATTTGGACAAACTCTAACAGGCCTCTGCCCAAATTTATAGTATTATATTGTGTCTAATTTAATACTAGATTATTATATTTTATGAGTATTTTTTTCTCTAGACTCGTGTGACTGAGAGAGTACATTTTTTCCCTCTAAATTCCTGAGTTTCAAAAGAGGCCTCTACAAGTTAGAAAAAACTCCCATTTCTGCCTCAGCTTAAAGAGAAGAACAAACCGGGTACCGTCAAAAAAAATACTCCTACATCTACAGGGATCATTTTACAAAAAAAATTCATGCAAATATTTTTTTCTTCTCTTTCTTCTTGGACTTGTCATGATTCATGAACCGTGGCACTTGTGCAATGCACGTTGGCGATGTGCGCCTTTTGCTTATGCAGCTACTCAAGTGAAGACAAAAGGAGATGGCTCGATCGATCTGAGGCTTGGAGTTAGCCAGGCTGGCTGATCTTGACGTCCCGACTACCCAATCAAGCGAGGTCCAGTATAATCATTGACAATCGTGTGCTAAAAAAAGTGGAAAAATTAACAGTACATGTAAGAGCAAGTTTAATAGTATAGCCCACTACTCGCTCCAATTCATCTATAACCGATCTAATAGCTAATTCATATAATAATTGCTTACTATACTACTAATATATGGTCCCACCTGTCATACATACATTGTATCTTGGAGTCCGTGCTGTAGTTGGCTACAGATCTGTAGCCCGCTGCTCTTCTCTCTCATCTTTTATCTTATTAAAATATATTTACAGCTGGCTAATAGCCTGCTATTGTACCTGCTCTAATAATGAGCTATAAGCTTACTATAAGCTTAGGTGAAGAAGAGAGATAGTGAAAAATTAAGGATGTTGGCTCTTATGCAAGAGCTAGCTTATCACAAGCTATAAGACAAATACATTAAATGTATAAGTGAGAGATAGAGAGAGGAGAAGAAAATTATAGCCAATCTTATAGCTAATATATTATATATATTGGCTTTAAAGATGGGCTAATAGTAGAAATTTGGCTATATTATTATCCTTGCTCTAACTGACATTACATAAAAGTACGTACACCTCATAATTTGATCAATAGCACATTTATAAGTTGTCAATTTGTCTCTTCTCATTCTCACTCACCAAATAATTAAGCAGTGCAATGCGCCGTAGATTAATTGGCCAATCAAGAAGTCAAGAAAGAGAATTTTGGTATGTAGTACATGCCAAACTGATTTTTCAGCAAAGGACATATAGGAGAATAAAGTGGCACATACAAGGGGAGATTGGCATTGGCTTGACCCCCTCCAACAAAATACTTTTTTTTGAATGTTCAAAATACTTTTACAAAATACTTTAGATGATTATATATAAAATACTTTTACATATAATCATCTAACTAATTAGGCTATCATCCTCCTCTGCTTTCGCAAGCTGCCTACAATATTTGTTTTTTGGGGCACAGTTTGATCGCTGGTCAGGAATTTAGAATTAAAATACTTTTGTATTCACTTCGAGTTGCAATGGAAGTGTAGTGTGTTTGGACTTTGGAGCTTAGTACACCTACACCAGTTATGCTTACTCCAAAGTACACGTTGACGGGGGACGCTGATCCGCGACTAGTCGCGCGGCCGCGCGCGCGCGATCAGCGCCTGTCTCTACTCATTGATTAGTATATACGTATATACTTTGTATTTATATATACAAAGTTTATACTTACAATTTTTTATATGTATACACTTTATTATATAAAAAATATATACGTATACAAAGTTTGTGTACATACATATAAAAATAAAAAAAAACACTTATACAAACTTTGTATACATATATACAAAGTTTGTGTACATACATATAAAAATAAAAATAAAAACACTTATACAAACTTTGTATATGTGTATAAAAAGTTTGTATTTGTGTATACAAAGTTTATATTTATACATATATAAAATTTGCATATACGTATACAAACTTTGCATACATGTATTCAAGGTTTGTATACGTATATGCAAAGTTTGTATTCGTGTATACAAAATTTGTACTTGTACATATATAAAGTTTACATATACATATTAGAAAAAAAAACCTAAAAATAATACGAAAATAAAAAAAAACAGAAAAGCAAAAAAAAAAAGGAAATCGTAAGATACGGAAAGAAAAACGGAAAAAAAAGGAAACCGTAAACTACGGAAAGAAAACAAACTCGTACGGAAGGAAAAACAAAAAGAAAAAAAAACGTTCCCGAAAAAAATCACGCGCCGTCCGCCGCTCCCCTTCTCCGCTCGCGACGCGTGTCTCGCGACTGGTTGCGGATTAGCATTCTCGCACGTCGACTCCTATAGCAAATTAACGGCAAATTTAGTAGGTTTAGAGAACAAGAGAAAGGAAATGATGGGGATTACCCGGCCCAAGTTAATATATATGATTCACAAGCCCAACAGAAAGTCCACCAAAAATTAGCCCAAACACATCACGTAGGGGATATAAAACGTGGCCCATTAGGCCCATCCCATGCTATATCAGTTACACATAAGTTTATACAATTTGGAATGATTTCATTTTCCTTTTCCAGCCCACATCATCTATCTCAGGCTCTCAGGCTCTCAGTTACGATGAATCCAAACATCAGGTTCCAAACCAAGTCACCTTAGTTTAAACCATCATCAAATTTAAATAATGTTTACAGGTTGCCTGACGTTATAGCGTACATTAATTTGAATTTGATGGTATATACTTCAAAACCCCAAAAGAAAAGGAAAGAAAAAAACAAGAAAGAAACTAAGAAAAACAAGTCAAACAACCGAGCCTGCAAGAACCACCATCATCCTCGTCGCCATCGCCGGCGGCGGCGATCTCACGACGACGCGGCGTCGGCGGTGGCGGTGGCGACGGCCTCCACCTTGGGCACCTCGACGGGGAAGCTGTCGATCTCCCCCGCCCACGGGTTGCGCTCGTCGGCGTCGGGCTCGACGGTGCGGAGCGCCCTCCACACGGCGCTGTTGCACTTGAACCCGGAGCCGAACGCGATCTGCCACGCCGTCTGTCCGCGGCGGACGCGGCCCTTGGCCTCGGCGTACGCGAGCTCGTACCAGAGCGAGCTGCTCGACGTGTTGCCCCACCGGTAGAGCGTCATCCGCGACGGCTCCATGTGCCAGGCGCCGAGGCCGAGGTTCTTCTCGATGGTGTCGAGCACGGCGCGGCCGCCGGCGTGGATGCAGAAGTGGTCGAACGCCATCTTGAAGTCCGGGATGTAGGGCCTCACGCCGGCGAGGCCGAACACGCGGCGCGCCACGAGCGACGCCAGGAACAGGATCTGCTCGGACATGGGGAGGACGAGGGGCCCCAGGGTGGTGATGTTGGTGCGGAGGGCCTCGCCGGCGACGGCCATGAGGTCCTTGGAGAGCGCGACGCCGACGCCGGCGGCGTCGTCCTCCTCCTGGAACACGCAGCGGTAGGCGCGGTCGGCGGCGCCGCTGTGGGTGCGCACCGTGTGCAGCAGCTGGTACTTGGCGCGGCGGCGGTCGCCGCCGCGGTTGCTGAGGAGGATGGCGGCGCCGCCCATCCGGAAGAGGCAGTTGGAGACGAGCATGGAGCGGTTGTTGCCCCAGTACCAGTTGAGCGTGATGTTCTCCATGCTCACCACCAACGCGTACGAGTTCCGGTGAACCTGCAAAAACACGCTCAAATTATTAGTTTCATGTCCCTAAATGTTGTTAAAAAAATCTTCTTTTCACTTTTTAAAACTATTTTGTTAAGTTTATTTTTTAAAAATTATATTTATCATTGTGTACATGATTCACTAAAATAATTCAGTTAATAATCTGTTCCAAAAGGCTGTGTTCGTTAGCAGTGAATTGAGAGAAAACATCTCTTGTTTTTTACATGAATGCTTTCCGAACTCCTAAACGATACTATATTTTTATAAAAAAATATAGTAAAGTAGTTTTAAAAATCATATCAATTTATTTTTTATAATTTAAAATAATTAATATTCAATACATTATTAACGCTAATGACTTATCTCGGTTTATGTGTCTTCTCAAACTTTTTTTTATTCACTCAAACATATCCTAAACGGTGCATCCTCGCGGAGGGCAATTCTCAACCACGAATCGAAGAACTTTTTGAGTTTAGTGCAGTGGGTCTCTCTTTGGGCGATCTAGCTGTCGTCATCAATGGCGAGCTAGCTAGGGCACAAGTTGATCGGACCAACCACACGCTGTGCTGTGCACGCAGGTGGCGGTCTCCTCCGCGCATTGATGATTCGGTGTGGTCGCCGGCCATTAACGGCGGCGAGGAGCTAGCAGAGGTGGTCGGACATGTCACCTGTGTCTTTCTAGCAATTTGTACAGTTATTATTGCTGCTGGCTGGACCATTTTTGGTAGTAGTAGTGACCCAGCAGTTAATCCCCAAGCAAGCTGGAGAGATGCTGATTACTGTAGCTGGCCCTAGTGATTAATTTTTTAATTTTGTTTATGGGTTGCAACTAATTTAAGCAGGTGATTAGCAAGATTGGAAATATTATGTAGTTTTACACAAAGGTTAATTGATTGATTATTAATTGGTTCTTAATATAGTTGATGTATCATACCTTTGGAACAAATATAGGGATGACTATTTGAGATTAATTTGGTTATTATATCGTCAGAGATAGGAATAACTACTTACGAGGTTGATTGTGCAGTGTTAGTTAATTCTTTGGTTTATGTATATATTTTGTACTAGCTTACAATTAATTTGGTCAAGTCCCAAAATTATATGTGTATAATCAAAAGAAATTTCAGAATTGACTGACCATCTACAGTTTACCCAAAAAATGTTGATTGCTTAACAGTAGTGTGTTAAGCTAGATTTAATATCGGTTTAATTAGCTAGACTACAAGAAATAAGTAAACATCATGAATTAATTGCTTAATGGAGAAATAAAGATGTTTTTTTTCTGTTGGTAGTTAGTAGCTTAATGGAGTAATTAGGAGGTAGGAGTAGTAATTAATTAAACCTGGAGCAGCTGCTTGGCGAGGTCAATGGAGATGAGGCCGGCGCTGCAGCCCATGCCGCCGAGGTTGTAGGTGGCGACGTTCCCGCGGAGCTTGTAGTGGTTGACGATCATGGCGGACAGCGACGGTGTCGGGTTGAAGAGGCTGCAGTTGACGACGACGACGCCGATGTCCCTGGCCCGGACGCCGGTCTTTGCCAGCACGGCGTCGATGGCGCCGAACATCACCTGCTCCGCCTCCCGCCGCGCCTCCGCCATGCACGGGTTCGGCGGCGAGTTGAGCACCGCCGCCGGGAAGTAGGTCCCCTGCCCGAGCCCCGACCGCTCCAGGATCTTCCGCTGGAACGCCAGGCTGTCGCCGGTGAACGCGCCGGCCGCCGCCGACTGCGCCATGAACGTCTCCCTCGTCACCACGTGCTCGGGACCGGGCTTGTAGCACGCGAAGTCGAGCAGGTACACCGGCCTCGGCCGCCGCATCAGGTAGGCGGTGGCGAGCACGACCGCCGCCGCGAGGAGCGCCACGGCGAGCGGGAGGTTCGTCGCCAGCAGCTCCCGCGCCGTGGCGAGGTCGTCGGCGGGGGCCAGCCGCGACGCCCGCAGCGCCACGGCCGCGGCGGCCGCGGCCAGCATGAGGTACGGCGCGTTGGAGATGGCGTGGTGGTAGAGCAGCTTCATCTTCCCCGGCCGGTACGGGCCGACTGCGGCGGCGGGAGCGGTTTCTTGGATAGGGGAGAGGAGATGGAACGCGGCGGAGGGCGGTGGTGGTGGGTGGTCGGAGATGGCGGGGAGAGGGGGAGGGGGATATATAGCGGCGGTGGTGGAGGAGGAGGTGGGGGGTGGGTGCAACCACCTGGAGCTACCATTAATGTGTGCAGTGCAGTGGAGGGAGGAGGCCGAAGGCGCCGGGAAAAGGGGGAGAAGGGCTCGCGCGTACGTGGCGCGGGTTTTGGGTCTGGCTCGGCCGGGTTAAGAGTGGATTTTAAACATGTGAGGACGTTTCTTCATCCTTTGCAAGTTACTCCCTCCGTTTCAGAATATAAGTCATTCTAGCATTTCCCACATTCATATTGATCCTAATGAATCTAGACATATATATATCTATCTAGATTCATTAGCATAAATATAAATGTGAGAAATGCTAAAATGACTTACATTGTGAAACGGAGGAAGTACTTAAACAGTGATATTCCCTCCGTCCCGGAAAAAACGAATCTAGGACTGGATGTGACATATTCTAGTACAATGAATCTAGATAGAGATATGTCTAGATTCGTAGTAGTAGGATGTGTCACATCTAGTACTAGGTTGGTTTTTTAAGGGACGGAGGGAGTACAATTTTAGAAAATATATTAACATGTGATGTGCTCCCTCCATTTCAGATTATACGATGTTTTGGCTTTAGTCAAAGTCAAACTGTTTTAAGTTTGACCAGGTTTATAGAAAAAAGTAGTAACATTTTTAACCCAAGACAAATTTATTATGAAAATATATTCAATTATTGATTTGATGAAACTATTTTAATATTATAAATAGTATTATATTTTCCTATAAGCTTAGTCAAACTTGGATCGGTTTGACTTTGACCAAAGTTAAAATGTCTTATAACCTTAAACGGATGAAGTATCAATTTATACACATACAGGTTAGAATATAACTTTCTATAAGTTAAAAAATCACAACTACTTAATCAACTTTTTTACAATATGCATTAAATTTTAACTTTTATAGAGTGACCTGTCATATATTAATCAATCTTGTTGATTTTTTAAAAATATAGTCATTACTATTTAAGTGATTTACAAATAACTAGATGACATTCTTTTTCCAATCGGGGTTTGATTATGGTCACAGCCGTGCCGTACGTTTCCATGCTGGACATGGATGTCCTCTTGTGTTCAAACAACTGTCAGTACTTTTTTTGACTGATTCATTTTAACTTTAACCATTAATAAATTTTAATGAAATGGGTAGATAAAATTTTAATGAAAGTTTTATGGACCTATTAAGATAGAACACACTTTACTTTTAAGTATTTGTATTTTTTTTAAAAAAAAATAATACAAGATGAATGATCAAAGTTTAAAGATAAATAGAATAAAGTCATAAGTAGTTGAACAGGGAGGGAGTAGATTATGGGTATGTGTGGCTGCACTTTTTTTTTACTGTAGTGTAGTCAACACGCATAGTGTGTTCTATTTGTAGCTGAGCAGTCGAACATTTCTTACTGGAATTAAACTGGTCGTTTTATTGTATATATAAAAGTTGGTGACATGAATACACACAACCTCGAAAAAAATTATGCTGCAAAAGTTGTTTCATTGAAGTTGTAAGATTTGTAATTTTGGAAAAACCGGCCAAAAAGTTTTTCGATTGGTTAGAGAGTGGGTTAGCAACTTAGCATCAGCAACAGGAGGAGGAAATGAAGGGGCTAGGTTTGTGACGGAGAACAGGGTGTATAGCTTAATTAGATGTGGATATATAGACCGAGGGTGTGATATAGCTTGCAATAGACGACCTTAATTAGATATGACACATTTCAGTCGTTTTCTCCATCATCAATATTGTTGTCACAACTCCCTACCGTCCTCTCTCTTTTTTAACTTGTCGTCTAGAACCTCTCTGCGTAATCTCCAATTTATAAGTTTATTATTTTACCTAATCTTATTATATATAACATATTATGGAAAAACATATACTATATTTGTCAATTTTTTACGTGAGATATCTCATATCTCAAACTGGAAAAATAATAAAAGATGTAAGTCAATTTTTCAGAGGAGTGTCAACTACTCAAGTCATGTAAGTATTTTGCATATATAAAGGCGGGCAAAGACAAATCTCATGCCTCAGACTTAGTGTTATGACAGGGATAAATCCAGGATAAGATCACAGGGGGACTTATTTCCTTTTCCTCCTTCACCGCTCCTTCTCTTCCCCCTTTCCCTCTTCTTCTGCCTTTTCTCTCCCCTTCTACCAGTGATAATTTATCGGGGTATAGGGGCTCGAGTCTCCCTAACACCCATGCTAGATCTACCCCTGTTTGTAATCTAGACTGCTTTCTCATTTACTATCTCAATGAGATCCGCTAAGTGGTATGTTCGTGAAAATTTTTTATAGAAGTTTCAAAAAGATCAAATAAATCTAATTTTTAAATTTGCAATAGTTACTACTTAATTGTGAATACGCTAATGATATTTCGTTTTCACGTGTAAAAAAAAACCCTCCGCTATTGAGCTGATTCTAATGCATGCGTCATAAACTTTATTGTTAAGTATGCATATACAAAGCATGCTATATACATGCAAAGTAAACGTATCTCAACGGTTAGATTTCTTATAATAGAAACGAACTTACCTGGGTTTAAGTTCTAAATGGGATATACTAGCCTAGTCTGTTAGAGGTACTCGTATGGGTATAATCATGTAAGTGTTACGAGTGTATGCGTTTGTACTAAACACGCTATACATTCTCATCGTACTTACACACATTGAATTAATTAAATTGCTAGCTATAGTTGGACATGCAAATATGATGTTTACTAATGGAATAGAGATCCCGGCTGGGACATGCAAATTAAATACACAAAGAGATTTGTTTTTTTTTTCTCGTTGATGGAAACTGTAAACCCCTGCACCGTTGTACGGTTGCACCGGCCCAGACGAACGTACGTAACGTGAGTGACGTGCTACGTTTACTTGTAATTTGTGGTTGAGCCGATCGACATATATATCAGGCGCAGGCCAATTCAAGCTGATCGAATTCAACAACCAAAACCAAATCTGAAGAAGCTTGCTCCCCTTAATTAATTTGGTTATAGATGATCCAAAAGGGCATGTACGTACGTAGCATTTAGTTTGACCAAATTAAAGGCAATATTATATACAAAAGTACTCTAATTAAGGGGCACAAATTAAGCTTCTTTTCCGGCCGGACCGGTCCGTATAAAGTGTGTTGTTAATCAAAAACCTTAATTTAAAGAGGAGTGAATTTCAGTTTGAATCTCGTTTCTTTACCAAACTTTTACGTTTGTGTGACCTCCTTATTAGCCAAAATTTTCCTTTTTAATTTGGACATCCTTTTATTCTGACTTTTTTTTTTCATTTTGGACCCTTTACACTTTTCCTCAAGCTCTAACTCAGTAATTTTCGGCATGAAATAAAATTGGACATTGCTAGGCCAAAAATTATAGTGATATGCAAAATATGCAATTTTAGCTTATCTTTTACCGCAAATTTTGCTGTTAAACTCGGGTTTACCTTATTGTTATCTAAATTTCAATATTTGTCCATGTAGTTTTATAATTTTTTATGAAGTGTAAGTTTATTTCATGTAATCACATTGTAAATTATTTTTTTAGCATTTTGTCTAAGAAAGAAAGGGCTTTATTGAAAATAATTAAGTAATAGATCAGAGTTATGAGAACCATCAGATCATCATCCGAGCAAAAAGAAAAGTGACTTGAAAATTTTAAAAATATCAGTATAGCCTGAAATCTAAACACTCTTTAATTTTTAGCACAAATTAACTAGCTAGTATGCACTTCTAAACTAAGGGAGGATTGCGCAAAAATGATGAGTACACATCCTTTAATTTACAGCAATAGAGTACACACAATTTAATATTTCTCCATTTCATATTATAAAATGTTTGGACTTTTTTCGAAGTCAAAATATCTTAAGGTTGACCATACTAATAGAAAAATGTAGCAAGATTTTTAATTGACACCAAAATTAATCTTATTAAATCTAACATTAAAAATATTTTGATACTATATTTGTTTTCTATAAAAATATTGTTATATTTTGCTATAAACTTTATCAAAGTTAAATATGTTTAACTAGAAAAGTCAAAGTGACATATAATATAAAACGAAGGGAACGAACGACGCTGTAATTAACATCACCTTCACTTATACATACTACTCTCGTGTCATTAACAAGCCGCGTGCATAAGCCCCCACGCGTCAAATTTCGTTCGAATTTCCTTATCACATATTTTCATGCCCATTTCATTGTCACCCCAACTATTTTGCTTTGATCACCCGTAAACGTTTAAACACAGGGCCGTACCAAACTCCTTTCGATCGAAAAGCAACTCAAACCCATCATTCTCCTCCATCGATTTATAGCGCTGCTAGGTGCTAGCTGCTCCGGCCATCAGTCAACTACAAGTCCACAACTACTGTGGCCTCTACTGCTACTGCTACACTGGCATATACTGCTACTGCTTCTGCGCGTCTCCAGCTCTATCTTATCTGGTCGAGACCCCGTCGCTGCAACCGATCGAATGAATTCAAGACGGCGGCGGCGACATGGCCCTCCTTCATCGCGTGCTCTACGTGTGGGAATAAACTGGAGAGGAAGGTGTCGGCGATCGACGCGCCGGCCGACGTACTGACCGGCGACCCCTGCAGCATGGGATCGCTGCAGGGTTGACATGGGCGTCTTGATCAGTGCGACCAGTTGGGGGTTTATACGTGTGTGTGCTTTCATTTTTCGGGAATGCTACTTACCGGGAATCCGTCCTAGATATTTAGAATGGGATCCCCTCCCCAGCTACGTTTTTATCCCTTTGCTCTAATCTCATCCGCAACTGCTTTTCCCATCTCCTTTATCTCACTTTCTCTAGATCTCGATACATACGTGGAAGAGACGGGCGGTGTGTAAGCAATGGTGGCGAAGCCGGCCGATCTCGCATGACTTTCACGGTGGCGGCGATGGCAGAGCCCGACCTCACATGGTATGTCCGTTTTCATGTAGTGCGTATTCGTGTGAGGGCGCTCATGATGGCAGAGACTACATGAAAACGCTCATGATGGCAGAGACTATCTGGATTTCAGCATTGCTTCTCTACTATGAGCAAGATCCGGTGGTCTTTCTCTTGGCCGGAGGTACAAATTTTGTCCTCATCACCTTCTCTCTTCGTCTTTCTCATCTTTACCACTGGCAACGGGACGTATAAGCTTTGGTTTTTTTTCCCTCCACACCGGCAACAACATGCATATGCATCCGGCTTTCCTCCTCGCCACTAGTACCAAATTCCTCCTCGCCACGTGTACCAAACACATACCCGTCGATTCCGATTGGTATCACAGTCTGATACCAAGCTAGAAAGCATTGCATCATACCTCGTAAGTATTATCGGATATCTTACTTGTATCATATAATACTCACAGGAATAAGAACATTATACTGACCAGTTATCAAAACTTGATACCTCGTATATATCATCCTGTTCGGACGAGAAGTATAGTAGCCCTTTCAATTTTTTTCTGAGAGATTATATATATTATATTGTTCGGTTATTTATTCATTAAGTGAAAATTATAATTTCAGAACTATAACCTCAGATATCATAATAGCCAAGATCAGATAAGAAGCCATGACTTGACCGTAAAAGCCAGAGCGTCAAGGCTCCAAGAGTCGTCGTTTGTTTGTTTGAGAGACATTCCCTAACGATACTTTAACTCTATTTAATGAATTAATTGGTACTGCGACGATTCATTTACAAAAAAAAGTTTACTGCAGGGCTATGGTAGCTACAGTAAGATAATTAACCTTTGTAATGAACAGTGCTCACATACTGCAACGATTGTTCCATCTTTTCCTATACTATGCCAGAGATATGTATTCACTAATACGTACCGTATAGTAGCAGAAAAATCTAAATCATGGAAGAGGTTATGGAAAGAGCATCACTAATTCGCTATCACTATACAAGGGAGAAGAAATTAACCACGTGCGCAGGCAACGAGTTGGTGAGGAAACGACCAGCCGTTAGATGCGTATCCAACGTACGGTTGGTCAGTTGCACGTGAACATCTAGCTCTAGTGAAGCAGTTCGGATCGATGGCCCAAATGCCTAATATAAACATTAATTTAAACCTGTTAATTATTTTTGGAACGCATACATAGATATTATATCTTCTTCTGAATGTATTTGACCAAACCTTTTTCTACATATATACTAATTAATCTCGTGGTCATGTGGACTTGCTAGCTATAGTACTCCAGCTAGCTCCTCTTGTTTTTCCGTCCAGCCCCATATGCATGCACATATTAATACTGTACATATTTGCTTCAACTAACAACCTGATCATTTAATATTGCATGACTAACCATCTTCTTCTAGCTTAGGTGTGTGTTTTCTTCTTTTGAAAAACTTCTTCTTGTAGGAAGCGTATATAGCCGCTGGATTCCATGCATTATTTGCCAAACTAAAATCAAAGGTCGTTTAATTCTTCTAGGTCTTGCACATGCATGATCTGAAAGCATTATGATCAGGAGAACACTTAATTAATTTTAGCTTAGATGACAGTGAAATTGTGGTTGCATGATTTTATTTATTAACTAAAATGTAATTCAAGTCTTAGTTACGCTAGCATTGCTCTCGTTATTAAGAAGACGTGTTAACCAAGTTAATTAGTTTCCTCTTAAGTTTATTTATTATTTTTTAGTCAGTTTTCCTCTTAAATTTATTTTTGAAACAACCGAGACAATGCAGAGTTTTGTATTGATGTATGATCAGTAAAAAAAATAACAAATTTATAGCTCTGAAAGACTATAGTTAGGAAAATAGAAAAAGTACAATCACATCACGCGTCTACATTCGGATCCTCGCTACTGAAAAGCAAAACAGGATCACGACATCTCTCGAAAAATGGAATTTCAAAACGATACCTCTAGGGAGGATATGACGTTGAGAGCATCGCCGCTACCCATCTAGGAGATCAGGACATAGTTTTCACTGAAGAACACCATCAAAGAGAGAAGAAAGACATTTTGCAACAACGTCCCAACGCCTCAGGGTTTTCCTCTTAAATTTATGGCTCAAGAAGGAACAATATCCATTCCATACAAGATATATGCTCACGCAAGCAAATTTACCACGGCTCCAATTTGTCAATTGTGGTGGATCATCTCTCCAACCTAACAACCATACTCCATATTCATCATGCGTACATATGTCATGTTATCCTCATGACAGCTACAGGTGGTGTGGCTATCTATCTAGGCAGCATCATCATCAGCTAATCTGCCCAACCAACACGCACTCATGAAAATCAGATATTTTTAGCAGCATTAAACTATATTAGATCTTGCATGCATGCTGCTGTTTGCTCTATGGCATTTGCATTTTTATGGGGTTTTCCAGGAGTTCTTTCAAAATGAAAAAAAAATCTATTTTACTTTCTAAATTATTCTGTTGGATCACTTAAAAATGATTCACTTACTACTCGGTATAATTTCTTTTCTTTGTTTCTCTTTAGACTAGTTGTACTTTATGCTGAAATTTTGTAGTCCTAGATGATACAACTATCAAAATTTTCTTTGACTGTTTGCTTGCAATTTAAAACCTCTATGTCTAAAGCAGTCTCAGTTCTTTCAACTTATATAAATAGTAAAAAGTATAATATAGGATCGTAAAGAGTCTTTCCCATCCTAAAATCTAGCCAATAAGGTGAGAGGCTTATCCACTTATATATTAGATCCCTTATCCTTCCACAACTAATGTGGGATTATTCAACATAAAAGATATTGAGATATAATTAGTTATAATGCACTATCAACCCTAGCAAATTTTATTGCAAAACTAAAAGATTATTCTAACTAGTTGGGGGGGGGGTGCAAAAGGAGCCTAGCTAGAAATTCTTTTGGGTTAAGGGATTCGGTGAAAAAAAAAGGGGGAAGAAGCTATACAACATTCGACAGTTTTTTCAATGAAAAACTTTCAGATGTAACTACTGTGTAATTGCAATGTAGTTACATTTTAACTACTACGTAACTACAATATAAATAATCTGTAACTCAGATATAACATTGAAAAATTACGATGGAGCAACTGGTTAGTTGAATGAGCATGCAAGCTGCAGGTCTCGAGTTCAATCCTTGATGTGAGCATCTGATTTTTTTTTCCATTTTCCTCCACCAGCACAAATCTCAAAGCATATTGGACGGTTTAAAATTTAAAAGTTTTCATCCCTGAAAACTGTTGACAGTAGGATAGCAAATCCGAAAAAGAAGTTTGGTGAAATAAATGGGCTTCTATTTCTTTAGAAAGTATATATACGTATACATCCTGATCTGCTACTACGTTTCACATGTTAGCAAAGGACGCATTGACACGGTCATCTACACACGATTACATACGTACGTACAATTTTGATCGGTATATTAATTTCTCTTACCATGTCTAGACTTCCATTAATTAAGATGTGAGTATGTTTAGATTCGTTTATTAGAATATGCCATCGATTTATTTTGAACGAAGGGATCGAGTACACATCTTCGCTTAATTTGTTGACTGTTGAGTCGTCTTCTCCTTCTCCTCTCATTTATTTCCGGCCCAGCAGTCAACTACCCTCTGCTACTCCTCCAAACTAGCTCAGCTCTCACCCTTTAGGTCGCCGGCCGGCCGACAACCACGGTCATGCTTGCAGCCAATAGCTTTGCTTTCCCGGCGCCATCAGTGCCCTACTGTTCCATGTTTTTTTTCCTCTTGGTTTGGACATATAATTTTATTTCATGTGTGATAAATTAGCTAGTGTGTCTATATTTTCTCTTGTGTTGATATTAAATATATATCTTGCACACTCGGTAGAGATAAAATGTTTTTCTCTCGCCGGTTCTTGAGAAATGGCAACAACATTAACTGCAAACATGGCAAAAATAACTTGTCTCAAGTGAAAGGAAATTTTATCCAAACCACAAAACACTTATATGACAACAACTATGGAACAACCTCTTCTTATGACTTAATCCTTACCTATAACTTACAAGCCAATCATTACAATCTATTTGTTAGAGCTGTGTAACATTGTGTACTAAATATTGCTCTCTCCTAGTATATTGACATGCAATTATTTTATGTGTTTGGGAAAAAATCAAAGCTGTGGAAAATGAGATTTGAAACATACGGTATATAATACTACATTTATATATAGCATTATCGATATAAACTTTAGAGTAAACTAACGAAGTGACTAATACATCTAACCATGTCTATCTAAAACCGGTGGAATTCGTTGAAGGTCAAGGGGGCGGTCAACAAACGTGTAGCTATGTACGTGCTGGTGGCGGATGACCTCTTTAAATTCGTTCCATCGATCCGTATGGGTTCTAGCTAGCTAGCAACGTATAGTTGCAACTTGCACGTGACCACATCTCTCTCTCTCTCTCTCTCTCTCTCTCTCTCTCTCTCTCTCTCTCTCTCTCTCTCTCTCTCTCTCTGGGAAAAAAATATTTGCTTAGAATAGTTAAACGCATGGGTAATTTTTTGAGATTCCATTACTATTAGTTCATTTTAGCACATAAATGGAGCATTATTTTTTCGAGGAAATGGAGCATTATTTTTTTCGAGGAAATGGAGCATTAAATGGAGTATTTATGATTGATAGAGGTTCAGTACACTCTTTCTGTTTAATTTACTCCATTCATCTACTTTTGATAGTCATATTTCTAAATCTGAAAATTTTATTTTTGCTACGCATATTTCAATCCAACAACCTATCATCTTAATGATTTTCTCATATTTAATGCGTGACTCTTCATTCTTCCACATAAGATTGGCTACATGGACATCAAGAAATATAAATATTAATGAATCGCTTGTTTACGATGAATGATTAGTAGCATGTTTAAATAAATAATAAGTATAATTACTTATTTTTGGTATGTGTGCCAAGATGAAATATGACTACTAAAAATAGATGAAGAGAGTATATTATAAGGGATTTTAATATGGGACGGAGGGAGGAGTATGTTTGAACATATGAACATTCATGGATATGTACATATCACAATCGATCGAGGAAGAGCTTGCTAACACAGCGGCCGAACAAGAGCTTAATTAGCGCACACACGTACGTGCGATGACGATTACTACATTAAATAAAGAACGTGGATATGAATTTGTTTTGTTCGGTATATTAATATTCTTATTGTCATTAGCCAGACTCTACTTAAGAGCGCGTTTAATCATCGATCCACATGGATATTCCTACGCACGCACACATGCAATTACACATTTCGTGACACGTAGTACCAATTTAATTATCTAACAATCTAGAATAGCTGATATCCAATTAATCGATCCATGATGAATACATTCAATATAATATATATACACAGATATGCATGCGATGGTCGATCAAGATCAAGCGACCATGCATAGCATAGAATAGCTGCAATTGGTCAAAGGAGGATCATCTCTCCAACCTAACATCCAAGGATAATATATATTGTCTGCATATGCAGATGCAGATGCGTACCGTGCTGATCCTGGGTGAAAGCTACAGCTACTGCATTCAGGTGACTAACTTGGATATAGTAGCTAATTAAGTTGGTATCGATCAGCTAATCTGCCTAACCAGTAACCACACACACCTAAGAATTAATTAAATCGAGATCTTTTCTTCATCAGCACTAAATTAAACCAGAATATACCAGATCTTAATTAAATCGCATGTGTCCAACTAATATTAATATTTGCTTTTTTTTGCCAAATCCAGTGTGTTGCTTGCAGGTGTAATTAAGACCAGCGCTAACAACATGGCTGGGATTAGGTCAGGTGGTTGCATTTGAATTCCCCGCAAAAAGAAAACAAAAGTTGGTTGCATTTGCTGCGATTTGCTTTAATTTAATTTTCCATTTCCCTGTGCGACTAATAAATTGCTCGCTTTTTTGTTAATTAAACAAATCAAATACAGGGTACGTTGCTTTTCGGAATCAAATCGTTTCAGCTTCGAGTCCAAATCAAATTAAACGTAGCTAGGGTGAGATCATAATCTGTTCATCTCTCCTACCACCTGTGGCCACCTTCCCAACTGCAATTCTCTTTATTAATTATTACTCCTATCTGTTGGTCTCACTCGCGATTGTAGTGGTGTGATATTGGTTCAATTTCTAGTAGATCTTGATTTATGGGGATGCGGTATTTAATTTTTATATTTTGTATATTACTCTATTTTTTTACTTCTTTGTTGTTTAGGATTATTAAACGGAAATGTGTAAAATATTTACAAAGCATAGGATGGTGAGATGTTAATTTGGACCTATCATTTAGAAATAAAACGGAGAAATTAAAAATAGTTTTAGGTTAACATCAATGGATACGACCATTAACCTTAGTGATTTGAGGTATTTCCTTAGGCTTTAAGACAAGCTATCTCTATAATATTACATAGTTACTAAATAGTTTAATACATATAGTTTACCTAAAACAATGCTATGGATTCATTGACCTACCCAATTATAAGTCAGAATTAAATTAAAGCGTGCCGCTAAAGAAAGACCAGCCATTGCTACTGCCATCGCTGCCAAGGGTCAGGCAACTTGTAGCATAAGAACAATTTTCAGAGCTATTTGAAGTTGAAGCATGCATGAATATGATTTTGAAGTTGAAAGTTCGAATTTTTGTTTCATGAATATTAAGAGGAAGTCACTTTGAGTAATATACAAGGCGCCGGTTTTATATATATGATGGGAATGTCTAGCTTGTCTTTTTTTATTGCCAGCTTAATTAAACGTGTAATGTGCTTGTTTCTTTTAATTCGGTTCGTTGGCGGTTGCGAGCGAATTCAGTTCTAGTCTTCTGTTTGTGCTATCTAGTATGACATTTTTTATGTATACAATAAATAGCGTTAATTTGATAAATATAATGTGTCCCTATCGTGAAAATGCAAGGTTTTTATGATTTTATTTAGCTTAGCTGGAGCAAATTTGTTTCACGGCACAACTTCAGATGGCATTTTGTCAATCTTATGCGAGCTTGATTATATATATAATCAAATCATTATTTAAACGGTTGGTAATTAATTAAGTCTGATTGACGGTACAATTATTAGTGATCGACTGGCTGGCTAAAATTTCCTCAAATCTTTACTAGGACATATATTGCCTTATTCTGCTGTACATCAATTTAATTAGTTGTCATCAATAGTTCCTAATTTGTTCAGAAAATTAAACTTTCTTTTACTTTCAGTCTACCGCTAAAACATTGAGACAATAATACTCCCTTCGTTTCACAATGTAAAACTTTCTAGCATTGCTCATATACATATAGATGTTAATGAATTTAAACACATACATATGTCTAGATTCATTAACATCTAAATAAATGTGGACAATGCTAGAAAGTCTTACATTATGAAACGAAGGAAGTAATTAAGTTTGTCTAAGTACGTACTTCACAAGACAAATCGAAACAGATTAAAAAAACCCTATCCCTATGAGCACCTCTGTCTTAGAATACATGCATCGACTATCACTAAAAGAATAATTAGCCGTAAATGTGAGCACTAGTGTCAAGTCTAGAATTTATACCCGGGTGGATTGGTTCCACCACAAATAACTTAGTTTTAAAGTATACTATAATGATAGTACTTGCCAGTATAATTCTAATCATAGGATTTTAGTGTTAAAAAATCTAGCTATATCCATACTCAAAGTTTTGAAGGTTTGGCTGGGCCGGAAACAATTAATCCAACTCCCAAAGGACAAGGTATGGTACAGAGTGTCCGCTTACTCCATCTTTAAAAATAGCCTTTGTCTACAGTTGTAATCAGAAGTTGAATTCTTCTGCAAAAAGGGTACATATATGCATGTTCAGGTAACAACGTTAACGTTAAGAGAAATTTTACATCCTACAGAAAATAACTTAATAAGGTACCTAAATTTTACGTTAAATTTGTTGGTACATTAAGATATTTAGTACCTGAACGTACTAAATTTTACGCTACAAAATATGGTAACTTTATAAGGATGGTAAAATTACTCTAACGTTAATCTACAACCACATGAATAGGTCTCGTCCATGAATTAAGGAAGAAAATGCTGCAAGTAGCCTTATCAAGCTGTAATGTTTTGGCTCTAGTGACTAGTGTAATCAGTGTTTTACTGACCTAACACATCGATCGCGAAGGGATGACACCGGACCGACTGATGGGGTACGTAGTGTGTCATGCGCTGTCAATGTGTAAAGCGACTTGTTATTCTTTTTCTGTTTTGTTTGGTGGCTGTGAAAGCTGTGGTTTCAGTAATAAAATGGGAGACCTCAGCTCTCTTTCTAAACAGGAAAAAAAAAACTATGGCGAAATTTATTTAGACAGCTGCTGGCCTTTAAATTGTGTTGCGGCGCACTGCGACCATAGGGAAAAAATTGCTTTCAATCAATATCCAAGATTTAATATCCAGCTTTATTAGAGGGTTTGTAATAAGGACACAACTAACACTGACATATTCAACTTTGATGTGATTTATTTCTCCATATGTTTTGTTAGGATGCATCATCCGATATGTAGTATTTTTACTATATAGGTGTAGTTTTTTTCACTCGTTCAAACGTAATTACGTTTTTTTAAGAAAAAAGAGGGAAAAAGTTTTGCCTCGTATATATATTAAGAGTTAATTTCACTTTGGGTCATATTTTATTGTCAAAGTTTCACTTTGGACTATCCTTTGTCCAATCTTTTCACTTTGGACTAGATAACTTTACCTTTGTTGCATAATGAACCACCCCAAACCACATCTTCAGTTCTTCGATGACTTCGAGCAAATTGTTAACAACACATCAGCAAACTTCCATACCTATATGCATGCCATACCTTTGTCAAAAGAGACGCTAGACATCACTAGATAAAAGAGAAGGGTGGTTCATTATGCAACAAAGCTAAAGTTACCTAGTCTAAAGTGAAAAGATTGTGTATAAGGTGGTTAAAGTGAAACTTTCACAATAAAACAAAGCCCAAAGTGCAATTCACTCATATATTAATAGAGAAAGAATAATCACATTTTTTTATTGAGTAGAGTATATTGTTGTCGTGTCGACATGGTTCGGATCAGAAAGGAGAAAAAAAAGATTCAGGTGGTGTTCTTTTCTCCTGAAGATGAATATGAAGATGAAGATTAAGTTTTTTTACATAAAACAATATGGTATTAACGTATGACTGATTGAGTTTTAATTATTACAAACTTAAAAAATAAATTAATATGATATTTTAGAGTAACTTTCATATAGAAAGTTTTTGCGCGAAACGCACCGTTTAGCAGTTTGAAAAACGTGCCACGAAAATCTTTATCTTATTGGAGAAAAGAATGGGACCTGATGTCCAATAAAAAATAAATCCGAACGGATGGGAGTTAATTATAGGACAGCTCGTGTGATTTATCAATCATCAGTTGGGGTCGGGAATTGGGATAGCTGGTATCAATCTTCACTCCCCATTCTTTTCTCCAACAAAAGTTAGATAAACTTTTGGATACTCGTGACAAGCTTTTCAAACTGCTAGACGGTGTGTTTCGTGCAAAAACTTTATACATGAAATTTGTTCTAAAGTATCAGATTAATTCATTTTTCAAGTTTGTAATAATTAAAACTCAATTAATCACACGTTATTACCACCTCGTTTTGTGTGAAACACTTAATCTTTATTTTCATCTTCATCTTCAGAAGATTCAAACACCAGACTCTTCAATAGACTTCTAAATCAGACTCTCCAAACATCCATTTAGCTAACTCTTCATTTGATTTAGCAGGTTAGACACGTTACTCACTCCAACAACCTCTTCATCTACACTCTTTATTGTAAGTCTATGACAGTGGAACCCATATGTCAGTCTCTCGTTCATTCCTCCCGTTCTCCTTCTCCCAATCATTCCTCCATGGCTCCATTCTCAAAAACAGTGGTTGCGAGAGGGGAGATATTAGCGGCAGCGGCAAGTGGTGAGAAGGTAAGAAGCTGTTGGTGGCGATAGGGGAGGTGGTAGAGTGGTGGCTTAGGACGGAGTGACGGTGACGGACGACAGTGGTGGATGAAGGCAGAGCCAACGTGGGGAGGATGGAGAAGGCGATTGCGGCGGCGTTGGGTGGGAGGGTGACGACGAACGACAGTGGCGCTATGGGGGCGACGACGGACGACAGAGATGTTGGGTGGGCAGCTGTGACTTGTGGATCCACGAGATTTGGAGGCTACTCACTGGTGTTGTTGACCGTGACTCCGACACTCCTCGCCGGCCTCGTCCTCTCTCTCTTCCTTGCCGCCGAGCCGCCCGGCCCGCCACCACGCCCTCCCTCTCTCGCAGCTGCCCGCTCCCTCCCTCACCGTCGTGCCGCCCCGCCACATGCCTTCCTCCACTCGGCTCTCCCCCGCACCCTTCCTCGCGACTCCCTCGCCGTCACGCTGTGTTAACAGTGAAATTTGGTAAAGCCCGAAGTCACCATCGGCTTAGAGTTAATATCGGCTGGAATCAGCCGATGGAAGTCGCCAAGTCGCCATGCTGTCGTGTTCTTGGTGGAGTCGGATCAATCAAAGGAAGCTTATCTAGAAGAGTTCGAGTTCAAGGAGGATGCGGCATGGCAATTTATCTATTAATTAGGCATAATTTGTTAGTTTCCTTTTATCTTTAGAAAAGTGTGTTTAGTGTCTGATAAGGACTTTATCTCTTCCTTTTATCTTTAGGATAGTTTCTTTCTTGTCTGGCAAGGACTTGTATCAACCCATGGGTATAAATATGTACACCCAGGGTCTATGTAATCCATCAATCACGATCAATACAACTACTCTCGGCGCATCGCCACCCTCTTCCCTGAGGTTTTTACTTATCTTCCGGTGGAATTTGGGCACCTGACGCGGGGCTGCATCGGTTTAGTTCGATCTCCAGCGAAGGGGTAAGTCCTACGTTCCGTCAGGCCCTAGTGAATTTGTCATCTACATCGGCGTCGTTCAAGGCTGCATCAGTATATTCGACCTCTTGGATTGCTACGGTTTGGATGATATATTTACCTACCTATTTATCATATGTCTCTGTTAATCTAGTCTTAGCATATCAATTTAGCTTTATAGGCTGCTTCTCGCTTTAGGGTTTCTGCCGGTATCGGCTAAATCGTGTTGCTAGATTAGATTAGCTTAGACGTCTACCACCCTGAAAATCAGTCAAGGGCTTGATTGTCTAGATATTGTGTTTCTTTTCATACTTAGTGCTGCATCAGTTAAGTTTGATCTACTAAGTCGTGCTTAGAACCATAATCTCTAGCCTGCTTATTGACTGCCAATAAGGGTTTCATCGGGGTTTCAGCCGATGAATTATCTAGACGTTGCATCGGCTTATAAGGATTGTATACATATTGGATTTAGCCGATCGCAACAAAGATTTTATCGTTTAATCTAATCTTGTGGATTTTATGACATCGGACCTCCAGCCGATGTATGCTTTAACCATCGGATCAGTGCTTATTCTATCATGTCATTGTTAGCCGATTGGTTTATACTGGATTATATTGTTATTTTATTACATCATCATCAGCCGATTGCCTTTATATCATTATCTACATTGGACATATAGCCGATTGCTTAAATCCTATCGCTATCGGCTGGTATCGGCATCGGCTATTATCGGCATCGGCTGGAATCGCTACATCGGCTTGTCAGCCGATCGGCCGTTTTATCTGTTGTTTACATATCTTGTCAGTTGCAGGATCAAACTGACTGGCACGCCCGCATCTCATCATATTTGGACCTGCACTGGAGCTAAGCAGATCTCCCAGGCCGCCGTGTTCGATTTTTACGTCAACACGCTGCTCCTCAACGAGATTGGGTCAATAGCGGCGTTGCTAGTACTTGGCATAGACGCTAGGTGGAGCTCGATGTAGCTCGCGCTGAGGGAAGGAGGCAGCGGTCGCTGAGGATGGTGGAAGGCGAGGCTATCACTCTGTGGCCATTACTACACTTGAAAGAGGAAAAAATGTGGTGGGACCCATGAATGACAAGTGGAAGTAGGCTGGCCAAGTTTGGCAAGTGAGAAGGAGTTTGGCTAGTTAGTGAACACTTTTGAGGGGTTTGGAGGTCGAGATATCCGGTTTTGTGGTTTAGGGTCATGGATTATATTTTGATCACTTTTGAGGGTCACCAAGTGAACTTATTCCACAAGCAAAGCCTAGCTAGTTAGGACAAGGAAAAAGTACACCGAAGGTCCCTCAACTTGTCATCGAGTTACAAAATCGTCCCCCAACTATAAAACCGGATACAACACATCCTCCAACTTATAAAACCAGTGTAAACCAGGTCCCTCGGCGGTTTTAACCCCGGTTTTATCCGACGTGGCAGCTAAGTCAGCGTGAGACCCAGTGGACCCCACGTGTCAGGATGCCACGTCGGCAGGCCATCCTCTCCCTTCCTCTCGTTTCCTCGCTCTCCCTCTCTCTCACTCTTCTCTCTGAATCTGGGCAGGCCGGCCGACGGTGGGGTTGAGATCGCCAAGGCGAGGAGGTCCGACGGCCGTCCGACGATGCGGCGGCGGCGACGCGGGAGAAGGCAGCGGCAGGGCGAGGCGGCGTCGGCGGGCGAGCGCGGAGCGGTGGCGGCGGCGGCTGCCACGCGGGAGGGGAGGCCGGCGCTGACCCAGAAGCGGAAGCCGAAGGCGACGACTTGGGCGAGCGTGGAGGCAGAGGAAGGCCATGGCGACGGAGGCCGCGGGCGCGAACTATAGTCAGAGGGTGGCGGCGGCGGCGAGTGGCGTTGCCGGAGTGGCTCCAGCGCCCGTGGCCGACGGAGAGCAGAATTGTTACTCTGCCAACGACGACAAAGCAGACCGAATCCATGGTTTAAAAAACTGCTCGTTTGGAGTTACCACTGCACACCATGGGATGTTCGAGAACATTCGAGGAGAACTCGAACAAGAAACACATGCGGAGGCATGGCGACTTGGAACGAGCCATCGCCCGACACGACGCTGGCTGAACACGACGCACGCACGCGCAAAGCATGGTGAGTTCCAACCACATCGCTGGCCAGCCAAGGCCACGGGGAAAGCAAGCGCGCGCGCGTGCGCGAACGCGGCGTCGAGCTGAACACCACGGAGGGAACGCGACGCAAACTGAAGCAGGCAAAACAACAGGAAGCAGCAAATCCAGGCGAAAGGCGGTGCTCCCCCGCGCGCCCCGCCGCTCTTCCGGGATCGAGAAACTCGCACGGGACACTAGCCTCGATCAAACACGAAGAATCCGACACCGAAATCCAAGCAGGCCGTGAAACGCCACGCCACGACACGCCACGCCACGCCACGCGAACCCTCGCAAGGCGGCGCCAGGAGAGAGAAAGTCATGAGAGGAGCGCGTCCCCCAAACGCGGCGCGTGCGGTGAACCACGGCGCCCCGGGCGCTGGGAGAGACGGGCACGGGATAGATGGGAGAGAGAAGAGAGAGAGAACTTACAGGTGTGGAGGCACTCGGTGATGGCGGTGGCCTCCCGGAGGAGCCCCTTGCGGAGCGGACACGTCGCGCACGCGGCCTTCGTCGCCATGGCCTTCCTCTGCCTCCACGCTCGCCCACACCGTCGCCTTCGGCTTCCGCTTCTGGGTCGGCGCCGGCCTCCCCTCCTGCGTGGCAGCTGTCGCCGCCTCTCCGCCACCGCACTCGCTCATCGACACCGCCTCGCCCTGCCGCCATCTTCCCCTTCTCCCACGTCACCGCCGCCCGCCGGCCGGCCTGCCTAGAGTCAGAGAGAAGAGTGAGAGAGAGGAAAGGAGAGGAAGAGAGAGGATGGCTTGCCGACGTGGCATCCTGACACGTGGGGTCCACGTGGGTCTCACGCTGATTCAGCCGCCACGTTGGATAAAACCAGGTCAAAACCATCGAGGGACCCAGTTTATACTGGTTTTGTAAGTTAGAAGATGCGTTGTATCCGGTTTTGTGGTTGAGGGATGATTTTGTAGCTCGATGACAAGTTGAGGGACCTTTGGTGTACTTTTTCCTTAGGACAATGAAACCTGATGTTTGGTCCACGTACAAGCCCAGGCCCAAGCACACATAGTATGGGCCCTTACACTAATCCTGGTGAGTTCGACTTTGGTCAATCCCTAATTCCCTATGAAGCAAAAACTGGATACAGGGAATACTTGATGTCTTGATCGATAGTTTATCTGAAAATTTTCCATACTAAGTAACCTTCTCTATATAACAAAGTTCGCATGAAAAGTGTATCAGTTATAACTGTTATAAATTTTGATTCACTTAATATATCTTTTAAAACAGCATTAGTGGGTCAAAACCTTGTGCTAGGGTATAACTTGGTTGCTATATTGTGCATATTAATCTAAGTGATGATAAAGATATGTTTAGATGAAATCTTGATACTTGTTCAATACTACTTTGCAAAGAAAAACAAATTAATTCTTAATTAATACTTCTGGAATAATTGGTTCTCCAATACTTGCTTGATACTTAAAAAAAACTAATTCTCGATACTTGTCGATATTACCTTGACACTGTTATGTTAGGTTGTACTTCACTTTCTTGACAGCGATGAGCTGATCATGACTTCCATCGTTTCCTCCATACAACATCAGTTGTTACTAAAAATTTGAATTTTCAAATCCAATTTTAAAGTTGATTTTTGAAGCTTTTTCTTTTTACCAAATTTTATTTTTTTAGCATTAGCATTTAAATCACTAAGAACGTATATATATAAAAAATATTATCTATAAATTACTATTATTTTACTAATACGTCGAATAACATATTTTCGCTTATGCTTATACTTATCAACCAAAATTTAAATTTTCAACCTTAAATTTGAAGCTGATTTTGAGATTTTTTTCATCGAAGTTTATTTTTCATCATTTGCTTTTAGATCGCTAAGAACACATATATGAAAGTTTTTTTCACAAATTATTTTTCGTTTGCAAATATACCGTATGGCCGATAATATCCGCATCCGCATCTAACCAGTAAGCAGTGTGCACTGTGCAGAAAGCTAGGAAAAGCACCGAAGCAGTCAGCCATGGCACCGTGCAAGAAGGTGCTGATGCTGTGCGGCGACTACATGGAGGACTACGAGGCCGCCGTGCCGTTCTACGCGCTCGCCGCGTTCGGCGTCGCCGTCGACTGCGTCGCGCCGGGGAAGAAGCCCCCCGGCGACGCCTGCCTCACCGCCGTCCACGAGTTCCTCGGCCACGACCTCTACACCGAGCTCCCGGGCCACCGGTTCGCGGTCACCGCCGACTTCGCCGCGGCCGCCGCGGCTGACGCGTCGCGCTACGACGCGCTCGTCGTCCCCGGCGGGAGGTTCGTCGAGCGGCTCAGCGTGGACCCGCTCGCCGTGTCGCTCGTCGCGGCATTCGCCGGGGAGGGGGAGACGGCGACGCGCAGGCGGCCGGTGGTCGTGACGTGCCATAGCCAGCTGCTGCTCGCCGCCGCGGGCGCCATGCGCGGCGTCAGGTGCACGGCGTTCTTCAGCATGCGGCGTGTGGTGGAGCTCGCCGGCGGGACGTGGGTGGAGCCTGACCCACTCGGCCTCTGCGTCGCCGACGGCAACGTCCTGAGCGCCATCGGCTGGCCCGCGCACGGCGAGATCATCAGGGAGCTCCTCCGCGCCATGGGCGCCCGCGTCGCCGGCGGCCGCGGCCAGGCCGTCCTCTTCCTCTGCGCCGTACCTCTCGCTCTCTCTCGCCGCCGTTAACGCCTCGCCGGCGGCGCGGCTAACCCGGCCTTTGTCGACGCAGGACTACGTCGACGACTACGAGGCGAATGTGCCGTTCCGTGCGCTGGCCGGCGTGGGCTGCCGCGTCGAGGCGGCGTGCCCGACGAAGCGCAAGGGCGAGGCGTGCGTCACGGCGATCTACGACGCCACCCCGGCGGCGGCGAGCGACGAGAGGCGCGGCCACAACTTCGCGGTGACCGCGGACTGGGGCGACGTCGACGCCGACCGGTACGCGTGCGTCGTCGTGCCGGGCGGCCGCGCGCCGGAGCTTCTGGCGACGCGCGGCGAGGCCGTGGCGCTGGTGCGCGAGTTCGCCGGGAAGGGGAAGGTGGTCGCCAGCATCGACCAGGGCCACCTCCTCCTCGCCGCGGTGGGGCTCCTCGACGGCAGGAGCTGCGCGAGCGGCGTCGCGACGAGGGTGGTCGCCGGCCTCGCCGGCGCGGCGAGCGTCCGGCACGGTGGCGCGGTCGCCGACGGGAAGCTCGTGACGGCGGCGAGCTGGCCTGACCTCGCCGAGTTCATCGCTCACATCATCAGCCTCCTTGGCATCACTGTCTCGTTCTGAAGTGAAGCAGCACTGCACTATGCTTCTCTGTTCTCTCTGTCATGAGTAGTACTGGAAAATTGTCAGATTGACATTAGAGAAATTTTATAATCTTTGAGAATTTGGTGGTTCTAAAATTTTACACTGGAAATTTTGTTACGTACTTAGTATCTATAGGTATCAAAATTTACATTAGAAAATATAATACCTCCCAGTATCTTCTCAAGGATGGTAAAATTATCCTTAATATTATTCTCCAATTTTTCATGGACTGTTCACCTTTCGTGCGATCGAGTCAGATAAGCTGTATCTTTTATTAAGAAGAGACAAATTGTATATTTTCCGACGTTTTAGTATACTGCATCAGATTTCAGAACTGACCTATGTTTCTATTGCTGATAAGGGTAACTTAGGGGACTAAAGAACTCCATGTTGTTTATACAGGTGATAAGAGACAACTGCACGATTTGCATAGTGCAATGTTTTTTTTAAAAAAAATATATCAAAATGCATTATGGGAACTATCAAAGTGTATTACTTGACATAGTTCATGTTTTCTAGGAAAAAAGAACGGTTTTAGCATCAGTTGTTGTTGTTTCTGACCTGATCAGATCTTTTCACCAGAGAACAAAATCCAAGGCATTTGATGTTTATGACTGAAAATTGTGAAAAAAAAGAGTCAGAAAATAAATCTTGGTGGTCAGAGTGACAAACATTCTATATCCTTTGTCTCAAAACAGGCTAGTATTTCAGATCTGCTAGAGATATCACTTATCAGAATCATTACACACCATGCACAATTTAGCCCTACAGCTCTGCACTTTCTTCCCCAAATCTTCTGCCATGCTCAAATTTGGCTTTCTGTGCACTGTGCCATGCTGTTCCTTCTTTGCAGGTCATGACATTACTCTGAATCTGAACCAGATATGGTATTTCCCTTCTTGTCACACAGTCTAGCCAGCTTTTTGCAACAAGAAACTGGTACTACTGAAAAAGATTAGAACATTCAGCTAAGTGTCTTCCTGCTGATATCTCCCATCTGTCCCCTATTGATGATTCTTGAATTGTTCTCATCTCATTTGATTTCGTCCATACTTGTCAGGCACTGAATGTCTGAACTCTGAAACTCTCTGCATCGCTATATATACATGGGAGGTTTTTGTCAGTGTGATGAAGCAAGGTGACCAAGTTAAGGAGAGCAGCAGCTTGCAGAGATGAGAAACTTGGAAGGGAACAGCCATGGGAGTTTTCTGGTGATTCTGTGCTGTTGATGATGTTTTCTCTGAAGATTCTGCTTCTGCGATCGATGTGAGTTCTGTTCAACCTCGGTCTGCTCTGCACGTGCCCTGCGGTTGCTCCATGTTGATAGTAGTAGTAGGACATGAATCTGAGCTGGTTCTTGCTAAGAATTTAGTGTCATTTACCATGCCTTTTAAAGGGATAAATAAGTTGTAATACTGATTTGGGGAATGGACCAGTGTAAGTCGATTTGTAATTTCTGTCCAGGTTTGAACTGTATCAGACTATCAGTGTGTCTTGTACTGAATTTCTTGCATTTCAGAAAGCTTCTGAGGCCTGAATGGAGTTTGTTCAGATTGAGTACGGAAGTTTTTAGGTGTTCTTAAACTGAAAGTTCAGAGTATTATTATTGGGGATTTTGACTAAGTTAAGAAAAAAGAGAGAGAAATGTTCCAGTAAATGGCACTTAAAGATACAGTTCTCATCCAAATGATGTATTGCATTGTTCTTGTAACCTGATGGAGCTGTGACTTGTAACGTAGATTGCTTGTGTTACTGGATGCCGGCCAAATGGCAGTCACTTATTTGCATGAGAATTTCTTGTGATTGATTGCTTAATTTTCTTCAACATGTGGCTCATTCATGAACGAACCAGCCAACGTGTACAACGTAGCTGACGAAGCCTGACAGCTCGGCTACAGTATTAACAAGAATGCCAGAAAAATATATGTGCAGTCTTGCAGATAATAAGGCTTCCATTTTCTGCCAAATGCCAGTACATGCAAATAGGCAAAAAGAATAATACTTCTTTGAGATATTCAAATTATAATGCTCACTAGTCAATAGTCATGAATACCTGAAAAAATAATCCAGAGATGCTAATATCAGTATTGCATGGAGAATACAAAAATACCAACATGTAATGTGTGAACTCTGAAGTATACAATTGCGCAATGAGCAACTTGGAATTAACAACAGATTTATTATGCCATCTCACACACAACCAAATCTATTATGGCCAGTTACAACCTATGCATGCATCCATCCAGTAGTTAACTAAAATAATTAGTACTAATTAAGTGGTTAGTGAGAGATTAGCTAGAAACATAGTTCTTGCATTGCAATGGAGGTCAGGAGTGTGTCGCTGCTGGTTCTGGTGGCCGTCGTCTTGTCGGCGTCCGGCGGCGCGGCGGCGCGGCGGCCAGCGGCGTGGTGGCGACGTACAACCCGGACACCATCAACTGGGACCTCCGCGCCGTGAGCGCCTACTGCTTGACGTGGGACGCCGACATGCCGCTGGCGTGGCGCCGGTGCTACGGCTGGACGGCGTTCTGCGGCCCCGCCGGCGCGCACGGCGAGCCCTCCTGCGCGACGCGGCGCGCCTGCGGCGAGGACTGCGTAGGCGTCGGCGTCGAACAGTTCGCGTGCATGCGTGACGCGGCGCGTGTCGGTGTGTGTGCAGGTGACGAACACGGCGACGGCGGCGAGCGCGGTGGCGAGGGTGGTGGACCAGTGCTCCACCGGCGGGCTCGACCTCGACGTCGCCGTGTTCCGGCAGATCGACACCGACGGCGGCGGCATGGCCAACGGGCACCTCGTCGTCGACTACGAGTTCGTGGACTGCCAAGACTAGGAGCCCTTGATCATCAGTTGATCGAGATCGACATGAACACAATGGATGAATAGATTGTTAAATTTCAGATTACATTATCACATGTATGAATTGGTGGTCGTTTCATGCAATAATTAAGAATGGGAAAAATAATCCCAGATTTATGGGCTTGTTTGGTTTCCAACCATGCCAAACTAGTGGCAATGCTAAATCATGGGCAAGTTTTTACCAATGCTAATATTTTGGCAACATTTGTGTGGTATTGGCTGGTAGAAAACCAAACATTGCAAAAATTACTATTTAAAATGTTAATATTTTGGTATGGCAGGTATTGGCTTAAAACCAAATCAGCCCTATAAAATGCAATCCACTAAGGCCCTGTTTAGTTCCAAAAACTTTTTTCTAAAAACATCATATCGAATCTTTTGACACATGCATCGAGTATTAAATATAGATAAATTAAAAAACTAATTGCACAGTTAGGGGGAAATCGCGAGACGAATCTTTTGAGCCTAATTAGGCCATGTTTAGCCATAAGTGCTACAGTAACCCACATGTGCTAATGACGGATTAATTAGGCTCAAAAGATTCGTCTCGCGGTTTCCAGACAAGTTATGAAATTAGTTTTTTTATTTATGTCCGAAAACCCCTTCCAACATCAGGTCAAACGTCCGATGTGACATCCATAAAATTTTCTTTTCGTGAACTAAACAGGCCCTAAAGATGGGCCAATTTAGATCATGGACCTATTTCTTCCTCGAAGAATATGTGGGCCAATTTAAATTATAGGCTGAATCCAGGGACAGAAATGAGCAGGGCCAATTTTATTTTGGGTTATACCCCTAATTTAATATTCAATAGTTATTTTGCCCCTGTTTTTTGGCTTTCGTTTTTACCCCTATTTATTTAAACGAAACCACTTATTTTGGATGGACAAGTTGACGGTGTTAAATCTTTGATAAAAAAAGACGTTCATACTCATGCTTGCTATTACACATTTGACACTATTTTTGTTTATCAATTGTGTATTTGCCCCCATTCGTACATACAACTTTGCAATCTTGATAAACTTTTATAAGTATGAAACTTTTGACAGAATATCAACAAAATTTTGTTTCAAAATCTGACATAATTTTGCCACACATTTGATATAATTTAGACACATTTTAACAAAAAGAATAACATAATGGCACAATTTTGACACATTAATTGCTGCACAACTACTAAGGCAGCGTTCGTTTGGAGGACATTGAGGGAGAAAGCACCTCGTTTTCCGCACGCACGCTTCCCAAACTACTAAACGGTGCATTTTTTGCAAAAATTTTCTATAGGAAAGTTGCTTTAAAAAATCATATTAATCCATTTTTAAAAATTAAAATAATTAATACTCAATTAATCATGAGCTAATGGCTCACCTCGTTTTACGTATCTTCTCAATCTCCTCAATCCCCTTCTTCTCAAACACACCCTAAGTAGAGTAGCAGAAGTAGAGCAAGCTAACGCAAAGACAAAAAAAAATAAAAATAAAAAAATCCAAATCCAAATCTCCTCCCCTGCCATCTGGTAAAAGGCAAATCCAGTTCTGGAGCCAAGACGATGCTGATCGCCGCCGCGTTCACGTCGTCCTCGGCGCCCAACTCGCCGTCGGCCTGACCTCCCCTACGCTCTGATTGCTGGCACAGCGCCGCGGCGTCCTGCTCCCCCGCACCAAGCTGCCGCAGCCGTCGCTTCCTTCCCGTGCCGCGTCGTCGCATCATCTTCTGCCCGGGCGGGGGTCACTGATTTTGATGGCCCATGACTACTGGTTGAGGGTAGAGGGGTCTTGGGAGTATGGAGCAACACGGGTCACAGCTGGGTCGTCGATCTACCCTGCCTAATGGGTAGATCCGCCCCTGCTTGCCGACGCCTGTAGGGTCGCCGATGCCATCGCTCATTCCTCTCCACCGCCGCTATTCTCCCTGGGTTAGATGGGGAAAGAGGGCACATCAGTCCCCTTACATCTATCAACAGGGGTAGAAAGGTGAATCGAGATTTTGCAAAATCAATATTTCCTTTTTTTTCCTGATTTCTTCCCCAACAATTCCAAGACCACTCACTTTTGTTAAAAACAAGGTAAAGGGTTCACTAGTTTAAAAAAAACAGGGGCACAAAACGAAAACCCTAAATAGTTGGAGCAAAATCACAATTAGATATCAAAACAGGGATAGAAATAAAATTGTCCCTTTTATTTTTGGGCTGAATTCATGTACCGGAAGGAGCTGGGTAATTCCATTTGAGGCCTGTTCTAATTTTTGGCTGGGAGAAAGTTGTACCGTTATCTCGCATATTATCTACGTGGACACTTTCATTGATTAATGTATTTCTCCCTTCCGCGCAAAAAAAAAGAGGGGGGGGGGGGGTCGGCAATTGAATCTCCGACCTCATTTAATGGCTTCCTCACTAAACTGTCCACATTGAACACTCAAGCTTGTTTCTACAAAAACTACCTCAACAATTGCCCAAAATTATTTCCCGTAAATCTTTTTAAGAAATGTCTAATGGGAATTTAAAATTTGAAAAACATATACTTCTCTCAAGATATCTCTCTGTTCATCCACGCTACCTCGCGTCCCTCTCTCCTCTCGCACTTCCTCGAAATAAGTGTAGAGCAGGAAGTCCGATATCCTTTCTAGAGATATCGGATTTATTTTATACTACAAAACTAAAATTTTAGTTTTGGGACCCGTCTTGGACTCTTAGGCTCTTAGCCGCCATGCTGAAAGGGCCTTACATTCTCAACCACTCCCATTCCATATATCTAAAATAAATTATCAACGTTTACTTGTTTGTCCAAAAAAAAAAACTATTGCAAGCCTGCAAAACGCTTGCTCTGATTCGCAAATAAACTACTTGCTGGCTGCTACAAACCGTTGACACTTGAGGGAAAACAAAATAATGCACTCCGCTACTATAAGAAGATAGGGCATTTGGGCTGCTGCTGCTTGTGTGTTCGACTTCGTGCTGGCTGCTCAAGAAACCGAGAGGTAAGCATCTCGCATATCCCTACAACCTTAATTTGCCAATGAATTCCGAAATCTTCTTTGTCTTTTCGTGTAATTTGAGTTCTGAATTTTGATGTCCCCCTTCTCTCTCGGGTCGTATTTTTTGTTATGAGGAGAGTCTCTCAAGCCATGGCAAGGCCTCCTTTCAAACGCATGAATTTCACATGAATTTTGAAGAGTTCCTCTCAAGAGGGATTTACGGAGTTCAGATAAAACCATTTCAGTTAGCGTACTATCCAGACTATTCATGTGGTATGGAAGGATGCCTAAAAACTTGGAAGTTCTATGAACTTATTTGGTAGGATTCCAACTATCGATGAAGTTGAAGCTGAATCAAATACTACTCAATTCTTATTTCTTTTTGCTAATAATAGAGCAGGTAGATGATGCCAAAGCTTAGGGGTTCTACATATATGAAAACATGTATTGATTTGCTACGGAGATAGAAATTTTACAGATCATCAGTTTCATTCACGAGCAGAAGAAACTCAGATTACCTAAATTCCTCTTTTTTCTTAAAAAAAACTCACTAATTTTTTTTCAGAGCAAAGGCTAAGTATTGTGGATCAAGCATGCTGATGGGCCGTAAGATTATGGGCCTCCTGTTGGGCTGTGTGGGCCTTGTTGCTGTGATGCATGTGGCGGCGGCCCAACAAGCATTCGGCGTGAGAGCCACCTACCACTTTTACAGGCCAGCAGCCAACGGCTGGGATCTGACGGCCACGGGTGCCTTCTGCTCCACGTGGGATGCTGGGAAGCCGTTCGATTGGCGCAGCAAGTATGAGTGGACGGCCTTCTGTGGGCCCGTTGGGCCCACCGGCAGGGACTCCTGCGGCAAGTGTCTTCGGGTAATACCTACTCCCTCCGTTCCAAAATATAAACATTTCTAACTAATAACTGTGCATATAGATTTATAGACAAAAGTTATTATATTTGGGATGGATGTAGTAATATATATCGAGGAATCATCTTCTTGTTGCAAAAGTTTGTTCAACCTTTTTCTTCTCTGATTAAATATAGAAGAAGCACGTATATAAATATCATTACACATATACTCTCTTCGTCTAAAAAGAAAAAGATAACTTCTAAGGTGAATGGGTTATTGCTTATCCAAATTCATCCTCAGAATTTGACTTCTTTAGATGGGGGTGTATATCGTAGTTATGCACTTTCAACGGATGGAGCACAATGATAAATCCATTAACCGCCCTAAAATTTGTATCAAAGACATACCCATGTGAACATAATCTTTTACCTTTTAATGGATCGACAGAGTTACGCACCTATAACTCCACATTGATAGCTACCGATGGATATCGCAGGTGACGAATAGGGTGACGGGAGCCCAGACCACGGCGAGGATTGTGGACAAGTGCGCCAACGGAGGACTAGATCTGGACTGGGACACTGTCTTCTCCAAGATCGACACTGACGGCCAGGGCTTCCAGCGCGGGCACCTCACCGTCGACTATAGCTTCGTTAACTGCGGCGACAACAATTATCTCGCTGAGGTTGTCATTTAATTTGATACATGCTACCACCACTAATAAATTGTTCCGTAAAAGTTCTCTCGTTAATAAATTACACCGTAAATAAGTTCGCCAAATGAGATGGTTGCATGTATGCATAGTGAAGAACAAAAAAAAAAACTCCATGAAATTACCTGTCTGGCTGTCCTGTCCTGCCCTTGTTGTTGTTGGTTCTGAATAACAGAATAAGCGTGTTCCTTTTGTTTAATCAGTTGCATCTTCTGAGCTCAATATCAAAGACCAATGTATGCTAATGTTTGCAGTTAGTTTGGATTAGTTTTGTGTTGTTAAGCTCTGATTATGCCGTCGTTGGATTACCGACCATTTTAAGTTAATATCCGCAATATCATGGCCCGTGTAATGTGGGACATTTCGCTTTCACTTACATCACGGCTCCCATTGAGAGAAACAGAGGTTTTTCTGATAGAAATATTAAATACAAATATTGCACTGGTAAAATTTCGGAAAAGAAATGAGTTTGTGATCCGTATGGAACGGACACCTGTACGTCTGTACGAAATATTACAACACTGACATTCAACCGCATCTGCGTATAAGGATTCATCTTTTCCATTTTACTTCCTAAGTACTCCAACATATACTACTCGATCAATATTGTTACGATTCAATATAGAAAAACAACTCGAATAAATTTGACCAGAGAGAGTATATATCACAATCAAAATTTCCCATTATTTGCATGATGCAACAACATACTGCCGTTCAAGCAGTGGAAAAAAAATCAACAAATCAACAAGAATAAATAATTTATGATTTATTAGTAGAATTTTTATATCCATGCTATGCTTAAAAATCAATGCTGAAAAATAATTACGATAAAAAAACAAAAATGATTTTTTAGATTGTATTTTAACTACAGCCGATAAGATAACAAAACTCGTTGTCTCTCCAGAGCTTCTCGATGCACACCTGCAGCTGAACCAGTCAACATCTCTGCACGCTGCATTCCAACACGAAAGCCAAGCATTACAGCAGCAGCCAACCATTCTGGAAATCTCCATGATTTGTACTGTTCGTTCGTCATCGCGATCGGTTCCTCGCATCACAGACGACTTGAGCTGCAATTAGTACTCTCTCCGTCTCATAATATAAAGGATTTTAAGTTTTTACTTGCACAGTTTGACCACTCGTCTTATTCAAAAAAAATTTAAAATTAGTATTTATTTTTTTACTTACTTTATTATCCAAAGTACTTTAAGCATAACTTTTCGTTTTTTATATTTGCACAAATTTTTGAATAAGACTAGTGGTCAAACAGTACAAACAAAAACTCAAAATCCCTTGTATATGAGACGGAGGGAGTACTTCACCCAGAGAGATTATTATAACTTGTAGCGGTATATTAATGATAAAAAATAATTTATAAGTGTACTTTTATATAAGTATTGTTAGTGCCTTAAAAGCTGATACCAATAAATAAACTACATTGATTTTTTTTAAAATCAATTTAAAATTAAAATTTAGGCAACAGTTTTTTTTATAGGATGGAACAAATTAAGCTTATTCATCCATCCCCGATTTATATTCAACAAACTCTGAGGAAATTAGCGGATAACTTTGATCGAAGGAAACAGATTTTGTATGAATTACACTAACTTCTCCGAATCTACAAAGGATATGCTTTATCTTTGTCCGCCCAAAATCTGCGGCCAAATTAGTATGCAATCAGTGAATATATCCACGTAATTTGTTCACTATCACACACAATTGGTTCCATGCATGAATGCGTGGAAATTTCATGGAATTTGATTTTCGGAAGCAAGTGAAAGAGTCATCCATGACTCGGACGCGTCACCTCCTCTGCCTCTATTTAAGCTTGTGGAATCAAAAGCCACCTACATTTCACTAGCAGCTAGCAAGTGTACACACATCTATAAATTGTAGTAGTAACCACCTTAGCTGAGGTGATGGCCATGGCGATGAGAAGGGTGGTGCTGGTGGCGGCGGTGCTGTGCGCGGTGGTCGCCATGGTCACAGCGCAGGAGGCATCCAACGTGCGCGCCACGTATCACTACTATCGCCCCGCGCAGAACAACTGGGACTTAGGAGCCCCAGCCGTGAGCGCGTATTGTGCTACGTGGGACGCTAACAAGCCACTGTCGTGGCGTCAGAAGTATGGCTGGACTGCCTTTTGCGGGCCCGTTGGTCCTAGGGGTCAGGCTGCATGTGGCAAGTGCCTTCTGGTAATAATTGCCTCATCTGATTTTTAATCAAGATTTTTAACTATAGAGATATGGTTTGTTTATCAAGAAGCCATAAGTAAAGTAACAATAGAGTTGGTTTACAAGTAAAATTTCAGCTGAATGGCCCTTCCCAACAGAGTTAACCATCTGAACATCATGTCATATTGTTGCAGGTGACGAACACGGCGACGGGGGCGCAGATCACGGCGAGGATCGTGGACCAGTGCGCCAATGGCGGCCTTGACCTGGACTGGGACACCGTCTTCACCAAGATCGACACCGACGGCCAGGGCTACCAGAAGGGCCACCTCATCGTCAACTACAAGTTCGTCGACTGCGGCGACAACTGATTAAGCTATAGCTGCCTTAGCTAATTAATTACTCTCCATTATTACATGCTAATAAGGTTGCTGCTGCATATACATTATTGTCGACAGGGCAGAGTAGAGTGGTAAACTCTGCCTGATGAATAAATTAAGCAGCTGATAAATAATTGTGATATGTTGATCGATCTGCTCAAGATCTTTGTATACATATTCACAGGAAGTATCAATTAATAGATTTCTCTCGAGTATAATGGACTCTGTGGATGGAGGTCAGCTGGAGATGATCAAACATATCTTAAAAAAATCAATGGCGTCATATATTAAAAAACAGAGGTAGTATGACACTGTAATGGTCCGTATACCTTATATCAGTATATATGATGTAGTGATATTATCTAAAAGGTCTATAAAAATTCCTGGAAATGGATAATCTGCGACTACTAGGTTCTAAAATTCCTCCTGAAATGTTCTACGAGTTAGGTCGAATGCATCCATTTTTCTGCCTCTTTTTGTCCAAGTGTTCGGACTTGCTGACTCCAGACAAAAGAAACGCACCGACCCATTGGTTGGCAGTATGCATGAAAATTGTGGAATGCAGTGCCATTTCTCGCTTGAAAGAATACTGCACTTTGGATGCGTGTGGTCTAGTGGTTAAGGTTTGCATTGCGTCTATTTGTCCGATCTAGTATGCCATCAGTACTTTAAATATAAGAAAATCTCGGTTATTTAATAGAGTTTAAGGTTGAGATGAAGTTGGTTTGATGTACTTTAGAGTTTATTACTGATTTGAAAATGTAACGTCTAGCCATGCATGCAAGTAACACTGAGTAATAGATACAGTAGTTGGATAAAAAATAATCCAACAAACTCCCTTATATTCGTGAAGAAATGAAGAAGTCTAATCCTCATATTTAAATTGTGGAAGGATGGAGTCATATATATACTTCCATATCCCGGGATCCACCTATCAATGAGATAATAAGTGACAAATGAATTTAGGTTTTATTTATAATGAAAATTGGTTATATTTATAGCCTCTGTCACTAGGCACATCGCACCGGGCTCATAGATTTTTTTTAAAAAAAAAACTGAGCGATTGCTTCATTTGAAATTTGGAATGAGCGAGCCTCAATCCCTGACACATCAATCACATGAAGTGCATTTGCGTAAACGGAAAGCTGTTAATTTTATCGACTTCGCGTAAACGGAAAGCTGTTATAATTTGACCGACTTCGCGTAAACGTTAAGCTCTTATCCTGACGTCACACTATAGTTCTGACTACTCCCTCTGTCCCTCCGTCCCATAATATAAGAGATTTTGAATTTTTGTCTACACTCTTTGATCACTCGTCTTATTCAAAAAAATTTAGAATTATTATTTATTTTTTCTGTGACTTGCTTTATTATCTAAAATACTTTAAGCACAACTTTTCGTTTTTTATATTTGCACAAATTTTTTGAATAAGACGAGTGATCAAACAGTGCAAGCAAAAACTCAAAATTCCTTATATTATAGGACGGAGGGAGTATTAGACACGTTGTAACAATCTGTTGCGTGGATTGTTTTGCTTTTACTTGACATCAAACTTATTTATGTGAGAAGGGATTTTTTTTTACCAACCAATATATGCATCTTTTTTAAAATGGAAACTAAACCCCTCAAACAACCTAAAATAAAACTAAACCATATGAAATTCGCTCATATAAATATTTGAACTCAGAATTTTAGGATGCTACTCAGGTCACGACAACCGCTAACAACATATCATTTAGCTAATGACATCAAACTTGTTGACTTAAATATAGATGGTAGACAATATACCGTCAACACGTGACTTGGTGGATCTTAAAATATGTCGGTCCATAATTCAAAAGTGCTTATAGAGACAGAATATGCATATGTACGTTCCTATATAAGTGAGTGTGTATGTATATATATAAGTACCTACACCTATCTTTCGTTTAAAATAAATAGATAACTATTTCCCCTTAACTTAATCGTCGGCGAAGAGCTATTTTCGCTAGCGGGTTTTAACCCCCATCTCTCCTTACAATTTTGCAAACGAAGGGCGTATGTCACCGCCAGCAGAAAAAAACAATGTGTATTAAAAATTATTTTTCTAGTAGCAGTAGAAAGATCTGCATGCTTCTCACTCCAACAGTCCAACTCGAAAGCCAATCACTGCAGCAGTCAACCAATTCCCGAGAACTTCACTGGAATTAAGACATCCATGAGACGTACATGTCCATTCGTGATCGTGTCGGTTCTTCCTCCCGTCAAACACGACTTGACCTGCAATAATTTCAACTAAGCTGGATAGCTAGTACACATATTGCATCCACCGTTTGCTATTCATCAGCCGCGCGCAGTCCAATTTTAAAGTTTCAAATTTATCGTAGTTTATTTTTTAATATTAATTTTATATAAAAAAGCATATATAAAAGTTTTTGTTTATAAATTATTTTTTAAGTCGTTAATAAATACTCCCTCCTTCCCTAAATGTTTGACACCTTTGACTTTTTTAAACATGTTTGACCGTTCGTTTTATTCAAAAACTTTTGTGATATGTGTAAAACTATATGTATACATAAAAGTATATTTAACAATAAATCAAATGATAGAAAAAGAATTAATAATTACTTAAATTTTTTGAATAAGACGAACGGTCAAACATTTTTAAAAAAGTCAACGGTGTCAAACATTTTGGGATGAAGGTAGTATTATGTCTTATAATCAACTGGTAGTCGAAACGGTAGGTTGTTTCAGTTTCTAACTATGAACCTCTAAACATAAACAATACTTGTCAAAGTGTATGGAAATAAAATTTTAGTTTGGAACGAAGGTAGTAGTTACTTGTATGCATAACAATGCTTACTCATCCGTCCCCATCACGTGAAAAAAAATCTTTTCTTCACATAAAAAAGAAAAACTCATCCATCCCCAATCTATATCATATCTATCACATACAGTCATACAGATATGCAGCAATGCAAGCTCAGCTAGTCAGCTCTCACAGACAAGTCGAAACTTCTATCACAGATTTCTGGTCGATGGATCGAGTTAGCCTAACTTCTCCGATTGTACAAGAGATATGCATTTGTTCGCCCAAAATTGCGGCTGAATTTGTATGCAATCAGTGAATATATATCCACGCAATTTGTCAACTTGAACACACAATTGGTTTTCCTTGGATACATGTGTGGAAATTTCACCGAAGTTGATTTTCAGAAGCAAGTGAAAGAGTCAGCCATGACTTAGACGCGTTTACCTCCTTCTGGCTCTATTTAAGCTTGTGGAATCGAAGCAACCTCCATTTCACTAGCATCTAGCAAGTGCACAACACATCTATAAATCGTAGTAACCACCTTAGGTGAGATGATGGTCATGGCGATGATGAGAAGGGTGGTGATGGTGGTGGCGGTGCTGTGTGCGGTAGCAACTATGGCCATGGCACAAGAGGCGTCCAACGTGCGTGCCACGTACCACTACTACCGTCCGGCGGAAAACAATTGGGATTTGGGGGCCCCGGCCGTTAGCGCGTACTGTGCCACGTGGGATGCTGACAAGCCGCTTGAATGGCGCCAGAAGTATGGATGGACCGCCTTCTGTGGGCCCGTTGGTCCCACTGGTCAGGATGCATGTGGCAAATGTCTCTCGGTAAGAATGTTTTTTTTCTTTCTTGCGTTGAGAAATGTAATACATATTAGATATCGAGACAAGCTTATAACTTTGACCATTGTTTTTTTTTAAAGTATATCACTACAAAATTAGCACCTTATGAAAGTATTTTCAAATAAAACTTATGATGATAAAATCCAACTTGTAAAACTAGTTTTACGATATAATCTACTTAGTATCCCCCTCTTACATAACTTACACCGATTTTAACTACACGTCGTTTCTTAAAAGATATTTGCTCTGGTCCAACAAAAAGTATTTCAAGATACCAGTATCTCATGGTACCAAGATCCAACGATCGGAAACGATTTGGTACCATGAGGTACCGGTACCTCGAGGTACTTTTCGTTGGACCGTAGCAAATCTCTTCTTAAAAATCTATAAAAAAAATTAAACGATATCGTATTATCAAATTAATTTGCATGCAAGTATAATTATACTACTCGCATTCATAAAAATATATAATTTAAAAGTTGTATTGGTTAAAAGTAAAATCACATTGGTCAATGACCAATGATGTCAAGTAAAAGGGAAGGCTGAGGGTACAATCGAAGGGAGTAATTAAATGATGATATATAACAAACTTATCTGTGACAGGAGAGAGTAAACAATAAAATTACACATGATCCCCCAAGATATATGACCATGGAGTGTGTGTAATATTTGCAGGTGACGAACACGGCGACAGGGGATCAGATCACGGCGAGGATCGTGGACCAGTGCGCCAATGGGGGGCTGGATTTAGACTGGGACACCGTCTTCTCCAAGATCGACAGCGACGGTCAAGGCTACCAGAATGGCCACCTCATCGTCGACTACCAGTTCGTCGACTGCGGCGATAACTAGCAGCTAATTAACCACTCTTATAAACTTCCCTACATATATATACACATTTCGGACAGAGGAGTAATTAATATATCTCTGCCTGATGAATGAATAAAGTGGCTGGTGAATAATTGTGATGCTAGGCTGCTGTAGATCGATCCGTTTACACATGCTCGAAGTATCAATAAAATTGTGTGGAAATGTGATGGATTTCTGTGGCTAAAAGCCTAAAAAGAGGTGTCAGGTTTGGCAAGTTTGGCAGAACGGTTCACTAGTTTCGGGTCAACGAATCTGAGGTCCCGTTCGAATCTTATCAAGATGAATTAAAATCGGGCACGCAACACGAGCAAGTTATTAGCGCGTGATTAATTAAGTTATAATTATTACAAACTTAAAAATTGAATATATTTGATATTTTAAAGCAATATTCATATAGAAAGTTTTTGCACAAAATATGTTGTTTTGTAGTTTGAAAAGCGTGTTAACGAAAACGGAGATAAAATATTTATCTTTATGAGAAAAGAATGGGCCTCAGTGTTAATTTCGTAATTTTGTGGCTCCGTTCCTTTTTTGGGGCGATTGCAAATTTACCACTACTTTAAATCGTTATTGCAAAACTGCCATTAGAAAATTGTAAAAAATGACAATAGAATTGTTATTAGTGGCATCCTTGCAATATTAAAAAAAGGAAAATTGGAACCATGCTATTATAATTTTGTAAAATTTGAGATATGCCATCCTGACTCATATGTCATTGACTCATGTGAGTTCTACATGTCATTAAGATACCGATGGCATATCTCAAACTTTACAAAATTATAATGGCATGGTTCCAATTTACCCTTAAAAAACCGGTGGCAAATTTATAAATTTCTTTTTTCTGCTCTGTTTGTGGAAGTTTTACGGTCTCTGTTTTGATGTGTGACTGTTTTGACTTAGCTCCAATTTCTGCTGTAGACTCTATTTTCTGACTATTTTGTCTAAGTGTTCGGCTTGCTGACTCCAGACAAAAGAAAGGTCAAAACCCTGTTTAGATGGGACTAAAATTTTTTAGGCCCTATTACATCAGATGCTTGGATATTAATTATAAATATTAAACATAGACTATTAATAAAACTCATTCTATAATCCTGGACTAATTCGCGAGACGAATCTATTGAGCCTAATTAATTCATGATTAGCCTATGTGATGCTACAGTAAACATACGATAATTATGGATTAATTATGCTTAAAAAATTTGTCACGCGAATTAGCTCTCATTTATGTAATTAGTTTTATAAGTAGTCTATGTTTAATACTCCAAATTCATCCGATATGACAGGGACTAAAGTTTAGTCCCTGGATACAAACACCACCTAAATCGGACGCACCGACCCATCATGGGTGGTTACAAGATTCATGGAATGCAAATTGGAGAATGCAATGGCATAACTAGCTTCAAATACTACTAAACACTACTGCAATTCTTATAAGATTAAGAGGAAAACGTGCACACACACGTGTCACCGTACTCACACACTCGTAAATATGTTCTTAAGGCGTTTAGAGGGACATAGACTAGAGGTAAATTCTGATCTTGATGGGATAACCAAATAGCTGGTCCAGCTGAAAGACCAAATGTGCATTCCAACCGCTATAAATCAATTGAACTAGGTGTTTTTTTTTGTAGAACTCGGAAAAAAAAACAGAAGGTGATTTCCCATTAGCACAGAGGTTCTCATGTCTCATCCACCAGGCTATGCTACTTGTTGCAACACATACCGCTTTGAACTGGCCATTTAACCGGTCCAACCGGCCAACCAGTGAACTGAGTTTCCATCACCGGTCCGGTTATAATAAATAATTTTGGTTATACACTTATGACTCTATGATCATATTGCACATGTCTTTTACAATTATGGATGAATGGTCGCGTAGTCAAGGTTTTCGTCTCCCATAATAAATTACTTGGATTGCGTATCTCAAGAGCCCACCTGACATTAAGATAATAAGTGATGAACAAAATTGGTTTCTTCTAATAATGAAAAAGAATATACATGCCTAGGGATGGCAATTTGACCAGTTTGTCAGTTTACCCGTGGGTAAAAACTCTAATAGAGTTGGGTCTGTTATCCATTTAGTACCCATGGGTTTCTTATTGGGTCAAAACCTGTACCTGACGGGTAAATGGGCACGGGCATGAGTAGCCCGCTTCGCCCGTTTACCCATGAAAACCAACTAATATGTGGGCCCTCAGTCAACTTAGTATAAAATCCACCATCTAGTATTCTAGGGTTTTCTTCCTTCCCTTCTCCTTTCCTCCATAGCCGCCACTCCAGGGCTCTCTCCAGGTCGCCAGGGGCAAGGGCGGCGCCAGGCTGACACGAGAGGGGGACGTGAATCGCCACCACCTCCCACCTCCGGTCGTCGCCGGCGGCCCCACCCTCTAGCTGGCAACTTTCACAGCCGCCACGGGAGGGTTAACCAAGCAAGCTGTGACCGTCGCCGCATCCTACCCAGGCTGCGTCGAGCTCCCACCTCTAGTCGTCGCCGGCGGCCCCACCCTCTAGCTGGCAACTTTCACAGCCGCCACGGGAGGGTCAACCAAGCAAGCTGCGATCGTCGCCGCATCCTACCCAGGCTGCGCCGAGCTCCCACCTCCGATTGTCGACGTCCTCTAGCTGTCGGTTGCCTCCTTCATCCGCTTGCTTGGCCGCCTCCCACCTCCGGTCACCGCCGCCTCCTACCTCCACTGCGCTGAGCTCCCCCTTCGGCCGTTGAACTGTGACGGGTAAACGACATGCCCACGGGCACATGGCACCCGCGGGCGACGGTCATGGACAGTATTTCTTTCCTGTCATGTAGCGGGTATACCCGCGGACATGAATTACCTCGTGGGCAAGGGCATGAGTAGTGCCCGTCGTGCCCAGCTGCCATGACATATTTGGATTTTTTTTTAGATAATGGAATATAACATGCCATATTTGGATGGGCCTCAATTCCCACCCATGCTTGTTTACAATTTACAAACCAACATCTTAGCTCCAAATAAAATTGACACTAATAACACTATCTTCGTAACAGAGAGTTTAGTTTCACGGGCGGAGAATAATAATAATACTCTGTCAACTGTAAAGAATTTATATAGGAGTACTCTGGAGGTAAAAGGGGCAAAAAAAAAAGAAAAATAATCATGCTTGTCCGAGCAACAACTATGGTACACTATTTCGGAATGCATAAATATACCATGGGTGACTGAAATTCTAAAATTTTCAATTGAAGAGCTTCAAAGATTTCAACGAATTCCGCTAAGTTTGCAAAATCAAATAGAATTTGAAAGTTTCGGCTGGTAAAATATCCTACCGGGACCCTCCAATAAACCCTGAAATTTTGCGAGTTTTGGGAATTTAGTTCCTGTCAACAGCTGCCAGTGCCACACCCTTCCCTTACCTCTGAAACATAGGAAATTTTGCAGGATTTCCATGAGAATTTTTAGTGGCCACCACATATAAAGCGAAGCAAAAGTCACATGGAGCCTGATTTTTTCCCCCATAATCCGTCAAAATTCCAAGCACTTTGTACTTTTTTGCTGCTGGAATTCCAGGGCACAGCACATCGATCTGGCCCTTGGGCGATTGACAATTTTGCGCCACATAGCAGCAGCAGATAAGGTTTTGGAACGGCTGCTACACGTACGAACCAAAAGGATGACCAAGAAGGAGAATTTGAAGATTTTTTTATAGTATTAATTATGATTGTTGATCGAATTCGTCAATGGCAAAATCGGCCTGGCTCTGGCTGGCTGGCTGCTAATTCATTCCAGAAGGTAGCCAGGAATTTGGAGGTAGGACTAGCATTTACATGAATTTTCTTGAACTGAAGAACAATCATATCTTGAGGTCAATATTGAAGCACAAGTTAATTAGGACTTCAATTTACCAACTTATGTGCGTTCTAGCTCTATTTACCAACTCCTTGCCTGTAAAGGTTTGGAGATTATTTGGAATAATTAATAGGAGTATTGCTTGTGTTGATGTGTGTAATTAACAGATACTTGTAATATTAATTCTGGTGTTTGGAACATGCGCTTATTGCTAATGTGCTACTTACATTCTTTTTTTTTTCTTACTACCCAGTGCTAAAAGAGTATTACACGTTAGGTGTGTACCAGTGCTTCCCAATTACTAATATACAGGGGAAGAGAAGAAGAAATGAAGAGTATATATGCTTCTCACTTGCAACCATGGAATGGAATTAAGACACAAATTCTTCATGCCGGAAAATTCCACAATGCACGGCTCTCACACCCCTATATATATGGTCCCAAAGTTTGGTGCATACTCCCATCTGCAACAGAGAAAGATTGTGCCACAGTACAAACTACCTCATTCTCCATCAGGTGCACAATAGAAGAAACTAAGGTAAGCACTACATTGGCACCCATTCACCCAAGATCCCTATTTCTCTCTTCCAAATCTTCCTCTAGCATGAAGATAAGATTGTACTTATGATAACGAATTATCTTTTTATTTATACACATGAATATTTAGATTCTCAAAGTGATGGCGGGGATCACCGGATCTCGAGCACTCATGGTGGTGGCGCTCCTCTGCGCTGCCGCGGCCATGACTGCTGCACAAGAAGCATCCAACGTGCGAGCCACGTATCATTATTACAACCCACAACAGAACAACTGGGACCTGAACAAAGTGAGCGCATATTGTGCCACATGGGATGCCAACAAACCGTTGTCTTGGCGCCAGAAGTATGGATGGACCGCCTTCTGTGGACCTGCTGGTCCTAGGGGCCGAGACTCGTGTGGCAAGTGTATCCAGGTATTAAAATTTTCTTCACATTGACAACCGATTTGTACTTCAACATTAAACTGAGTCGCTTAAGGATGGTGTGCTAAATTTGTAGGTGAAGAACCGGGGAACAGGTGCGACAATAATTGCGAGGATTGTTGACCAATGCAGCAATGGTGGGTTGGATCTGGACTACGAGACCATCTTCAAGAAGATCGACACAGATGGTCGTGGCTACCAGATGGGTCACCTCCAGGTCGATTACAAGTTCGTCAATTGTTGATTTGGTCATGCCTCTTTGCATGATCATATACTGGAATAAGAAATATATGGTGTTATACAATAAGATGGAAGAGGTTGGCACTCTGTAATCATGCTGAATAATGAATAAACGAAATTACAGTTCAACAAAGATTGTTTCATATCCTTAAATTTCCATCCCCCTGCCCTGTTATTTCATATTTTCGCACTATTGCGAAGGCCAAGCGCCAGCATGTGAAATTTCAATTTATCGTGGAATTGATGCAACCCACGAACAAACATATACACACACTTTAATGCCCCAAGTTTAAGGGCTCGTTCGGTTTAGCTAAAATTGGATGATGGATTATGGATTACGGAGGAGATCAGGTCCTGTTCTAAACAGATGATGGACTCTAGGTTTATGATAATTATTCAATGGCACATACGAATGAATTAAATCTTGAAAAGTTGAAATGTTGCTTTAAAAAAGGTATTATCAGAAATGTAGATGAAGTAGGTTAATTCAGAAAAATCATATCGTTTACAAGCTTGGGAAGGTTGTGCGGGATAATCCATAATTCATCACCTATAGCAAATGCACATTAGGTTTTTCAATTAGGCTTCCAAAAAATGCGGTCTCCCTAAACTTTTTCAATCATCAATTCATCATACCTTAGGTTTTTTTTTCAAAATATTGATTATCTTTATATCCTATAATATTTAATTAAACCCTATAAGAGAGATAATTCATCATCCACCATTTAATCTGTTTCATCACAAGTTTTAGGTCCGTTCCAACTAAACCTTGTGACCTAGGAAATCAATAAGATAATCCTCACGTTTGTGTCCAAATAGATATGCGTTTATGTCCAATTAGACATGCGTCGAGTTCATGCCTTCATGGTGATTTATCGTAAGAACTAGTGATGTTGAGTGGGCACACGGACAAATACAAATTGACCGACTCTAATTTAACTAAAATATATATCATCACATTATAAACTAGCAACAATAATGTACATTTTTGGATGCGAAATAGGACCCCCACGCACTCGCATCCTAGTGAGGATGAATCATTTCAGCTTTCGAAACATAAACAAAAATGATGGGCGAGTACCATATGGTCAGGAAGCACATGAGGTCGTCTGTCATACGACCAGCAGGAGATATCTGAATATCTGAAAGTCACGGCGACAGATCAGAGAGCAATTTCATAGCCGCCATTGCTACCCATCCAGAGTCCAGAGACGTACGTAACATATTTTTGGCATATAAAAGTTTCATGCAAAGACCATAGATATGGCACATCTTAAACACATACCTGCATCGACCCCCAGATATGTGCATATCTGACATTTTCTTTCTTCGTGCTAAGATGGATTCTCTGCTGTCCAAAACCAACAACTCAAATTGGTTTCTTCAGACAGTTCATTGCATGCGTCGGCTATGACGACCAGGGCTGTTTCATGATTTCATCCAGTGACACGCAAAAATGAGGCGCTGTTGTGCTGGACATCTTTGATCGGATAACCTGAATTGAGTCATGACGGTTGCTTGGGGTCTTGGAATTTGGCTTGGAAAGTCATATGATCATATCAGCTTGGATGGTTGTGGATCTGCACTTCTGCAGTACAGGGGTTAGAGCAAGAACTGCAGAAGAAAGAAATGGCTGGCCATATCTGCTGCTCACTCTGAAACTGCAAATAGAACCATTGTGTGTATCTCCTGACAACTTCTCTAATGTTTTATTTGGGCCTGAAATATCTGATAAGAGTTCAGACATTCAACCCACATGGTAACACAAGTCAAAATGATAATGAATTTAATATCCATGGAAAAATAAAATTAGTCTTTGGTATGAAAATTATCCCGTCTCAATCTGGTTAACAGGCAAAAGAGGTGAATAATTTGCTGTTGGAAATGTCAGAGAGCTGCTTGTCAAAAACTTCAATATTATTAGTAAGGCCATAGCCGGTTTTATTTAACCATGCCTTTTCTTCCTTTTGCACATTTTTTTTAACAAGTGGCTAACAATGTGCGGGTACAACTGAGTATAGAACAAGATGCTTGCTAAATCTACAAAAAGAATGAATAAGATTAGCTTACTACGTACGTATTGCAAAAACCGTGTATTCATGGGCCATTGTGTGAATCTTCTAGCTTCTACTGCTTCTACATGTGAATGTTGCACTGCTGCAAGTATGGGTTGTCATAGTCAAGGAAATTGTTCCAATAATCTCTGTACTTGGGAATGGAGATCTCCAGCCAGGGTTTGAGTTTTCCGCTGTAGTGGATCACGGCGGCCCTCTCAATTGCATCTCTTCCTATGCTTCTGTCATGACCAAGCCCAAGAACATGCCACCGGTGGTCAAGAGGCACTGTTTGATTGTAGAAGACAATCTGGCCCAGTGGCAAGCTCCCTGCTTTCCATAGTCTCCGCCTTTTGCCCTGCAAATTGGCAATTGAGATGTTGAGAAACAATGTTCACATAGAATGCTTTCTGTAAAAGCTTCTGGTTCTCTTATTAAGAAAAAACTTCTGGTTACTCCATATAGTTACAGTAAGCTAGATCTTCTACACAGAAAATGAATGTATATTTTGGTTCATACAACCAGTTTCTACAGTAGAGTTGATTTTGGACCATCTTGAACAGAAAATAATTGTGTGCTTTTGCATCTCAACCAGCATTTTAATAGTCAAACTGAAAATTATATATTTTCGAGAACCTGATGCCAGTACCCATGTGCTCCACAATGTATAAGCTCCCATACAGTTTAGCATTGCCAATGGACAGTTTAAACTACTGGAGTGAAAATTCATGCTTAAAATATCATTAAAATATGCAATCAATGAAAACATTGGGTCAGATTAGTGCGACAGGAATGTACACTTACAGCTTGAAACCACTTATTATAAGCAGTAGTCAGCCCCTGCCTGCGCCATTCCTTAAGGTCAAAGATGTTCATCCCAAATGCATGTATGCAAGCCTTTGCATCAAATTTGTTGATGATACTTGGATCAGAGAAATTAACAAGGTTCTCCAACCGATGATAACCATCACCAGAAGTGCACGTCTCAACAGCACCATTTACTTTACCATTCAAATCTATCTGCCATAATCCACTCAAGTCTCTTTGGACTACAATGTCATGGTCCAAGAGTACAAGTTTGTTCAGAGAAGGGAATACTTCTGGCAAATAAAAGCGCAAGTGGTTAAGCGCAGAAGTGTATCTTGGATCTCGGATGCCCTTCTGCTTAAATCTGAAACTGAAATCAGCTGGCAGCCATTTCAAATTATCTAAGCTCTTGATTTGAATTGTGGCTGGATTTGGTGGGTTTGTCAGAAACCACATCATCATTGCAGGAAAATTCAGTGCATCAGTCACAATATGAAACATTATCCTTTTGGGATCCTGCCAAACAAAATAACTAAAATCAAACACAAATTTCAAGGCATGAATAAAACGCAAGAACCGTTATACAAGATAATTCCTAGTGCAATCCTTGTTAGCCATATGATTATATGTGCTGCATGTTCATCGATCATACCACAGGAATAAACGAATTCATTGAAGAAAAAAAATCCATCACAAGCAAGCCTTGTGTCTAATGTAATAGAATGAAGTCACAGGGAACTAAATTTAGAAAAGAACTGGACATGAAAAAAAAAAACTACATTACTAGTGCTTGAAGTAACAGTTATAACTCCAAATTTATTCTGGAGAAAAAATGGAAACAAAAAGACAAGAATCTGTAATTGCAAACCACACCTATAACTCCTACATAATCATGTAGAAATTAGTTATAGACAAGTCTGGGGTCTTACCTTAGATGCAGAAATTGTAGAGTTGACAACCACTGCACTCGCTAGCACATTGTCTGAGAATATTGCATAATGGTAAAGGTCACCCATCTGCATTGTGTATCTTTGAGGAAATTCACGTTCCTTCGGATCTAACAGGAAGTATTCTGAGGTAAGTCGCATTGCTAGGCAGTGATGGCTTTTTGGTAATGTCCTCACTGCAACCTGCTCAAGGAATGAAGTTTCGCTTCGATGGGCTCTGACCAACTCTTCGCTTTGATGTGTCATTGCACGTAACTTTGCTGTCATATGAGAACAATGTGGGTAGGCTCTTTGAGCTTTAGATAGGGTCATTTCCATTGCCCTAATTTTCTGCAGTGCACTGCAAAATTGCTTTGGTTTCAATCATAGAACTGACTATTGATGGTAACAATAGCACAACTATCCATATTTATTCTTGTGAGACTGAACTACTATTACAAATCAATCCTTTACTTGCAGATCATGGATTATAGCTTACCTCGTGGGTACACGGGAACTGCTGCTAAAGTGGCTTATCACCCTCTCTATCTCCTTGATTCTCAACTTCAACTCCCGAACTAAATGTGCACTGCCATGCAGGGAAGCAAACTGCAAGTAGGCCTTGGCCATAATTAGCTGGTCTTGCATCATCCATAACTTCTCTTTAGTGCCAGGAGGAGATCTAGATATTCTTTCATCTGCCTCTGCAGCATTTTCATCAGTTTGTCCTTCTAACTGCAGAAAAATTAACTGACATCAGTTTCTCTTAAGTGCATTGATTGAATATTTATTCTATTATCCAAACCAGTCAAGACAAAACATTATCATTGGAGCAAAAGAGCATATCCCATAGGGGACCAAAACAAAATCGATTGAATCGTGAACTAGGACAACTGTATAAAATGAAAAACAAAAGGATCACAAAAATCACTTCTTCAATTCACTTCACTCTGTAATGACAGAATACTAGGCATTCCCCACTCACCAGAAGTTATACTTCACTAAATTTGCATTGATTGGATATCTATACTAGCCTCCAAACACAGTTAGTTGAGCTTGAGCAACATTACGCATATTGCTCAGGGATGCAACACAAAACTGTCTCCACTGTAAACTAGGACAAGTGTCAGAAATGCACAAAAAGGGCACCCAAATCTCATCCCTAATTCAATTTACTTCACTCTGTCCTGTCAGAAGACTAAGCATTCCCCTTACACCAGAAGCTATATTTCAGCAGAGATGAATCATCTCAGGTTAGAACAGATCACTGAGCACAACAAAATCGATACTCCGATAGCAGTATAGCACTCTGCATCTTTATGGATTGAACAGAGAGACTGAGAGAGTGTCACTACTCCATTCTGCGACCACACTACTCCACCAAGACGAAATCGAACGAAAACCACACAATGTGTATACACATCCACATGCAGCTAAAATCAAGCTAACTTTTACATACCTCCTGTGCTGCTACGTCCTGCTGCTGTCTCACGATCTCTACCATCCGCCTCTGCAAAAAAACCAACACTGAATCAACAACTGAACTGAATTTGAAAAAAAATGTACAGAAAATTGGAGAGAAAAAAAAAACAGAGTAGAATCGAATCGAACTAGAACTCGAATCCGAATCACCCACCTCCTTCACCGACACATGGGTCCCTCCCGTGTGCTCCCCAACCGCACCTGTACCCAACCCCACCGCAAAGCCATCAAGCCATCGCCATTAGTTCGCAGCAGGAACAGCACAAAAAAAAAAGCACGCGGCTAAATTAAGCAGCACGCCAGAATCAGAATCAGAATCAGAATCAGAGCACCAAATGCCTAAAGGAATCGCGAAGTTCATCAGCGCGGGCGGCCGCCGGAGGAGGATGAACGGGAACGAGCAAGTAGTAGATTCCACGAGAGAGAGAGGCGCACCGGGTACTCCTCCGGCTCCGGGGAGGGCGCGGCCGTCGGGGAGGTTGAGGAGCACGACGACGAAGCCGCACGCCGCCGCGATCAGCACCAGCAGCAGCGCCGCCTCCCTCTCCCTCCCTCCTCCGCCTCCTCCTCCACCGCCTCCTCCCCCAACCCTCATCCCACCGGGTCTCCGCGGCGCCGCCGCCACGCCGCCGCTCTCCTCCTCCCTATCGAATTCGCCACCGCCGCCGCCGAGAGTTCTCGAGTGGGAGCAAAAAAAAACAAAACAAAACAAAAAACAGCAGAGGTGGGGGGAGGAGGCAAAGGAATGGGACGGTGTTCCCGTCTCGCCGACGTGTGGGCCCGGGTTGGGAGACCCGGGCCCACTGTCAGTGTGAGGTGTGGGTGTGGGGCCCACGGGATGGGGGTTTCGGGGAGTTGGATTCGGTGTGTCTCTCTCTTTCGTGGGGAGGACGGGTGTCAGGACGCGCTTCTGGAAATTCTCTTTTTTTTTCTCGCCTTTTTTCCCGTCCTTTTTCTTTTTGTGCTTTTTTTTATATAGGTTGGTTAATTAGTGGCTTTTCCTTATTAATGATGGCTTTTTTGTGGGAAAAGAGATGGGGTTTCCATGTTGGAGCCATCATGGCTGTCCTGTTTTGTGATGTCGGTGGTAAATAGGGTTTCCATTGGGGGTGGTGGTGTTGCTGGTGTGGGTTTAATTGGATAGATTGAGAGGACAACTTAGATATATTTCTACTCTCAGGAATTTTGTGCTTAAATGTAATGATTAAAATTTGAGCTATCAATTGAACGGAGATTTCATATAGTGTTCTTATGTTTGCACTGAAACGTCCCGTCAATTTATTTATCTTGGTTCATAATATAAGACTTCTCGGCTCTTATCCATTTTTCGAATTTTTTTAGAATGAATACATGATTCAATTTGGCAGACAGAGTAGTAAAGATTTCATCGAAAACTTACAGCAGCTTGCCAAACAAAGGCTAATAGAAAAAAGAGTACAGGTATGACAGGCATAAAATCCACGATTGGGTTGAAAATGGCATAAGCTTCGGGCAATTTGGCGAAGAAAAAACTAGTCGGATAAATAACAGAATTAAAACAAATACAGGTTAAACTAAGTATATTAGGCATAACAAGCGTTTCGTTCTTGTAGAGTAGATAATTGGATTTTGATTGAGTTATTTTTCTAAGGGAAAAAGGAAAAGGAGGATTCAAAATCCTTTTTTCTTCGGACTTTCCCAAACAGACTTGCAAAGAGAGGTGGTGGCTGTGTTGTTGTAATTCAGGGTTTGTTCGATAGAACTTCAACTCCTAAAATAAGAGTTGGGTTTAAAGATGAGTTATGGAGTAGTCTAAATCTAGGTCCACATCTTTAGTTTATTTTATGAGAACGCTGCACCTAGCTCCGTTTCTATTTTAGGTGAAGTGTTAACTGTTTGGCTAAGCTCCAAGCTGAAGCTGTGTCAAACAGACTATTATACTTCAAACTATTGCTGAGATTAACTTAATTTTCTAATATATAGTAGTCAGACAAAACCCTAGATTTGTGTAAAAGGGCACAACCACTCATAGAGAATTACCAAATAAATATGTATAATTGTCTGTCTGTAATTAGTTTAGTACTTCTTTTTCGTTCATTTTTGCTGAAAATCCTCCTTGAACCTTGATTCTCTTTCTTCCTCTTATTTTCTTCTTTCTGTTGGATCTTCTTGCAATGCAGCCAGACACTTGTAGTGTAGTGCTGTGTGATTACAGCTGCACTCAACCTAGCACTCTCAAGCCTGAAACATGTCACGTGCAGTTCAATCTCACCAAGAAGCTGAACGCATCGCCACTCATTAGGTTGGTCACGTGAAGGCCACTTCACTGGAATTCAGGGGGATTTCTTTTCTTTTTTTTTAATTTTATTTTGCTTGTCCCTTCCATTGGCCGGTGTCAAGTACGAGTACTTTGTGAGAATGGCTAAGTGTACTTTTTAATGATATGGACACTAGCTTAGATTATGTTTGCGCTAAAGTACGAAAGGTATGTGTTTGTTTGCTTGATTAATAATTTGCTCGGTTTCGTGGATATTGTTTCTGAGAGTCACATGCATATGGATTAGAGTGCAAAAGGTAAGTGTTTGTTTGTTTGTTTTTTAATAGTACATGCAAATTGATTTTGATTAGTACTAGTAATTGGGAGTAGCTAGCGGCTAGCCAGGGGCTGCGAATGGATCCTTGCATTTGTTTTGACGTGCTAAATGTTGAATTAATAGATGGGCCTTAACCCATTCAAAGATTAATTCTTTAGAAAATCATAAAAGCCCACCTTATGAGATAGTATACATGGAAAGTTTAGTACCACCTTACTTATTCTAGAAGAGGGGGACCTCTTTAAAAGGGATGATGCCCTCCTAGCCAATTAAAGCATGTGTGGTGGAGAGAAGAGGGGGAACACTCGCCTCGCCTAGCCTTCTTTTGCGGTTTTGTTTTGCGAAGTGGAGATTGTGCGAGCGCACTGATCAAGCGACCTATCTCTATATATCATGCGGGCTCCCTGATCAAGCGACCTATCCTATATAAACCGAGTCGCCGCCTTCACGCAAGATACGCGAAATCAATTTCTATCAGTGGAGATCGTGCGGGCGCACTGATCAAGCGACCTATCTCTATATATCGTGCGGACACACTGATCAAGCGACCTATCTCTATATATCGTGCGGGCGCCCTGATCAAGCGACCTATCTCTATATATCGTGCGGGCGCCCTGATCAAGCGACCTATCTCTATATAAACCGAGTCGTCGCCTTCACGCAAGATACGCGAAATCAATTTAGGGTTTGCCTCTTACTCTGTGCTGCGCCGTCGCTTGTAGACTACTCCATCCCACTCGCCGGCGTGCACCGGCGATCGGGAGAGCTGGTCTCCGGAACCTCTGTCTTCGACGTCCTGCACCGGGAGATCGTGCGGGCGCCCTGATCAAGCGAGTCGCCGCCTTCACACAAGATACGCGAAATCAATTTAGGGTTTGCCTCTTACTCTGTGCTGCGCCGTCGCTTGTAGACTACTCCATCCCGCTCGTCGGCGTGCACCGGCGATCGGGAGAGCAGGTCTCCAGAACCTCTGTCTTCGACGTCCTGCACCGGGAGAAGGCGACAGTAATAAGGTTTTTGGGAAGCGCTTCGCACGACTGCTCCCTGTTCGTCCGTGACAGCTCGCCTTCCTCTCCGCTCGCGTGCTGCGCGCCTTCGTCGACGCCCGCAACCGCGAGTAGTTCTTGCCGAACAACCGGTCTTTCCGCCACCTCGGTACGTGCTCAGTATGTTGTGCATATTTGATATGTTCATGTTTTACTGCTTAGTTTACATGTATAGATCTAATAATGCGTTTATGGTAGTTTACATTTGCAATGTCATGATTTATTTATGGAATAAATTAAATCATTATATGCTTATAATTTCAATACTAACTAACTAATCTGTTTGGTAGAACATACTCCGTCGAAAAAAAACCTAAACTAAAATGAGATGGAACATAATCTATTACAGTGAATTTGGATAGGAGAACGTTCATATTCATTATAGTAATAGATTAGCTAATCTCATTCTAAGTTGGGTTTTATGAGACGAATGAAGTGGGGAGGAAACCTTAATTACACATTAGATATTCTTCGGTCTAGTCTACACCTCCAATTTTACTTACAATATCAAATTAAAAATAACAGAGAGAAACTATTTTATTGGAGCAAATTAAGAGAAGTGGGAAGACATCAATATAGGTCTAAAATTACCATGTACACAACGGATGCATAATATGAATATTTGCCTCCTCTACAGTGGATAAACTTAATTTTGCCTAATAATTGTCAACATGATGAAGAAATGTTAATTGGTTAGACTAGACAATTGGAGCCAATAAAAAATCTTTTCCTTCTAACTCGTGTGGTAGGTCTGTGTTATCCCAACTAGAGTAATCTAGGTGGGAGGACTATTTGATGAAAAAAATTAAAACACCCACGATATTGAATACTATGCAATATTGATTCCACGTCATTTTTTCTACAATTCGTAACACGGAGTTGCTACCAGACTCTTCGATTGAATAAGTCGATAAATTATATAATACTATTATATACATAGAATGCAACAAAACAAAATAAGTAAATCACATGACCTCATGATTTCAAGTTCCTTTGATCTTATCACTCATGTACAATATTTTTACATACTGTACCAACTATTTTGTGTGTGTTTAGAACGGTCATAGTACTTTTTAAAAGTAATTATTCGTAAAATTCCATCCCTCGCACCATTTATTTATGATTTGCACCTATGCTTAGACTTAGTTATTTCTCCTAAGGCTCCTAACTCTCATTTCTCGTTTTTTTACTTTCACGCTTTTTAAATTAGCTAATATATAATTAATCATGCGCAAATCACTCTCAACACTATCAACTGAACTTAGCCCTAGTGTAGGAGCATTGCTACTGAAAGAGAGAAAAAAAAAAGAAAGAAAAACCCATGGCTAGTAGTAATTCCACTACGCGCGGCGTGTGTCGCGGTTGGGTTGACAAATTTCGTTTCCTCCGGGAGCATTTGCCTTGGGAAGCGAAGCCCAAGCCACAGCCACCGGGTGGTGTGGGGTGTATCCTATCCTACGCGATCAACAGCATCGGATCGAGCGCTCTGGTCTACTGTACTGGTACTCTCTCTCCCGATGACAAGTGGGCCCGGAGCAGCGCCAGCACGACGGCAGCACACGGAGGTTCGCCGCCGCGTCAGGCGGAGCCCTGTTCCTTTGCAGCTTCAGCAGTAGTATGTTCGTGGGCCGGGCCGGGCCGGATCCGGCGTGGGTCAGCCAATCGTTGCTCGCCACGTCAGAGAATTACAGTGGTTCAAAGAAAATCTACTCCTCCCGTCCAGCTCAAAGACAAACTATTTTTTTTTAGGTTTGACGAAATTTGTCGAAAAACTAACAACATTTACGATAACAAATTAGTTTTATTGAATCCATTATTAAACATACTTTTATGGTGTCTATAAAATTGATCAAACTGAGAGTGTATTATACTAACATGTATTGGAGGGAACTATTTGACTCTTTTAATTTGGAACACAGGAGTTCTCTATACCTTTTAAACAATTACTCCCTCCCTCCCAGAATATAAAAAGTTTTAGAGTTAAACACGGTTATTAAGAAAAAGTATGTAGAAAATGGTAAAGGATTGTGATGGGATAGGTAGTGAAGGTAGGTAGGAAAAGTAAACGGTGAAGGGTTGTGATTGGTTAGGAAGAGAATGTTGGTGAAGTTATTATATTTTAGGACAAATCCTGAGGACTAAAAATTGTTATATTTTAGGACATTTTAGGACAGAGGGAGTACTAATTACAAGGATCATCAGGGCTTCAGGAAGTTGCTCCTTTTACTCTGCTGGTGCTCCTGATGATCTGTAAAAGTGTAAAACATATTTCTAAGCAATGAAATTGGACCAAAATATAGTCCATAATAAGAACTCACGCACAAGATTCATGTTGGTCTATATGCGTGTAGATCTGGACTTTCGGTCAAAAAAGCCAGTGAAATCAGCTCCAACGATCAAAGTCAATCAGGCTCCAGCTTGCAGTAAAGACGCCAGTGAATGCAGCTCCAAAAGATGTAATGAAAGCAGCAGCCAACGATGGCACCGACCAAATAAATTGGGTAGTAGTCCTATTTACGTGCTGTGCAGTGCATCTAACTACATGTGTTTGTCAGTTCAGTTGATTGCTCACTGTACGAGTTTCTGCTGTCAAGGGCACTCCCTTTACTTTTTACATCTGGGTCACCCCTCCCTGACAGTGAAACATAGTTTTCACTGTCTGAACTACCAAAATCCGTGTGGTTGTATAGATCACCATCAGAAGTAGTCGGAGGCACATCATCCTCATCATCGTTTTCATAATCAAAACCATCCTCTTCATCATTGTCGTCGTCTTCATCATCGTCCTCGTCAGAGTAGTCACCCTCGTCGTCAGAATTGGCGTCGCTGCCATCAAGGGAGGTTCGATCATCACCGTTCTGGACAGCTACCGAATTGTCGAAACTCCTGAGGTAGGCCTCATCATCCTCATCCTACAATAGCAGAACCAAGTGAAGTTACAACATTTTCAGGAAGGCATCAGCAAAGGGTGAGTTGAACAGAGAATGTTGTGGATCCAACGCAACTCACCTCCACATCTTCCTCGTCACTGGAATAAGCAGAATCAAGTTTGGCATACAACTCCACATCTCCTTCCTCTTTCACCCCTTCCATTTGGAGCTAAAAAGAACAGAAATTTAGCATGGGACACATCTAGCGCGCACATATTTTGTGTAGGCTAAGTTGGGGAACAAACTTACCAGTTCTGCTTTGAGCTTCTTTACTCTTCTGTTCAAGGTTGCGATATGATGACTGAGGGCCTGTTGCAGAGAACAGCAGAATGATGTTAGTGGCTGTAATAAATGGGTTATTGTTCAGAAACTGTTAGACAATTTTGATTTTCAGACAGTGAGGGTTACTCTAGCAGAATACTACATATGATGCTATAACAGAATCAGTTTCCCTTCCTTTGGAGTACCTAACTTTATGATACGTGTTGAATACCAAGTAAACAATCTTAGCCATCCAAGAGTCAAAACAGTACCTCGCGTCTCTGAATTTCGATGGATCGAGCTAAAGCCTTCCGCTTTGACAAAAGATTCCTGGGTCTCAGCTTAGAAGGGCGTGCATAGTCCTTCCCACGGAACACAACGATGGCATAACCTTTGGAGACTTTGTCCACAGAAACTAAAATACCCCCACTCTCAGCTTCAAGAGACAATGCAATCTTCTTGACATCTCCAAAAGACTTTGCTTTCACAAGTATTTTCACTAGTTCCCTGTACTTCCAGTGCAAGTGCATATTTTCAATCGTGCCATCAAAAACTCCTCTCCTGCCTGAAAGCGGTACAATAAAAACTTAGTACGTAACTTTAAATGCAAAAATAAGGAACACTGTGAAGACTACATGTCATGTAGATCAGATCATAACAAAATGAACACTACTTAGGAAACAATACATGGAAGGAATTGCAAATAAAAAAAATAATATACTGGGATCCAAAAGGCTTCTCAGTAGTACAAAATCAAAAGAAAACAAAATGGCCCGAAACTTTTTATTAAATATTACCAAGGAGCAGGAATGCCTTCATCCTTAGACCAAGTTTCCGAAACATGAATCTCTCTTCATCTGTTATTGTTTCAGGCGGTTGGATACCTTCAGTTGGCTTCAGGGCTGTCTCAACTTTTCCAAGGACCCTTTCAGCTTTTTCTATCTTCTTCTGTGCCTGCAAAAAAACAATGTGACGCAAGCATTTTAACTATACAAGCATAATTTTATGTGTACATACTAAATAGATTGCAAGTAAATATGTGGATTTGTACTCTACAGAAAGAATACAAGTGAGAGCTATGTCGATTTCCCTAACTTTCAACAAATAAAGTTTTATCACATATTAGAAAATCGTAATTGTAGTGTGTTGGTTTTGTTTTCTGATGCAAGGCTAGTCTGTACACCATATAAGTTGCTATATTTATCTTGAGATATCTAAACTGATCTAAAATGCAATCTTGCTATAAAAACTGGACTGTTCAGAAGATGAAATCTTACAAAGCGGACTGATAAATTTAACAAAATAGCCTTACTACTCAAACTCTCACTTACAAGTTGGAGCTTCCACTCTAGCTTCCTTACAAGGTCAGCATGTCTTGCAGCTTCTACAGTTCTAGTCATCTTGTTCTCATAATTCTCATCCAGTTTATTTCCATATTTAGAGTTAGCCTCAAGAGTTTCTCCAAGGGTACCAGCCACAGTAGGCTCTACAGGTGCCTCAGTTCTGGAAGAAAAGGAAGACGCTGCATTTAATCGCGCTTGCTCCTCATCTTGTAAGGACTTTGCCCATCTTTCCCTCTCTAGCAGTTTCTCCGCGAGTTCTGGGGACAAGAAATCCTTTCCTCTGTAGAAGACCATAAAGTCATTGTTCCTCGAAAGCATTACACCACCTGTCAATTTCTGGTGTACAAAAAGAGCATCATGAATAATCAATTCATTCCTTAACAACATACGAAATTGAATGGTGAAAATATTTTAAGAAGTTCAATGATCTCCTATATCGAATAAAGGCTGTGAAATTGTATTAGACAAACTGTCTCTGAATATGAGGATTCAAATGTACTAGATATGACTGGTATATGTGTATAGCTGTATACATGTCAAAGTAAAAAATAGGACTATAAGTAAAAATAGGACTATAAATCAGGTTAATTGACATGTTGACATAATTCCAATTTACCCTTTTGGCCCTTCCAAGAGGCAGCAGTAAATTACTACTAACAGTTAAGTAGTTAACAACTTGAGAAGCTGATAGAGTATATCAGGCAGGACAGGACTTCATAAATCCTAAATAATATAATCTAACCCCAAACAAAATAGAGGAACCTCAACATTGCTGCAGAAGCCTATGTTCAGCCAGACATTAAAAAGGTGTCAGGTGTAGTATAGCATATGTAGTGCTCATTCAACTAAAGATGCATGAGTTATTTTATATACTTGTATGCACAAATTACCAAGATGTCATAATCCAAGCAGAGGTGCAACACAATTACCCAAAACTATAACTCTTGCTAATGCCTTCCCCCCAATCATCATGGAGTTATATCACCATAAATATTCACCTATGCCTCACAAAGTTCTTTGCACCCATTACCAACTCCAACGAAAATAAAAAAATATTTCTCAGCTCCTTGGAATCATCAGTCAGTAGCTATCTTCTGCCCCACCTAAACAAATGAACTGGAGCTACAAATAACCATTCAGAAACCAAACATCCAGGCATGTATCAACGCATGGTCTCTTTCCAGATCAAAGAGAATGATATAACATATAATTGACTTCTAATAAATACATCAAGGTCCTAGATTCCATAGGCTATATTCTCTCAAACTCAAACGAACACAACATATTAAATTAGCTAGACAAATGAAATGCAGACTTTTTCGAGGGAAATGAAAGGCAAAAAACGAGGCGCATAAAAGTATAGGGTTCTAAAAAAAGGAGGAATATAATTGATGTTGTATCTTTTATCTCAATATATGTGAAAGAAAGGACTCGAAACATTTATGTTGCATGCATAAACTTGTACTGTGCTGTTGCCAAATCGATGAACATTTCTAAGCTCTAAAGCACTAAATATGCCAAGGGGATAGTAAAGTTAAAGAGTGTATATATACCTTTATATCTTCAGCCATCCTCTCACTTGTGGTAAGCTGCACTCCTCTTTTCAGAGCAATTTTTGCAATAGAACTTTTCTCCCACAACTTCACCATAGCAGCTGCTAAGCCTTGGAGTTGTCTGCTTCGCCCTAATATTCATCAGAAAAGAAAAGGGTCACTACAAGTCTACAACATAGTAAGAATTGATTGAAATAATAATAATTAGCTAAAAATGATAGAAAAGGTACCAAGAGCAAAGTGAGGTGGCAGCCCACGGGCAAGACGCCGTAAATTTGTAGTGTCCCTTCTGCTGAGAGATGGTCGTACTCCATATGGTAGAACTCTGAAAGGGGGCTTATATCCTGGTACAGTTGCAGGAAGCAAGTCTGCATCTACTGGTGATGGATCAGGTCTTGGCCAGTCGTCGTATCTTGGTCCAAGCTCATCCAATAGCTTGTCAATTTCATCTTCATATTTGATTTCTGGAACTGGTTCAACTAGTGTATCTTTCTCAGCATTAGATACCAATGCTCCATTGTTGTCTTGCATCTCGTTTACTTTCTCATTAGGCAGCAACGAATGACCAGGTGGCTCTTTGATGGAGGACTTCATACCAAGAGTTTGTGTATTCTTACTTGTTCCTTTAGTGGGCTCAGGTATGTCATAGGCTACTCCCCTGTACAGAGAAACAGAAGTTCCAGACCTCCATATTACCAAACCCCCTGTTTTTCTCTAACCGCCATCAATCAAAAGAAACAGAGATCAGATTAACTAGAGTTACCAGGCACATAACACATATATCCAAAAATATCTGACAGGTTGGTTGCAGAATGAAGAAATGAAATACCATATTAAGAAATTTATACATTCAGTGTACATGTTAACAGATCCACAGTAACCTTCGGTTGTATAATTTCCACTTAGCCGGTAAGTCAATTTCTCTGTTATTTATCATGGGAGCTACATTACAGCAGCAAAAATGGAATATTTATGCAGCATACAACATCTTGCTTTCGACATTAGTCCTCAATTCAGTTTAGTTCCAAAATTTGATTTTATAAGCATGAAATTTGCTGAAATATTTGCTTGGCATTTAAACGTTTTTCGTCAGAACCTTTTTACAACAAAGCTAAATAATAGCACTTGGATGTCAGGTGCTCAGTTGAACAAATTCAACAGCTGGGAAGAACTGGAGTGAGCAAACAACAGTATCAATAATTATCATAGAGACCAATAGTTATAACCACTGTAAACACACCCGACCTTCACTCTCCAGTTCATCACAACAACCGAATCTCTTTACAGGCTAAATGGTATTGCTCAGGGATAACTTCATAAGCAATTTATGAAACAAAGCGGTGAAGTAAACCGTGCTCAACCTCACATTTTGTGCTTAAGCTTCCCAAGTACCAAATCACAAAGAATTCTACCAGTAATCAAATCCTAAAACTCCTGTAGTTCACATAGGGCATCAATACTAGTTACAACTCCACTAAGAAAAACTGAAAAGGTCACCAATTCTAAATTTATGATGCAGCGTGAGCGTCTAGCAATTAGTTTAACTTCTGAGAAATGTTCCAGCAATTCAGCATTTTCCCGCTTGCAATAATCTATAGTGCTGCATTAAACAACTTCAAGGAACACAATAATTGCGAAATCGGCAATGCACCTCGAGTATCTCGTGGAAGAGGCGCATGTTGAGCGCGGGCGTGCCGGTGACCTTGATCCTGACCACCTCGTCGTTCCTCCACCTGTCCCTGATCCTCTCCACGATCTCCCTGGTGACCCCGGCGCCGCCCACCTTGATCCTCGACTTGAGCCTCATCCCGGCGTGCCTCAGCCTCCTCAGCTCGGCCTCGGGGAGCGTCAGCTCCGCCATCCACGCCTTCGACCTCGCCGCCCTGGGCCCCGCCTCGGGCGGCGGCATCGGCAGCTCCCACGGGAACCGCGCGTCCACCAGCGCCGACTCCGCGTCGTCGTCGAACCCTCCCCGCGCGTTCGGCACCACCCCGTCGTCGACGCGGAACACGTCCTCCACCGAGCCCCTCGGCGGGCGCGGCGGGAGCTCCGGGGGGGAGTAGGAGTAGCCGGAATTGCGGAGGCGGGAGAGGATGAGGGACATGGCGGAGCGGGAGGAGGAGCGGCTGGTGCCGAAGGCGGCGTCGTCGTCGGAGTCGGAGGAAGGGGAGGGCTCCGGGCGGAGGTCGAGCGCGGAGGCGGGGCGGCGGAGGGGGACGCGGCGGCGGTGGGCGGTCGGCCAGGCGGAGAGCCATGGGTAGGGGGAGGTGGTGGAGAGGTGGAGGAGGCGGTGGAGGCGAGGCGGGTGGTGGAGGTGGAGGTGGAGGTGGAGGTGGATGGAAGGGGAGATGGCCATGGCCGCGGCGGCCATGGGTGGAGGAGAGTGGAGGTGGGTTTAGCGGGTGAGGATATTTTGGAGCGGGTTAAGGGGTATCTCGGTTAATGTGAGCCGTCGGATCGGAGATCGACAACTCCGGTTGTAGTTTGAGCTTCTTAGAGCAAGTTTAATACTATAGCCAACTAATAACTCCAATTCATCTATATAGCCAATTAAAGAGCACCCGCAATGGTAAAGTAAGGTGTTATCTATAAAACATGCACATCTCAGTAATAGACTAGATTAATAGTAAACCACCTCAATAGTATGTCTACATGGGTATCTATAGCTCTCTCATGCATTGCCTCGTTTTTCTCTATAGACTACCTCTAAGTTAGTAGATAGCTTTGCTCTCTCTCTTCATTTAATATCTTCTAAGTAGGAAAATATGCTGACATGGATCTCTTGTAGAGAGCTTATAGATAACCATTGTGGGTGCCCTAATAGATCATTCATACAATAGTTACATACTACCTATTAATATTTGGTCCCACCTGTCATACACACACTGTATCTTGTAGTCCGTACTACAGCTGGCTATAAATCTGTAGCCCGCTGCCGTTCTCTCTCCTCATTTATCTTCTTGCAACTAGCTTATAGCCTACTATTATATAAGCTCTTATTTTACTCGGTTACCACTTTATTATTACAGCATAAAACCAGGACTAGCACGTCGTATGGTCACGTATACTCAATAAATCACGATTGCTCTAAAAATATTTAATCTATACTACTAGGATAAAATAGTGGTGGTGGCAGTCTGTCAGCGACTCACCATCACTATTTTTTTATTCTAAAAAATGGGTTAATTGGATACATGCTATTATAAATTTGGCCTGCTGTTCTATTTCCCCTGCTATTATCCTCATCTTGGTAGCAACTTATAGTCAGCATTTGTTTCAGGGTTTTTAAGTCTTGGTTCGACCCGTATCATCCATGCTAAGATTCAACCACCTAAATCGCAACCGTTTTGTGAGTACTTGTATATATATGATTTCACTTATGCTCCTTTCCCATTCTTGCATTTCAGATTACATCCTCCGACAGTGGCAAAGAGCTTACAACTGATATTGCCTCCGGAATGAAGAAATCAGGTAAATTTAGTATCCATCTCTATCCAATTGAAACTGCCTTCTGAAATTTTATTCTGTTCACAGTTAAGTGCAGACACCTGGGCACAATAGAATCACACAATCCACGGACATGATACAGTCACATCAGCTATCATATGACAACACGATTAGATGGCTAAGGGCCTGTTTGGTTTCTAGAGACTTATTCCAAGTCCCTGTCACATCGGATGTTTGGACACTAATTTAGAGTATTAAACATACACTAATTACAAAACCCATTCCATAACTTTGGACTAATTCGCGAGACGATTTTTTTAGTCTAATTACGCCATGATTTTGACAATGTGATGCTACAGTAAACTTTTGATAATTATTGATTAATTAGGCTTAAAAAATTCGTCTCGCGGATTAGCTCTCATTTATGAAATTAGTTTTTTTACTAGTCTAGGTTTAATACTCTAAATTAGCGTCCAAACATCCGATGTGACATGGGCTAAAAAGTTTTAGCCCCATCTAAACACCCCCTAATGCATTTATGTAGTAAAGATACATCTCACCATATACTCATAAAATCTAAAACCTCATCTATGAATCACCGTTCTGTTCAAACATCTATATTCTTATTTTTTACATTATATATTTTAGTTCCCTTTGCTAACGTAGCATACCAGCTACAGTCAATCTTCGATCGTATGCATCCTGATTATAACTATCACTCTCTACAAACTACCATTTACCTATTTTTCCCATAGGGACCACCAAACGTGAATTCAAGGATCTGTGCTTTTGTGCAAAAAACGTTGAAGTCACATCTGACATAAAGAACTGAAATCGAGCAGTTCCTGAGCCAATCAAGCAAATTCTACATTGTCACTATCAACACCACGTTCATGGAGCAAGATAGGATAGTAAGTTCTTCCGCATACTATTCAGCTTTTAGTAACTGTAATTAATACTTCCTCCGTTTTATATTATAAGACTTTCTAGCATTGCCTATATTCATATAGATATTAATGAATCTAGACATATATGTGTTTAGATTCATTAACATATATATAAATGTGAATAATACTAAAAAGTCTATAATATAAAACGGAGGGAGTAGCTATTTTTCTTTTTATGCCTGTAACAAAAAGCTAACATGCAGTCTCCATTACAGTACTTTACTAAGGAATTTTCCCAGAAGTACATACAGCCACTCATGGAAGGCAAGAAAACAATCAACATCCAGGTCCAAACAGCAGGAAATGATTCAACCACCATGGTTTTACATGTATCAACAGATGGTCGATGCAGCCTAAAGAAATGATGGACAAATTTTGCAGTGCAGAATAACATACATCTTCAGTCCATTTGCGTCTTCCACTTCTATAAGGCAGCTCACATCTAAGCAACAATTAGTGTTCTATGAAGAGCACATCAATGCCTTGTGTTATCATAGGATAATTCTTTTGCTACAACTCGACTGTAAAATTCATCACTATGGAAGTAAACTATTGACTTTCCCTCCACTATTATGCCACCCTAATTAGCTTTGCACCTTAGGTGCTTGTCCTACATAATGCACTTTCCTATAAATACAAGACAAGGTACGATCTATTAACTTAACTTAATTGTCTACAGGCGGCGCACCCCAACCTCTAGTCATCCTTGATGGTGATGCTATTTAGACCATTTGATTCTTCATGGATAGTAGATAGCGACCATCCTAATAAGAATCAGCGTATGTATGGTGGGGGTAGAGGGTGAGGGGGATTGCTTCTACAGCTGTATCATACGGTAGAAAGTTGAGGGATATGGCGGTAGTGCCGGCGTGCCCGTTTTAGGGCAGCGGCTTCCTGACGGGACCCGCAGGGTGGTAGGTTTGCTACGCTTGATACTAGCAACTAACTTTTATGCGGCACAAAATCTATCATTCTATTATATTATTAAGATAACTTTGAAAAGAATCTCACCACTGTTTGCTTTTTTCCATGTCGTTGAGGTAGTAGCTGCATAGGTGCCCTCCCTCGCCCTGGATTCCCTTCACACGTGCACCAAGTCTCATGGCCGTGCACGTGGGCGTGCGAGCCATGTGACCGTACAAGGCCTCCAAATTTTCAGGGCCTCAAAAAAATCAGCCCAATCAGAGAAGGCCCATGTATTCGTGTGAGGCTAGAGCGCCGAAAACCCGTTCGAGTCCACACATGTCTCCGCATGGCGACTTCGCGTACGTGGCGCTTCGTATTCTCGACTCCGAGCCCCGAGGCCCCACAGCCTTTTGTATTATCTTTCGTTTTCGTATCTGTGACTTATTCAATTCGTCTTGAGTCTGAACGTCTCGTCTCCTGCGAGCGCCAGGCCGCCAGCCAGCTTCTCCAATTTCATATTTTCATTCATCTAGCTAATAGCAAGTTAGCAAGCAACCAACATGCAAGGCACTAAGCAGCAAGCCAGCAACAGCAACAAATATTCTCCGTTTTTAGTTTGGCAGTTTCTGATTATGCAAAACAAGAGTTAAAAAAATATACTATTCTTAATATATCGCATTTGCTCTGTAGTATATACATTATTTTAGCTATATTTGATACCTGATTTAGGCCTCACTTAGAGCCTTGTACAGGGCCTGTAAATTTAACGGCACGGCCCTGCCAGGTCGCACCGGCACAGCCACCCTCCCGTACTCGCCCACATGCCGTCGTCGCCGTTCCAGTGCTTTCTGTCACCACTTCGGCCAAGGTGAAGAAAAAAGGAGAGAGGGAGGAAAAAGTGCTTTCTGTCACCACTTTGGCCAAGGTGAAGAAAAAAGGAGAGAGGGAGGAAAAAGGAGAGAGGATAGCATGTGGGTCCCATATTTTTTTTTGAATGACAAATGGTCCACAGATTTTTTTTAATTCTAATTCAACATAAGCATCACATCAACGTCACGTGGAACGAAGACTAGGTCAATATTGTCATATAGGCACCACGTCAGCGAAACCGCCCTTCAAAACCACCGAGAGAGTCAAATTACACAGGTTTTAATAGTTGGGGGTCGAGATATCTGGTATTATGGTTTAGGGTTAGGGATATGAATTACACTAGTTAAGGGAGTCAAAATGAACTTATTCCAGAAAAAAAAATAGAAACGAGGACGGAATCCAACACGGTCCATAACCATAACTGATACGGAGTCGAGGCCCAGCCCAAAAGGCATCGTCTCTTCCCGGAGCCGTTCCGTGTCGATTGGACTCGACTCGAGCGCCGTCTTCTCCTGGTCGTGGACGCGGCGCGGCGTCGGATTCTTCCGTACTTCCGTCTCGAGCGACGCCGCCGGCGACAACCGCTTCCTCGCGACCTCCCGCCGCCGGCGAGGAAACCTCGTCTTGGTGAGTGCCCGTCTCCACTTCTCACTGGTAGACCATATCCTTGTCTTGATCTAACCCTAGCCCGCCCTTGCACAGGTCCTCCAAGTTCAAGGTATCGATAGCTATGGGATAATCCCGAATTCCCGATCGATTTCGATTCTATTTGCATGGTATGTTCTTCACCCTCTCATCAATTTCTCGCTATTCGTTTAATTTCCTGCTATCCGTAATTCAATCCCCATGGTTTATTTGGTGTTCTCTAGTGTTGGGAAGATGGAGAGGGGTGGGGAGATGGATCCTCCCATCACTGCCTCGCTGGGAGCCATTCATATTGTTTTTGGGAAACTGGTCCGGTTGCTCTCCGAGCCTGGACTGCGGCTGCACAAGGAAGAGATGAAAGCGCTAGGTGTGCTCAAAGACGGCCTCCAAGTTTTGATAGAAGATTATCTGATGGAACCATCAGATCTGGAGGGCCCTCCCTTCTAGGCTAACTACTGGATGAAGGAGGTGCGGGAGCTGTGCTACGACATCGACGACTTTGTTGATGAGCTTTTCCATGCTGCCGCTAATGCCAAGATCCAAAGAGCTCTCCAGTTTAAGGCTTCTCCACTCCGGAAGAAATTGCCCCTCTTTAAGACTTCTCAGCTCCAGGAGAAGTTATCCCGCTTCAACGCTTCTCAGCTCCAGAAGAAATTGTCATGGAGGCAAAAAATTGTTGATGAGGTCTCAAGTTTCAGTTCTTGCTTGAAGGAATTGATTATGCTTTATAAGCGTTATGATCTTGGTAGTTTAGAGAGACGTTCCGGGTGGGAATCAAATGGAACAATGTCTTTAACTCTCCCGTTAGCTGAAGAGACCAGCCAACGCTGCTACCTCGGTATGGACAAAGATATGGATAAACTTGTTGGGTTACTAAATGATGGGCAGCAAGAATGCAAGGTCATTGCTATCATTGGACTTTGTGGTGTTGGCAAGACCACCCTTGCTGAAGAACTTTATCAGAAGTTTGGATTTCAGTTTCAATGTTGTGCCTTTCTAAGGTTATCTCGGAAACCTGACATGAAGAGGGTGCTCGGTAGTTTATTCTCACAAGTTCGGCAGCATGATCCTCCTGGTACTGGTACTGTTGAGGTGGATAATTTATCCCATGAGATCAAGTCATATCTGAATGACAAAAGGTAATTCTTTCTTTTAATTGGCTTATCATTTTGATAATCTAATTTATTAGCTTTAATTGTTCATTTTCCATTTTTAGTAATTGATTTCCTCCATTTAGTAACTTGTTTATTAGATTTTTTTTTATCGTTGGGTATAGATCCTGCGGTCAAAAAAAAAAAATCTGACTACTTTAAGCCCTGGTTTATATCGTCACTTATTTAGATGATCCCTTATTTTTTGAGACTTTGGATTAGCTAAATTATGACTTTTGGCAGGTATTTTATTGTAATTGATGGTGTTTGGTCATCATATATATGGAACACTATCAATCAGACTTTGCCAAAGAATTTTTACAGTAGAATATTGATAACTACAGAAATTGATCATGTAGCTCAGAGGTGCTGTGTTGATAACCGCAAATACATCTTTAAGAAGGAACCATTTAATAAAGTTGAATCTGATGAATTCTTCAGCAGAGTCCATGAATATCTAAAGGAAATTTCTTCTGAGATTGCACAACTCTTTAGTGGCTTACCGCTCATGATGGCTATTGTAGCTAGTATTTTAACACGATTGCCACCAAGCACAGAGCAATGGAATGTTGTAAAAAAAATCATTAAGTTCTAAATTGGAAGGGATTTTGGACCTCATTTACAATATTATTCCTCATCCTTTGAAAGCCTGCATGCTTTATCTCGGAATATATGAAGAAGACGATATAATTTTAAAAGATGAACTGTTGAGTCAATGGTTTGCAGAAGGATTTATTGATACAGTTGATGGAAATGATGAGAAGAGGGTGGCATTGATCTATTTTGATTAGCTTATCAGCTATGGGCTAATACAACCTGTAGAGACCAGGTTTGATAATGAAGTGTTGTCCTTTAGAGTGCATTACATGATAATTGATTCTATTCGGTCTAAGGCAGTCCAGCACAATTTTGCCATTGCAATTGATAATCATCAGACAGATGTGCGAATTGCTGATAAGATTCGTCGGTTGTCCCTTCGTTTTGGCAATGCAAATGATGTGACAACACCAATTGGGTTGAGATGGTCACAAGTTCGCACGCTTGTCTTTTTTGGACCTCTCCGCTGTACACCTTCTATTGCTGAGTTTAGAGTTCTTCGAGTTTTGATCCTTCGATTATCTGCTGATGATGATGATGTAACTTATGACCTCTCAGAAATTGCTGAGTTGCTTGGATTAAAGTATCTGTATATTGATGCATGCCATCTGAATATAAGGCTACCAATGCAGATGCGACAGTTGCAATATTTGGCAAAGTTAAAAATAGAAGCAAGATTGAGTTATGTTCCATCAGATATTTTTTATTTGCCACGATTGCAACAGTTGATTCTTCCAAGTGAGACTACTTTGCCCCATTTCACTGAGCCGATGAAGTCTCTTCATACTTTAGGGTGTTTTGATCTCAGCGGGAGCTCAACAGAAAGTATTGTGGATCTTGGGAAGATGGTAAATCTTCAAAATCTTCACATGACATGTTCTAGTGGACAGCCTGCCAATCTGAAACTTCTAGGGTCTGTTCTCAATAAACTCAAAAACATGAAGTCTCTAATTCTGGTATTTACTGGTTCATTGGATGATGCTGATTCTTCAATTATGGAAATTTCTTCTGATGACTTCAGTGTTTCATCTCCTCCGGTTCTTCTGACAAGGTTTGAATTTTCATGGCGCTCATGCATATTTTCATGCCTACCTAGGTGAATCAAAGAACTGAACAATCTCAGTATCTTGAAGATTGCCATTAGTGAGATGTTGGGACATGATGTTGATGTTCTTAGTGTGTTACCTGCACTCACTTCTCTCTCTGTGTATATCCAAAGAGCACCTGAGGAAAGGATCAGTTTTGGTAAAGGAGGATTCGTAGCTTTGAAGTACTTTAAACTCAAGTGCACTGTACCTTGGCTCAAAGTTGAGGTAGATGCAATGCCTAATCTTGAAAAACTGAAGCTAAGGTTCAATGTTGGTCTCAGTCTGCAAAGAGTGGGTCTGCATGGCAATAACCTTATCAACATTGAGCACTTGTCAAGGCTTAAGGAGATATATGCAAAAGTGGAGAGTGAAGGTTCTGTTGATGCAGGGTCTGCTTTGATGACTGGTGTTTGGAATGATCCAAGAAATCCTACAATTACCATTCAATTGATTTGTGGTTTCTATGGTGAAATGACTAGACTGATGACAAAAGATGATATTATCTTGGAAGAAAATCCAGACAGCATAACTGAGGATGAGGTCAGACAGAAGGATGAGAAGAAACAAGTGGATGATCACAGGTTTCAATTTTTCGCTTCTTTACTTTGGTTTCACTTTTTGAACCTAATTACTCGTGTAATTCCTATTATAATGCAGCTAATTGGTGTTGTAATTAGGACTTAGGCTGCGTTCGTTCACAGGAGAAAGGGGAGATTGTGACTCGTTTTCCGCGCGCACGCTTTTCAAACTACTAAACAGTGCATTTTTTGCAAAAATTTTCTATAGAAAAGTTGCTTTAAAAAATCATATTAATCCATTTTTGAAGATTAAAATAGTTAATACTCAATTAATCATGCGCTAATAGCTCACCTCGTTTTGCGTATCTTCCCAATCTTCTCAATCCCCTCTCCCTCAAACACAGCCTTATATGACATCAGAGGCTAGTCCTGCACTTCCTCGAAGACATATTGCTCATGAAATCCCACGGCTTCTTCCTTCATGTGGTGGGAAATGGCCCACCTCTGATGCTGCCTTTGAAGGCCACAACCTTGTGAACTGCTATGCTGGCAACCTCTCCATCGCTGTCATCCAAGCCAATAATTCCTTCAAGGAGCAATACCGTGTTGAGTCATCCCAACCCTTCGGCACCGTCATTGGCATCTTCGATGGACATGAGGCTCCGAAGCTGCCTGATTTGCTTGTGACAACCTCTTCCTCCACCTCCAAGGTGAGTGAATCCCCAACTGCAACCACTGACTATTATACATATTATGTTGAATTATTGATGTGACACGAGTTATTTGGTTTGATCTGTGTGTGCAGAGAATTGTCCAGCTCACAACGTGTGACAACTGATGCTATCAGCAAAGCATTCAAGGCCACTGAAGAAGGGTTCATTGAGCTTGTGTCTCGCCAATGGAAAACTGATCCACAAATTGCAACTGTTGGGGCATGCTGCCTTGTTGGTGCTGTGCAACAAAAAACACTATTCATAGCCAACCTTGGAAACTCTCGGGCTGTTCTTGGAAAGGTCAGTTGCATTGGGCAGATTGTTGCTGAACAGCTCTCTAGTGAGCACATTGCCAATGATGCATGGAAAGCAAAGGGCCTCGTGCAGGTCAGCTTTATGTTACCATTTCATTTGTGTCACAATATTTGAATCTTATATGTTCTACTTATGCATTGTATGCATGATGCAGGTGTTGAGAGCGATAGGTGATGCATACTTGAAATACCCACAGTATAGCAGGGAACCACTCAACAAACCAATACTAAGTGCCAATCCATCTATTGTTTCACGCGTTCTTCGACCAAGTGACCGCTTCATCATATTTGGCTCAGCTGTTCTATGGGAATATCTGTCCAATCAGGAAGCTGTTGAGATTGTTAAAAACCATCAAGCTTCTGTAAGCTTCCAACTATCTATTTTCTCACCTTCATCTTGTTTATATAGTGCTTCATTTAAATTGTTTAGCTTTCTTATGTTGTCAATAATGACTAAAACCAGTCAATTTACAAAATGTTTATGCTGTGCCAGGCCTTGCAAAAAAGTTCACGCACAGTAAAAAGGCTTAGGCATATAGCAATATTTGAGATTCTGATACGCCTATGTGCCCCCCCCCCCCACACACACACAAAAAAAAAATGATGTTCACTCATTTGGTTCACGTGGTATGACTGTATTAGCTATATGCAAATTGTAGCTGTATCACTCATTGCGCTCCTGTAGTTCCATAAATTAACTAAAATGTAGGTCCAAGTGATGTTATCAAGAATGTAGGTCCAAGTGATGTTACTAAGTACTGTAGGTCCATACTAATACTAAATGTTATAATTACATGGAAAGAACACCAATTTTTATGTTCAAGTACTCGAGATTTATAGCCTGCTGCAGTATATGATCAAGATTTATTTACATGCAAAAAAAAAGAGTTCTGTTTAGCATGAAAACAGTGCTGGTAGTATGCTTGCCTTGTAATATAATTTTAGTGCCCATCCTCCACATTCATTCAGGATTCAGGATGAAAACATGTTTCTGTTAGTTGACTTTTCTCATTTCAGGCTTGAGAGGTGTATAATGGATTCTTTTTCCATTTAGTTACCTGTGTTCTAAGGCATACAATACATATTTGTGTTTGGTACTCTGGTTCTTGATGACCTAAAAGGCTGCAAGTTTGCTGCTATGGCCATAACTGTTACTGCTGCTAACCTAGTTCTGTTCTGTTCAGGGAAGTGCCAAAATGCTAGTAAAAGCAGCTCTTCATGCAGCAGCCAAAAAGCACAACTTGCATTACTCAGATCTCTTGAAGATGGACAGGGATAATCCTAGGCATGTCCATGAGGATGTAATTGCCGTAGTCTTATTTATAAACTATGATCAATTACTGAAAGGGAAACAAGGGCGGCCTCTTTCCATCAGATACCCTAGATCCATACAACATGGATTAGTTCCTTCAAGCAGAATTAGTTAATGAGATGTTTTCATTGAAACAACCTTGAAAAGAGGACACAACAAAACCTCTAACTATGCTAAATTATCAACACTTTTTGTATTATGATAGATAATATTCTGTTGTTTTGCATCATACAAGTAAATGGGAAACTTTGATTGTAATATCTACTCACTCTGGTCAGATTTATTCAGAATTGTATTTCTTATATCGATATATTGATTAAGGAGTACGTACTTGGAAAGTAAAATGGAAAAGATGAATCATCTCAGAACTCAGATGCAATTGTGGTTGATTGTCAGTGCTGTAGTATTTTCGTACAGACGTACAGTGTCCGTTCCATACGGATATCACAAACTCATTTTTCCTGAAATTTTTCCAGTGCAATATTTGTATTTAATATTTTTATCAGAAAGACCTCTGTTTCTCAATGGGAGCTTTGATGTAACTATGTAAGTGAAAGCGAAATGTCTCGCATAAGAGAAGGGCCAAGATATTGTCGGCAATGCAACGACGACATAATCAGAGCTCAACAACACAAACTAATCCAAACTAACTGCAAACTTTAACTGATTCATTGGTCTTTGATATTGAGCTCAGGATGAATCTGATTGAACAAAAGGAGTATATACGTTGAAGCATGGATCTTCTTTTTAATTCTTCACTCTACATATATGCAACCATCTCAACATTCGTCAAGAGTTCATCACCTGTAATATTCGTCAAGAACTACGAGTGTAGGGTTAGTAGAGTAGGTGCGTAACTCTATCTGTCCGGAGTTAAATCGCAGCGTTTATGATTATGCTCATACGGATCTATATGCCTTTCATATGAGTTTATTGTGGCTCATGGATTTATCATTGGTGCTCCATCTATTGAGAGCGCATAACTACGACGATATACGTTTGTGATGATCTGTATGTACTTCTTCTACTTCATCCGTTTTACGATGTAAGTCATTTTAGTATTTCCCACATTCATATTGATGTCAACGATTTTAGATAGATATATATGTCTAGATTCATTAATATCAATATGATGTGGAAAATTTTAGAATAACTTACATTGTGAAACGGAGGGAGTACCTATCTAATCGGAGAAAAAAATAGTCAATAACTCTTGCAAGTTGCAACAATAAGAGGATGACTTCAAAGAAAGACCCTAGATTGAAATAACCAAACTGTTAATAATTACTTCCTCCGTTTCACAATGTAAGTCATTGTAGCATTTATCATATTCATAGTGATGTTAATGAATCTAGATTGATATATATGTCTAGATTCATTAAGATTGATTATTTATGATAATACAAAAATGACAAGATTGATTATTTAGGATGATATAAGACACCACATAAACATACAAGTCCAAGGGCTTGTACTTCACTTTGCTTTTTTACTTTGAACTCTATTAATTTTTGGTATTACCAATTTTAAGTATGGTAACAAACTAAATATACTCTTGTCCTTATCTCTCTACTAAAAGTTACTGGCATTTTCGGAAGCTTCTTCTCATACAAACACGTACTACTAAATTTAGGTAAGGTTATAAAAAAAAGCATCCAAACGTTAACAAGATTTTAGTAATTGTCGAAATTTAGCAATGTAATATTGGTATGGTTAATTGTCAAGACTTATGGCCAAGGTTGTCAGTATCCCGATTCGTATCCTAGTATCTTACGATATTACGATCCTACCAAGCCGAAACGATACCGATCTCACATAGTATCTTAATTTTTATAGTATCTCGATCCTCCTATTCATTACTACACGATCCTACAAAATCTTAGGTGGTATCCCGATTCTACGATCCCTACGATACTACAAAATATTATTTTAAATAACACGGTTTGAAAATAATGTAACTAAATATGCTTAAATTTATATAAAAAATCAGTTAAATATATCAAAACCTACGTGGTTTCTCTTGATAAATGTCTCTATTTGCATGATATATATCATTACTATATTTTTTTATACAGAATGGCTATATATAATTAATATAAATATTAATTAAACTTAAAAAAAGAAAATCTTATAGTATCCCGATACTACGATACGATCCTACGATACGATATTACTTTGAGCAAAACGATACTATCTAGTATCCCGATCCTGTCAACCTTGCTTATGACGTGGCATGTATGCAACGGTGATATATTAAATTAGTTAGCACGCTACCGGTTTTTAATGCGCCTGACTTTACCTTGAATACAACGACGATGCATGGCATGGCTAGAATGCTCAGATCTGGAGATAGCTTTGGATAAATGGAAGAGTTTGTTTTTTTTAAAGAGAATAAAGACAAAATGTAAATCATTTCGAATTCCCAGCATGATTTTTTTTTCTTTTTTACGAGGATCCAAAACAAAAAAAAAACAGCCAATTAATCAAATGTATACGAATACGTGCACGCAAAGAAGAATCCGCCGTCGATCGGGCCAGGTCAGCGTGAACAGCACCCCAAACGTCTACGGCCGGCACACACGATCAGTCCATACTCTACCGGAAAATATTTAATTTGTACACCCCAGATATAATTACACATACATATATACACATGGTTTAAACAGTTACATAAAAATTTTATAAAATTTAACAAGATTGTGATTACGATGATAAGACACATAAATATATTAGTCTAAATTTGATCACGTATGGAAAAAAACAAAAGAGTAAATTACATCGGCGGTACGTACACGAACGTGTCAGATGGGTGCAATCTAGTGTATGAACTTGTAAAATGCTCGTTTTGATACATGAACTTATCTTGTGCGTGCGACCTAAGATCAAAAGGACATTACATGACTAATTTTGTTGATTTATGTGCCGATTAGGATACTACATAAACATATATATAAGAAGGTTGCTACTTAGTCATACACATGTTCAATAAAAAGATAGAATGAGATATAGTGATCGTAGAGAGAGATATAAAAAAACGAGAAATAATAAAGGGTTAGAAACACACGAAATTCAAGATAAAGTAGAAAACAAATTTATAAATATAGCATGTTTTATGTATACTCACTACTACCTCCGTCCCAGAATATAACAACTTTTAGCTATGAATCTGGACATACAATTATACAGATTCATAGCTAAAAATACTTATATTTTGGGACGGAGGGAGTATATATGTATACATGCCACATCCTAATCAACATCAGTTAGGTAAAATTAACCTTGCCAAGTCATTTTGAACCTAGTTCGTACAAATTAGATAAGTTCGTGTACTAAATTATACCCACCTTACCACCAATGCAATTTACTCAAAACAAAAACTACAAACCCAACCCTTATAGTTGTATCACTCTCCTCGTCCCCGGCCACCGCCATCGACGCACGCACCCATCGACAACAGGTGTTCATGGTTGACTTGAGCAGATTTTAAGATATATGCCGGTTCAATCTTCGAATCTGCTCATATATGTTTTGGGTGTGTTTAGTTCCTGAAAAAAGTTAAAAGTTTGTGTGTGTAAGAAAGTTTTTGATATGATATAATGTGATGAAAAGTTAGGAATAGGGAGAAAACTAAACACGGCCTCAGCCCTCGTATCACCACCCTCGCCTTCCCCCGCATCCGCCGTCGTCCCCACTCGCGCGCGCGACGGTTGTGCGCTTGATCGTACGGTGTACTTGGCTTAATTAGCCCTTTTCCCTCGACACATCGCTTTTGCCCCCATCCCCTCGACGCGCACCGCACCGCCCCGGCCGCGCGCGCGCAACAGCTAGCTAGCCTACAGTGACGCGCACGCACGCACGCGCGGCTGGTGGTGGTGGCGGTGGGATCTCCGGGGCGAAAGCGGACGCGGCAACCGCACGGCCTTATCAACCCCTGGCCGCGTGCGCTTGCATGCTGTGGCGGCGGCGGCGAGCGATCCATCCATCCGCGGCACGCGCGCTGTACTTGTACCAAACTACGGCCGAGTTTAGTTCCAATTTTTTTTTTTCAAACTTTCAACTTTTTTCATCCTATCAAAACTTTACTACACACGTAAACTTTCAACTTTTCCATCACATCGTTCCAATTTCAACCAAACTTTCTAATTTTAACGTGAACTAAACATACACTACGCACTTTTGGCGGCGTCGGCGACGGAGACGCGTGCATGGGGTGGCGACGGCGGCTGGGGCGTCGGCGTCGACGACGATGGCGACGGTCGCTTTGCGTGGTTAGCTGGCTAGCTGGATGGTTTGGGCGGTTTGGTTAAACGGCTAGGCTAGCAAGGAGAGCGTAGGCCGTGCAGCCTACCTGCACCTGCCAGCCACGTCGACGTTGGCAAAGGTTGGTGGCCAGCTAGAGCTAAGACCCTCTTTAGGTGGGACTAAAACTTACTTTTTAGTCCCTATCATATCAGATGTTCGGACACTAATTATAGATATTAAACATAAATTATTATAAAACCTATTCTATAATCCTGGATTAATTCGCGAGACGGATCTATTAAGCCTAATTAATTTATAATTAGCCTATATGATGCTACAGTAAACATTTGCTAATTATAGATTAATTAGGCTTAAACAATTTATCATGTGAATTAGCTCTCATTTATGTAATTAGTTTTATAAGTAGTCTATATTTAATACTCTAAATTCATACGATATGACAGGGACTAAAGTTCCTGGATTTAAACACCACCTAAGGCATATTGCAGCTGATTGTAGCTTTGGCCCAGGGCTACAGCTATAGCGTATTTACTGTACAAATGGGCAAATAGCTTTAGCCAATGCATGCATGCAAGGCAATGTAGCCTGGAAAGCAAATATTTGGTGGAGGTAAGGAGGTGGATCAGTGGTTAAGAGGGCCGGCTTTGCTTTTATTAAGCCGAAGGAAATATAATGGATGAAAAGCAGATGAACTATTTTTGAAAGTCCTTTCAAATGATATTTTTATGAGATTTTGGAGGATAAAAAAAGTGAGTGATCGAAGAGGGCATGTATAGCACAATTGGTTATTAATTCTTACTGGGATGAAACCTATTTATCCAAGGTCAAGTTCTAGACTTCATACAAGTGCTCGTTTTTTTAAGTACTACCTCCATATTTTAATGTATGACGCCATTGACTTTTTATCCAACGTTTGACCATTCGTCTTATTTAAAAAAATTTATGTAATTATTATTTATTTTATTGTGACTTGATTCATCGTCAAATGTTCTTTAAGCATGACATAAATATTTTTATATTTGCATAAAAATTTTAAATAAAACGAATGGTCAAACATTGGTTAAAAAGTCAATGGCGTCATACATTAAAATACGGAGGGAGTAGTAAAAAAAGAATGAGGTGATCGAGCTAGGCACAAGTTTGAAAAATTTTAGAGTAAATTGCGTTTAGGGTCATCTTTTATCACCAAAGTTTCATTTTGGACTACCCGTTAAAACATCTTTTCTCTTTGGACTATATTAGTTTGCCTTTGTTTCACTTTGAACCATCCCAAAAACTTTTCTCGAGCACATAAATGACTTTAACCGCCACATCTACACCCATAAACTGCTAATCTTCCAACTTACATGTTGACTATTCTTTGCAAGACTAGAGGGTAGATGCAGCTAGAAAAGTGACTTGGGGTGGTCTAAACTACAACAAAAGTAACCTTACCTAGTCTAAAGTGAAAATATTAGCTAGAATAGCCCAAAGTGAAACTTTGATAATTAAAGGTGGACCAAAGTGTAATTTACTTAAAATTTTATTAGTTACCGGTCAAATCAAGTCAGTTCGCATTAAGAAACTGTTTCAATAAACTAGATTCAAACTAACTTTTTTTTTAACAAATAGAAGTCTTTCTTACCTATATCGATTTTTAATTTTGAGTTTTTCATTTATTTGATCCGAACATTATTCCTTTCCTTTTATTTCTAGTGTTTTTAATTCATATATGTTTCACATCTCTCTTCCTTTCTATTCTCGTGTACTACGTTTTACTACTTTAGTAGTATATTCATGTGGAATGAACATCTCGATCTATTCCTTTTCCAATTCCTTGTGCTACACGTGGCTTATACTAGTTGTTTCCAGAGATAGTTTATCCAGTTGCGTCTCATGGACACTCATTTGTCATCCTATATTATCAAGAAAATTAAAAGCATGTCTTCCACACGTGAAAACCTTGTATTTTTATATTACTGGCATAATGTGTACTTGGCACAACGGAATTGCATGCACGCCAACACCGTCCATGGAAGCTAATTTATAATTAAGCTATAGCTTAGTTTTCATAGTTATTTGTTAGCTCAGTTCACCATTGTCAGCTACCTTTCAGTGAACAATCCAAACGGGCCCTAGCTCAATCAAGCCATCCATTTCGAATTCAATATCTTTTGATTCCCCTAAACACTTTGCAAACTCATGTTTCTGATCTGATAGAGTGTTCTAAATTAATTCTTTGTGTTTGCACGTCAGTCTCAGCATTATAGATATCTTTATTAATTTGTAGCTAGCTTTAATTTGCTTCTCCAAGAAAATTTTAAAGGTTTCAAGTCTACATATACATGTAGTTGAACTGTTACATGAAGCCCAACTGTTATGTCTAGAGAGAGAGATACTTCAATGTGTAAGTGCAACTCAGAAGATTTCTTGGAGCTTTCAGTGATTAGGACTGTTCATCGAATGCCCTCTCATCAATCAGCTGATCAAAAAAACAAGAAGAAGAAGAAGTTCAGAAATGTCAATGTGCCAGAAGAAATAATTAGCTCATGAGTAGGTGATCAGTTGCAAATTAAATCGATGATGTGCACAACGATCGTACAAAGAGAGTTGGTAGCATGTCATGATGTGTGGGCTAGTGTGCTTATTACTGTGGCTTAAGTAGTACACTTAATTACAATAATCCCCACTTGTATGGTCATCACTGCTATGATTCTTTGATGATTACGACGATAAGACCCTGATGAACGTTGCCTTTGCATCTGATTTTGATTGCAATGTTATTCTTTCAGTTTGGTTTCTAACTTTCTGTTTCAATTTGATTCCTTTGGCAGGTAAAGAAAGACTATGTTTGTATGATCACTAATCGCACACGTGCACTTGAATAACATTTGTGCGATCTCTCTGTGATACAAGAGTTTAATTTGATAATCATTTGGAATATCTTGTTGATTATTATTCAGGTTTGGATTGTTTAGTGTAGTTCTGCTTGCATAATTGAATTAGTTAGGATGCACGCGTTTAGCATTATTATTATTATTAGGTGAGCTCTTATCTTCAAAATAGAAAAACAACCGAATTTAATTATCTTAGGGATAGTTAATAATTTCCAAATTAAACATGATAAATGCACTAATCACTTTTGTAACGTCTGGTCTATATATTAACCCGAATATTTGAGGAAGAAAAGCAGAGCAAAGATATAAAACAGAGGGGAAGTTCAAACAAATTGCATAAAAAATAAGTATATATATAGTTATAAATGAGCTTAATTAATCTTCTCTGCTCCCCTTGAGGTGATCTTGGACCGTCTGATTCGATGTACTAATTAAGAATATCATGAGCTGACTAATGACCCAACTCACCAATGACAAGAGAGAGACATAGATATGCAAGCTAGCCCCATCCTACTATCCTAGGCACAGATTAGCCGTACAAAGCTAATGATCAGTGGTCTACACACTAGCTAAAAACCAAGGGAAATTTGCTGTCTGATGTTTAAGTTTTTATGAGTTCATTATCTAAAAAGTTTCTATGAGTTGAATTGGAGTTACATTATATTTCAAATCACCAGATGGCCCCTGGAATTAGCCACACTACCCTGTTTGGTACCTTTTTCTTTCATGTGTGAATATATCAAGGGACCAGAAAGCTCATGCTAGCTAAACCAACTATGTATATAAAAAATGTTCATGCATGGTAGCTAATGGTACTTTGTGTTCCTTTAAACCTTGGTTTTGTGGAAAAGCTAGTGCGTTCTGGTGAACCAGAAATGTGAAAATGAAGGGGAGCTCACTTGCCTACATGAGATAGATGCTCATGCTACTAACTAGCTATAATACAAAATTATGAAATTATGGGGTAGCTCAATCTAAACAACTACACCTACTAGTGACTTCCAATAATATTTTTATTGAATGAGTGAGGTATAGACAGCAATATATTATAAAGAATTCCCACATTCCGTGGTGCAATCAAGAGTGTAAACTATTAGCAAATTGAGCGTAACTCAACTGGTAAGACTCTTTATAGTTGAACTTGCCTATTTGGGTTTAATTACTAAACTTGATAGAGATACTCGCATTTACAAGTAATTATTTTTTTTTATGTTAGACAACATAACCATCGATATGTAGATAGCGGAGCTCATATGTCCATTCTTTATGAGGGTAGAGATAGGGTGTGAGTGTGCACGCGTGTATATAAATATCTATGTCTTCACTATCTAATGTGTTTCGTAGAAAAAAATGTGAGTGTACGCTCGTGTATACAATTGTATGTGTATGTACTGTATATCGTGGATTTGTATGGTTAAAAAATACTACAGCCAAAAATTACTATATTTTGAAACGGAGGGAGTATACAATAAAGTACGTTTGTTTATTTAACTGAATTAATATTATCCTATACCACGATGATGTTTTCACGAGGACATAATATCATCAGGAATTCTGAGACATAATCATGCTAGCTAGCAGCTAGCCCTTCTTACTCTATAGCCTTCAAAACACTGTTGATTCGAAATGACCATGGAACTGTAAACCTATCCTATCACGACGAAGTGTCGACATGCGTAAACAAGGCTTAACTATAGCAATCAGCCAACTAATCAAATAGTCATCGACCAACTAATTTAACTTCCGGGCCAACCAACCGTCAAATTATCTTGACAACACAGTGCTCTAATCGCCACCATCAAACCGTACCTGCTATACTTAATTATTCGACAGTATCATTAGATTTTCCATCCCACGTAATCCCAATTTCATAATCAAAAGTACTTTAATTTTTACTTAATTAATCGATATAAGTTTAACTCCTCAATACGCCTTCCATCTCATAAAAAATTAACTTCGGGGAATAAACCTAAATAAGCATTTTTCCAGATTCATCTTTAGAGGTTGTCTTTTTTTTTTTTACGGAACATGTATATCATGTGGTCCGTTCTAAACTCCAACAACATCCAGATTTTTCCTCGGTTTCCATTAGCACGTTTTTCAAACTACTAAATAGTATATTTCGTACGAAAACTTTCTATATATAGAAGTTGCTATAAAAAATCAAATAAATCTGTTTTTCAATTTTTTAATAATTAAAACTTTATTAACTATGATTTGTTTCGTTTTACGTGCGTACTTAATCTTCATCCTGTAATCAGATTCGAACGGGACCATAGTAACATTTCTGGAGTTAATTTTGTGGAGAAAAGTAATCGTTGTTTATTTACGACATGATCCAAACGACCGTAAACTAAACCGAACTATTTCACGTGAAATGTATTGTTCCTTTATTTCACGCTTACATAATTTCACTCTACCCACAATGACAGTAAAGCTTAACTTACCTAATCTACTGTTTAACTCTTTTGTTACTCACTCTAATCAAATTCATTTGACGTAGTTCTCCCGACGTCAAATGTTCCTTATTCGAGGGAGTATATATGACACATCTCGAGTTAACCCTTAAAATTTCCGTAGAGAATCGTTTTTTCTTTGGCTTACCATCAGCCGCAGCTAAAATTTAAATTTTAAACCTTAGTTTTAGAGTTGATTTTAATATATTTTTCATTATTTATTTACTACTAGCATTTGCTTTTAAACAGCTAAAAACACAGATATAAAATTTTTACCTATCAATATTTTTTAAGTTGCTCTCTAAACCCAACCACAACATTAGGTCTCTATTTACGACACGACTCAAACAACAGTAAACTAAATGGAACTATTTCACGAGAAACTATTTTTCTCCTCTTTTACATGCCGGTGATTTAGAAGGAGATGATCACACAATTGCACAAACAAGAAGGATGGCTGCAGTTCCCAAGAAAGGGAAAAAAAACACAGAAAAGATGGCTGACAATCAAGTGATCAACCGCTAGGAAGGCAGGAGGAAGAAGAAGAGGCCGCCCAATTCATTCGAACCAACCGTGTACCCGGTACCCATTCGTACCACCATACTCCAAGCAGCTAACACCGTGTGTAGATCCTATTTTTTTCTTTAAACTTCCAACTTTTTCCATCATATCAAACTTTCCTACTCACATAAACTTCCAACTTTGCCATCACATCGTTTCAATTTTAACCAAACTTTCAATTTTGGCGTGAACTAAACACAGCCTAAGCTGCAGCTTGCAACAATTGCAAAAAAAGCAGAGCTAACAAGAAGAGAGGAGGAGGAGGCAGCAGAGGGACCCAAGCAGAAAAGCAAAGCAAAGCAAAGGCAAGGCCCCCCCCTTCTCATGGAAAGCTGCCTCCGAGCTAACCCGGTTTGAACCAACGAACCCACCACTGTGTCCACAGCCTCCTCCCCGTTACAAATACCCTCCACCACCTCACTGTGCCTATCCGGGAATCGAACTCAACAAGCCAACCAAGAAGAGGAGAGGAGAAGAGAGGAGTCAAGAAACGCAAAAGGTTGGTGACCTCTCTTCAGTTTTGCTTCTCAGATGATGAAGTAGGATGATGAGCTGATTGTTTTAGTTTTCTGTATGTGTCGATCGATTAGCATTTCTAGTTAGGGGGTGGTTTTGTTTTGGAGATTTTTGGGGGTTAAAGTGTTGATACTCTGTTGTTTAGCAGCTTATCTGAACCTGCAAATCCTGCATCAAGTGCTGCTGTTGCTTGACAGTTTGTCTGAACTCTGAAACCTGGGCTAATTGCCACTCTTGTTTATTAGTTTATCTGAAACTGTTGTTGTTGATGGTTACTCTTGTTTTAACATTTTATCTGAACTTACATTGCATTAGCTACTAGCTATAGTTAGGAAAGAAAGAGCATCTCTTCATTTCTTGTTTAGTGGTTTGTATGATGATGCGAAATGGTGAAAGTGTTTACTGTTTAGCCCTCTTGTCGTTCTCTGCATCTCGTAGTTTAGATAATGGGAAGTACAGCTACGGAGCAAAGCGTTGAGATTAAAAAGCATCTCAATTTTGGAAAAAGGACGCTCAATGCTCTGAAACTTACTGTTAATTTTTGCATCAGAAAGAGGCAGAGCTGATGATAGATATGTCAGTCTTTGATCTCATTATCATGAATGACGCAATTGAGAATCTTATCTTCTTTGTCATGTTGTATTGTTATAAGCCGACAGGACTTTGAGTTGTCGTGATGTCGCTGTCTTACAAGATATGAACATCATACTAGTTTGGACTTCGGACTTAATACATGCTAGATAGTACGTTTTGTGGCATTTTGTTCAGCACTAGAAATGATCAACTTGTTTAGAATAATTTAGGATGTATTCAGTTTGTTCATTGGAAATGGTTGGCAAAATGTCAAGAATAATTCTGCACACATCATCAGTCTCGTTGCGTACGGATCTACTTTAATTTTGGGTTGAGGTGCAGATGGCCCTGTACCAGCTGTCGTCAAATGTTCAGTTATCTAAATTTGATAAAATTTTATAATATTAGCAAGATGCACAACCGGAATCTTCATGGAGATCTTGCTGTTTTGTTGCTTTAACAGACATGCAGATTAGATGCCAACAAACTTCCAAATTGTATTTCTTTACCATTGGATGGGTCTTAGCTGCTAAATCCTAAAATAAAGTGAACAAGTACAATTCACAGCAGTTCTAGGCTTTTTAAAGGACACCGAGCACTTTCAAATGTTAAATTATCAAATAATTATTTTGTTGGTCAATTCAAGATTTACATGTGCACGTCTTGTGCTCTAATTCTTTGTTTCTTTTTTCTAGTTTGTAGCAGTACAGGGGTCAATTCTTGGTGATCTTTTTTATCTCCTTTTTTTTTTCCCTTTGTCTTCCCATAATTTGATGATGCCAACATTCCATAACTTATTGCATGGCCCTCCAAATAAAATAATATGATTGCTCACAATTTAATAATGACAACATTCCCACAACTTATTGCAAGAAAACAAAATAAAATGATCTCAAAATAAAATAATAGCTTTCAATCAGATATGCTGTCAAACTCCACACGTCATTCTTTTCCACCTATGCATGTCATGTTCCTGGACCCTGGTAGGTAGTAAATAATTTCAGTGTCCACAGGGAGGATAAATGATTTTGTCATAGTTGGCTTGTCAATTTCAGTTCTTTGAAAATAGTGCAGGGTCCTATTTTCCTTTCTCTGGTCAATATTGTCCCTTACTCCATGTCTTTATTTGATTAAAAAAGTATCATATTGTCCTAACATGTGATATCTTTATTTTGAAGGTTATCAACAGTAAGTACTCATTGAAGTATCACTTCTTCAGGAGTAGTATGGGTATTGAAATTGTACCTCAATCCTTCAATGAGGAGCTGGATTCTACTGTTACTATCACTCCTGCTAGTGACAACATAGATGTGTCTGATGATACAAGTGTTCCTCATCCATCAGAAGTGCCTGCCACAGTAAATGTTGTTCTAGTTGAGCAATCTGATAATTCAATCTCTGAACCTTTGGAATCTGATGGAGCCAATGGAGCTACAGAAAATGTTGTTCCCTTGGCAAGTGAGAAGTCTACTGACAACAATGATGCTATGAATTCAGAGCCAGTGAATTCAGAACCATATGAAGCATCTCCTGCTAATAATGCTGAAAAGGGAGATGTGATGCAGCAGAGTGATGAGAACAATGGTGATAAACAGGAAAATCAGGATCTGTTGTCTCCAATGGCAGAAACAGCAGGAAGTGACAGTACCTCAGTCACATCGATGGAAGATGTTCAAGAAGCAAAGGATGCTGCTCCATCAGAGACAGATGATGCTACTGGCCACCCTCCTGATCTGTCAAATGACAAAGCTTGTGCTGGAAATGGAAATGGAAATGTCTTCCAAAATGCAAAGTGTGTCTTGACAACTTCGACAAAGAAGATGAAGGTAATTCCATTTCTTTGACATGTTCAATTTCATGAATCTTTAATTTTTCACTTAAGTAATGGAATTCATGAAATTTGTGAACTGAAACATATGGAAAGTATACTGTATGTCTTTTCAGTTTCTTTACAGTAGAATAAAAGTGCCGTATTTTTCTCACTAAAGAAACAAAAGTTTCTCATAAATCTGACCAAATTGAATGCTTTCTTGCATATGAATCATTAATTCCTTCTATATATTTTTACAGAGAAGTGCATCTGCAACTACAAGGAAGTCACTGCAAGCTACTAATACTGACGAAGGGAATGCTTCTACTCTCACCAACTCGTAAGCTTCACAACTTTTACACCAACCTCATGTTGTGTACAACCTCTTTTTCCTGAACAGCGCCTAATTCATTTATCTCTTGAAAATGCAGGAAATCATCAAATGGAAGGACCACAACAGTTCCAGCAGGCCCAGTTTTCAGATGTACTGAACGTGCCGAGAAGCGCAGAGAAGTATATACATTATTTATTAACAATTAAAATATGAAATATGGTGGATAAAAAGGGGGAAATTGCTCATTTGTTTATTTTCATGGTTTTATTCAGTTTTACATGAAGTTGGAGGAGAAGCACCAAGCTTTGGAGGAAGAGAAGATTCAGTTGGAGGCAAAATTGAAGGTAATTTATCTTTTATTTTGACGCGGCCATTTCCCAGATATGTATATTCATCTCTGTCTCCATACACCATAACCCCCTTTGAGGTTCAGATAGCTTAACCTGAAATTTGTCCACTGTTTGGAGTAGCTGAAGTTCTGTCAGTACTCTTGATCATGGTTCAGTTATGCATATAACTAAACCTAAACTTTTTTCCCTACCTATATGAGCAAGAGTACTAGAGATTAGTGAGAAATGATCTTTTGAAAACAGTAGTTAAAAACAGTTCATGATTAGTTGGAACTGCTCTCTATAGTCACAATATTCTTCTAGCTGGAAGAATAGAATCAGAGATGCAGTATCCATAAGCATCTCTTAGTTCAATAAATAAAAAATCAGGTTTACTTTCAAATATCTAAATTAATTGTTACCAACAGTCTAAAGAGCATAGCCTCAGGCTGAACAATTTTTCAGAAGCTGATCTGTAATAATTTTTCACAATCTGAACCTGCAGAAAGAACAAGAGGAAGCACTGAAGCTGCTGAGGAAGAGCCTGACGTTCAAGGCCACACCAATGCCAAGCTTCTACCACGAGGCTCCTTCTCCCAAGGCTGAATACAAGAAGGCAAGAACACTCTCAACTTCATCACATCCAATCTTCAGAAGAAGAAACAGAAAAAGAACATTGATCTCACGACTGTTTCTGCACCATTTTCTCTGCAGCTGCCGACGACGCGGCCCAAGTCGCCAAAGCTGGGGAGGAGGAAGGCCTCGACGGCGGCGGACGCCTCCAACTCGTCGGAGGAGAGCGACAGCACGCCGCGGCCGTGCTGCCGCGCCAGCCGCGACAGCCTCGACAGCATCTGCAAATGCAGCAGCAGCAGCAGAAACGGCAAGCCGCAGCAACCTGCAACCGCGAAGCCGGCAGCCTCCAAGAAGCAGCCCAAGCCACACGCCCACAAGCTCTCCGACCAGAGCGCCATGAACATCGCCGTCCACTAGCTGCTTCTCTCTCTGTCTCTCTCTTTCTTGCTTGGCTGCATGGATCAATCATGGAGGAAGGAACCAACCACCCAATTCAGGAGGAAAAAGAATCGAGTTCTTGTTTTTTTTCTTCTTCTTCTTCTCTAAGTAATTATTGGGAGTGATATGATGGGCTTCTGCAATCTTCAATCATGTGGTATTGGTGTAGATAATAAGTTATGATGATGATGATGCACAAGAGGGTTTGTGTGAGACTGCCTGCCATGGGTGAAGTTCAGAAGTGATGTTTTATTTTTAATTTATGCTGATTTTCACTTTGTTTATTTTGGGGATGTGAGAATGGCATGTGTCAGTCATAACTTCTTTTTCTTAATTTATGTGATGTGGGTGTTCTTGATGTAATTTATGTATTTATATATAATGTATATACTCACAATGCAAACAGAAGGCTTTGTTGTTGGTGGTGATGGTGATGGCAAGGAACACTGTTTGTTACTCCCTCCGTTTTAAGTCATTCTAACATTTCCCATATTTAAATTGATGTTAATAAATCTAGACATATATATCTATCTAGATTCATTAACATCAATATGAATATGGAAAATGCTAGAATGACTTACATTGTGAAACGGAGCAATTAGTACCTTACTTTATTTATGATCACTCAACTTCAGTTAAGGTTCAGAGTTGCTTTGATGGGTCTGTGATGAACAGTGTTTGTGATCACAATGTTTCTTCTTCTTTTTCTTTTTTTTGGTGATTATGTTGCCTTCTGGAGTATTACTTGATTGCAAAATTTCATTGACGGGTTCAAATCGTACATTCACATTTTCTCTCCGAATCGTGTTTTGATTTTGTTTTAAAAAGAAATTGCTCTTCAGTGTACTGCTCGTAAGCTGTTACAGAAAATTCAGACACACAAAATTCAGAGTTCAGACACACAGAGCAGTGTCTACTCTCCTCTGGGCTGCATCGAGATTCGTGCTACCTAACAGCCCAATCTCCTTTCCCACGCTATCCAACGGCGGAGAACGCGCCACGTGTCCCGCCTCACCCACCTCAACCCATCCACCACCTGAGCCGCACTGCCACTCGCCGAGAAGACTCGCCGCGTCACTCGCCGTCGCCGCGCGCCATGAGAGCCGCTTGCTTCTTCACCGGCGCCGCCGCCACCGCCTCGCTCCCCCTCCCCTCCACCTCCGCCTCCGCCTCCTCGTGCTGTCAACGGAGGCCCGCCTCCCTCCGCTGCTCCCGCCCTCGCCGCAGCTTCGGCGTGGCGCGGGCGCTCGACGAGCGGCTCGTCGAGGCCGCGCCGCCCGCGGAAACCGAGGTGGAGGAGCCCGGAGTTGCGGATGGAGGTGGAGAAGGGGAGGGGGAGGTGGAGGATTCGGCACCGTCGGGGGAGGAGGAGGAGGAGGAGGAGCCAGCGAGGGCTCCGGTGAGGAGCAGGCGGCGGCAGGAGGAGGAGGAGGAGGAGGCCGCGCCGGGGCACGACCGGTTCAAGCTCATCAACGGCAAGGAGGTAGTGGCACCTCATCGTGGCCTCCTGTAGATTTATCTATCTTTTTAATGTCCAATTAAACTCTTCTCTCTGAACTAATTGGGATGTTAACTCACCTGTGTTGTGTTGCATGTGAGAATGGATAATTCACTCTGTACATAGCAATTTGAAAATTTGTTGGTTCGAATTTTACTGAAATTGGAGGGTTTTGCAGATTTTTCAAGAGAAGGCATACCTGGTTGGGGTTGAGTGCAAGAGGAGTGGAGGAAGTATGTTCAGTATAGAGGAATCACTTGAGGAGCTGGAGCAGCTAGCGGATACCGCCGGGCTCATGGTTGTCGGCTCAACCTATCAAAAGTAAGTCCCGAATCAGGTCATGTTGTAGTTTGTTGGCGTGGCGTTAGGTGCCATATAATTGATTGAATGTGGTGGTGTAGTGTGGTTATGCTTCCTAAGAAATGGTATGCGACTATGCATTTTGCTATACAACCTCGTTTCTTGCATAAACAAAACATAATTGCTACACATTATCTTTTCCTGTGGGGGATATGTATAGCAGGGATGTCCATCTTTGTGATGCTTCATGTGCAAAAGGTGAACTAATATTGATGGAAAAGTATCATATGGACTGAAAATTCCGGTTAGCTAGTTTGTGCAATCATATCTGTTCAGTCAAAAGCATAAATTGGGAATTCTGAGGAAAGTAATGACACTCAATTTCATGCCACACCCTATGTCTGGCTTTAGGGAATTCTATGACGAAATTCAACCTCTGCAAAGGGACATGGTAATGTTCGTTGAAGTATGGTTCTGAAAACGTGCCACAGCTTTACCAGGACTTTTCATCAATCCAGTATAAATTAATTTCAAAAGTTTTTGCATTGTTATCTTACCCTGATGGCATGAAAAGATGCCACAAACAACAGTCTATTATCTGCCAGTTGAAATGTTGAATCATATTACATTTTTGCTATATGAATTATATCCCCTTTCCCTTGTAAATATGTACATACCCCTTTCTTAAGTAAATTTGGTCCGCCTATCTTAGGCCGGCCCGGCTAATTATATCCCCTTTCGAGATAATGTATATGAATTGTATTCCCTTAGTGTGTTATTCTATACATGTCTTGTTTGAGCTGCAGATGTTTCATGGTTTCTGCTTTTGTTCAGGCTTTCTACCCCAAATCCAAGGACTTATATTGGTTCAGGCAAAGTTGCTGAAATCAAGAGCGCAATTCATGCCCATGATGTTGAGACTGTGATTTTCGATGATGAGTTGTCCCCTGGGTAAGATGATCATTACCTACTTCTGCAAGACTCGATTTCTCTTTTTTTCCCTGTTTGCTATATCTTATTCCAAGATTTTATCCTTGATCATTTGCTATGTTATCAATTCAGACAATTGCGTAACTTGGAGAAGTCATTTGGTGGGGGCGTTCGAGTCTGTGACAGGACTGCTCTTATTCTGGACATATTTAACCAAAGGGCTGCAACACATGAAGCTGCTCTACAGGTGAACTGAACTGAACATCTTGGTGTCATTTTCTAGACAAGCGACATGGCTTTAATTGTATAATAAGCAGCTGTGTTATTAGCAGAAATTTCTCCTTGTAACAAGAACTGTCTTTGTAGTTATAAAAATTCCTATGACATTTCACTCATCTATATTTGGGTGATAAAGAACATAATCTTTTCAATAAAATGCTAATGACAGTTCCTTTACCAGCTACCAGTGGTAAGTTGCTTTGGTGGGCTATTAGGCTCTGGCAAATGCGAACTATTACAACTATAACTAGTGGATACCCTGCAGCTTGCTGCAGGATTTTAGAAGTCCTTCTAAAACACTTAAAAACAACATTGAATTAAAGGTGAGACAATATGTTAAGCTATAATTAATACATAACGGTTAGCATACAAAATACATTTGTGGTCGTGATCCAACAGCCCTTCTTTTCTAGATGATGTGGCTCAACGCATGTTGAGTAATTAGGTCCAACCATATCGGAACAGTAGATATCTTGGTAGAAAAATCTGCATGCCAGTACATTAGCTGACTATCTTCATGAAATGGCGTGCACTGTACAAAATCATATTGCTTTTGGTAGTGTTTTGCAAGTCTGCATTGACTATGCAAGATCGGAATATCAAAATTTCTACATAGATATTTTGTGATGTATGGCCTCGATTGAGACTCCTTTGGAGTTGAAACTAACTACAGTACTGCATTTGATTTAGAATTGATTTTCATGTGCAATCATCCTTTTAGGTCACTTTGGCACAAATGGAATATCAACTTCCAAGGTTGACAAAGATGTGGAGTCATCTTGAACGACAGTCAGGAGGTCAAGTCAAGGGTATGGGTGAGAAACAAATTGAAGTTGACAAGCGCATCTTGAGAACACAAGTAATATTCTCTTACTAAAAGTTCAACGATTTATATGTTTTGCTTTGCACCAAATGCCAAACTACTTTGCTGTCAGGATCTTTATTTCAATTGAATGGCATACACATATTTATGCATTGTTTCCTCATCCATGTATTTGCTACTTCAGATTTCCTCATCGAAATAGTTTATGTAGACTTCCGTTCTGTGTGTATGTGCTGTCACCTAGATGTGTGGACTGTGGAGAATATCACCAGATATGTTTTATGTGTTGGTTGTTACTACTTCCATCAGTGAAAGAACATGCATTTTGCAGCATCTTGATCATTGACTTGCCACTTTTATCACCTGCGTGGAATAAAAAAAATTGATGATCTGTAGCCATTTAATAGTTAATGACAAGCTCCATTGATAATTAATTGGAAGGCTTGTATTTTTTTTCACCAAGTGTATTGTCCAATTTGCATGGATAATATTTTTGTTTCTAATGATTCTTGAATCAAGTGCCATTGATAGATAAGTGCTTTAAGGAAAGAATTGGAGTCTGTCCGAAAACATCGGAAGCTGTACCGCAACCGTCGGCAATCAGTGCCTATTCCTGTTGTTTCTCTGGTATAATCATGAAGTTCTTCTCAAATATAATAGAAAGTTTCCTATTCACTATAATTTGTTGATATATTCACTTTGAAAACTTTTAGGTGGGATATACAAATGCTGGGAAAAGTACACTGTTGAACCGCTTAACTGGGGCTGATGTACTTGCAGAGGATAAATTGTTTGCCACACTGGATCCAACAACAAGGAGGGTTTTGGTACGTTATCAGGCCTCAGTAATATTATAATAATATGTAAGGTTCTGTGTGAAGTGTGTAATCTGGGGATAAATAACATCTAGCCTCATTATCGTTTTTATCTGTTGGGGAATTTCTTCGGGTGACACGCATGTATGGAAGAGATGATATTTCTGTAATAATGCTTCATTGATAATAGGTCTACGAATAAAGTAACTTGAGCAGTTATGCTGTTTTCTGTTTTAGTTTTCATTGATATTTTCTTGATGGTTTACTGACTAAATGTGCACTACTTTGCAGATGAAGAATGGTACTGAATTCCTCCTAACAGATACTGTTGGATTCATTCAAAAATTACCTACTATGTTGGTAAGATGTTTTCCAAAGCGGCACTCTTATGCATATGTTGCTTCTAGAATACCCATGATGTGCATGACTGTCCCTATTCAAAGTTTACACAGAAAAATCACATAACAGAGGATTATGATTTCCCCTCCTTTGCTGATACTAACAAGCAAATTAACTATTGGCACTTGTCCTGTTGTCCAGGTAGCAGCATTTAGAGCAACATTGGAGGAGATATCAGAATCATCAGTTATAGTTCATCTTGTAGATATCAGGTGAGCAACTGGCATGCAAAGGTTTTTTGCCACATTGTAAATTCAACATAATGCATCTGTGCGTGTTGTGTTAAATGTTTTTTTTTTCATATGCTTTCCAGCCATCCGTTAGCTCAACAGCAGATAGATGCTGTTGACAAAGTGTTGAAGGAGTTGGATATAGAGTCAATTCCCAAGTTGGTTGTATGGAATAAGGTTAGTTTCTAAATGCATTGGACCTCATCCACTAAGAATTTCAATGATTTCAACAAATTTCAAGTGCTATAGCCCGTATGGACGGTATTATGATGATACAGTTGCTCTAAGTTTAATCTGGCGTATATGCTATACCATTTATCAAATTGATAATACTAAAGCCTTTCGAGTAGAAGTTGCCCCTAATTTTAAGCTCTGTAATGCAGTTTGGGTGCACTAAGCATTTCTATTTAATCAATAACTCTGTAATATCAGGATATATAGCATGCTGAGTTATATAATGATGGCTTTTGAAATTCTTGACCAAAATATATGGCATGTAGATTGACAATACTGATGACACACTGAGAGTGAAAGAGGAAGCTGAGAAACAAGGGATAATCTGCATATCAGCCATCAATGGTGATGGTTTGGAGGAGTTCTGCAATGCAATTCAAGCAAAGTTGAAAGTACGACTTGTTTCCAGACTTCAGATATAAGCTTTTGTTAGGTCCTATTGCTTATTTTATTGTTCTAAAATGAATTATGCCTATCTATCTTCTACAGGACTCATTGGTGCCGATAGAAGCTTTTGTTCCATATGACAAAGGAGAGCTCCTGAGTGACATACACAAGGTTGGGATGGTTGAGAAAACGGTGAGTATCATGCTCGATCATTAAAACATGTTTTTGCCTATCAATATGCTCTAACTTTTAAATTGAATGTTTGGTAAAACCTTTATCCTTCTTACTTGAAGATAACAACGATGTTTCCACAAAATATTTATTGCAGGAGTACACGGAAAATGGTACCTTTGTAAAAGCGCATGTGCCTCTGCCTCTTGCAAGGCTTCTCACGCCGCTGCGGCAGCAGGTGGCGGCTGTTTCATGATGTGAACGTCTTGCATATTGCTATCGGCAATTCACATAATTTGCTAGCCTTTGTAGTTTGTACAGAGCTAAGCCATAGATTTTCATGCCATCAGTTTGACCTGTGTAGAGCATCATTACAAAAATGTAGTAGATGAGTTAGATAGATGTAAAAACAGTGTAACATCAATTGCATTACTACTGTAAATATTTTTTGGGCAGAAATTGACACTTGCCTTGTTCTACTTGAAAATCTGTCTCACTCTACTGAATATACTATCGCCCCAACATTATTACATGGTGTACGTGATCATCATTTCAGTTATGAATTCTGCAGATAAATCAACTTGGTGTTCTTTACAGACAAGGCTACTACTGAAAAAAAAATAATAAGTTTCAGGGAGCAGTTAGCAAAACTTAGGGCTTTCACTTTGATGTCATTTCTAACCATACCATTTTTTGGCAAGTTACCAAAATTGTGCATATGTTTGGTTTCTTACCAAATTTTGGTAAAAACGCCAAAATTTTGGCGTTTTTACCAAAATTTGGCAACAAAGTGAATTTTGGTAGCATATATGTTGGCAACAAAGTGAACACATCCAAAATGGCTATATTGCCTAAATTTAGCAACATTGACAACCTTACCAAAATTTTGGCAATGCCAAAATTTGATAAGGTTTATTTTGGCAACAAAGTGAAGTCGCTAACGTTTGTGTGCAGTAACAGATTCACTGGTGTGCAGTCCTATAGTGGAACCAACTCTGCAGGGGCAAGTAAAATAGTCCAAGATACCCTAAGGATTCAACAGAGAATCCTATGATGCCCATCGCAAAATCTGCAACATTACAATGAATGTTCTATTTTACAAGGACAACATTCATTCCCAAAGAAGAAAAATAAATAAATAAACCTCACGCTGCCGAGTTGCAGTAACTTGCAAAAGAAAAAAAAAATGTTGCTGGCCAGTAGTGCTTAAACTCTTTACATGATAATACAGACTTCATAAGAGAAGAGGCATTGCTTCACATGACTAGCAGACTAAATGCTGGTGATTGTTTTGGCTTCAAATGCCAAAAGCACATCACATTAGTTGTCTTCACAAAACTGAGTCACCAGTTAAATTGCATTGTATGGTCTAACTTATCAGTCATTTCAAGATAGAGATCATGGCAAGGGGATCTGATTCAGTTGAGATGTGGCCTGCTACAAACTCAACTAGTAATCCTTAAGCCGCAACAGCATGTGCTTCAGATGAATGATTCTTGTAGAATTTGCTCAAGCTTGTGCGCGCGATTACATCCCCGGATAATGATGCTGTCGATGACTTGGTGATTTTCACCTCAATGAAGTCACCAACCACTGGCTTGCGCAGTTCATCACCTTCAAATGTATGCGGTACAGGGACGCTCGCAAACGAAACCCTATGCCCCCTGTCGGTTTTTCCAATCATCTCTGTTTCAGGAGCCCGCTTGTTCGGTCCCTCGACTAGAACTAGCTGTACTGTCCCAACCTGAGAATCGTAGATCTTCGCTGTAGTTTCACGGAAGGTGCTGATTAGCTCTGCAAGTCTCCTCTGCTTGACATCATCGGGGACATCATCCACATAATTCCGATGAGCATGAGTCTTTTCTCTCATGCTATATGCAAACATGTAGGCCATATCATATCCAACAGCCCTTACAAGGGTAAGAGTCTCAGCATGTTCCTCTTCTGTCTCTCCACAAAAACCTAATAGACAAGAGATTTTTTTTTGTCAAAATAGAAGTGAATAATCATTAACGAAGTGCACTCAGAAAACAGATGTGTAATTGCTAATTGTAAAATGGCAAATTGTAGAAACAAAATACAAGTCACAGCATAACTACACAAGAAAACTGGTTTGACAGCAGGACTTGTCAAAGTCATGTAACAAAACAGGTGATAGTGTTGTAGTATTATAGTAAATCTGAGTACACTCCAAGAAAATGATGTGAAATTCTGAAGCATTTTCAATTTTTCAGTATGAATAATTAAGGGGGTGGAATGGAACTAGAGGATATACATTTGAACTACCATGGAAATAAGAAAAGGAGCACATAGAAATAAATATAGAATGTGGATCTGGTTAGGCCAAAAATATAGTATGGTCAACCTAGTTCTAAGTTGTACCTAGAAGATATTCTCAAGTGCAAGTGACACATTTGTGAGCATGCAACAAATTAGTCAAACAGGATATAGTCTCAAACTCTAAACATGCATGCCAGTTTTATTCAGTTAGTGATACTTGGTGGTACTTAGCTAGCACATCATTTTCCAACTCAGGTTATTATATCCTTACTATTATCCACATCCAATGGAGCTACGACATATATGGTTTATCACCCTTTCTTGAAGCAGCCAAACAGGAAATAAATAGCCACATTGCTAGTACTTTGTAGAAAATATTGCAACTTTGAAAAGCAGGAAACAGATAGAAGATAGACCATAAGGTCATACAATGATGATCTCGGAAAAGTGACCTACCACTTATGAAATCACTGCTTAACCCAACATCTGGAATGATACTACGGATTTTCTGCACAAGCTCCAAGTATGCCTCTCTAGTATAACCCCGACGCATACGTTCCAGCACTGCTGAGCTGCCTGATTGAGCTGGCATATGAATAAGTTTGCAAACATTGTGCCTATCCCGCATTAAATATAGAAGCTCGTCTGGGTAATCCTTTGGATGCGGAGAGGTAAACCTGAACCGCATCTCAGGGTATTCCAAAGATAACTGATCCAGGAGATCAGCAAAACGCAACCCCATATTCTTCACCTTGCACATGCTAGAAAACCCTTCACTGAGCTCCCAGTTTTTACCAGGTTCTAATTCCTCAACTTCAGAAGTGTCGTTATAACTGTTTACGTTCTGACCAAGAAGCATTACTTCCTTCACGCCTGCTTTCCAGAGCTCCCCAACTTCTCGGACAATTGAGGACACTGGACGGGACCTTTCCCTACCTCTAGTGAAAGGAACGATACAAAAGGAGCACATATTGTTGCAACCCCTCATAATTGATACAAATGCGGTCACTGAATTGTCAGAGATCCTAACTGGGGTGATGTCAGCATACGTCTCCTCGAGTGAGAGAAGCGTGTTGATACCCTTCTGCCCATAATCAACTTCCTGCAGCAACCTAGGCAAGTCCCTATACGCATCAGGTCCACAGACAACATCAACCATCTTATCAGAATCGAGAATTTTCTCCTTCAATCGCTCTGCCATGCACCCAAGAACGGCAATCTTTGGAGGCCGCAGAGATCTTGACCGCCCTGCAGCAACATTAGCTTTCCATTGCCTTTTCAGGAACCAAAAGTAGTTCAGTCGCTGCCAGACTTTCTGCTCTGCGTTGTCACGGATTGCACATGTGTTGATAAATATTATCTCTGCACTCTCAGGGTCAGGGACAATTTCATCATACCCTTCATTTTTCATGATAGAAAGCACGATCTCCATGTCGTTTACATTCATTTGGCACCCATATGTCTCATGGTAAATGCGACCCTTGCTTGCTGTCACCGGACCAGACTCTAAACTAGACAAACCAAAAAAACAAAGCATGGGGTCAGCAAAGCTTGCAGTCAAAATCAGAAAAGAGAAGTATGAAGTAAGCATAGTAAATTGGAACAACGAAAATATTTGTGTAAAGCAAAAGAACAAGTCTTTCAATCCTTCAAGGTTCAGTGTCACAAGAAAGATAACTACCTACTACAATGAATTAATTGTAGTTATTGCCAATGAACTAATTCAAATCTTTTTTTTCCAAAACAGAGGTGAAATATTTCAGCGCGATCAGAAAAATTCCCAAGGTAAGAAAATCAGAATATATCCATACCTAGGCACCCACTCAACATGGATTACCTAGGGTATTAACTATAAGACACAACAAAACAATTCCTAGGATTTACATTTTTCCACATAACACATGGCTTTTTACTGTTCTAATTTCCATGCAATATCTTTACCGCACTAAACGCAAATTTTAGCACTGACTCAACCATTTCAATTAGGCACCAGAAGATTCACACACACCACTGATCATTACACCACCAAAACCTTGGAATAATTCCACCTAGCAACTCGCGCCGCTTGCTAATCTTCACTGCACCCACAATGTGCTCAATCGATGTTTCCACTTCGAATAATAACGATCACCATGTTCATCAGGCCACAATTCTAGTAAAACACCTCTACTTTTAACACTACAGTGCCCACTGTACTACCCGAGCAAACCTACAACCACAACAACAGCAGGAGGAGGAGGAGGAAGTGAGAGGGGGTGCAAAAAAGAAACGGGCACATTACTCTGTCTGCGCCTCGGACACGGCCGTGGCGGCGGATGCGGCGAGCGGACGGGAGGGGCCAGAGCGGGCGAGGCGGCGGGGAGGAGGCGGGGGCGGATGGGCGGCGCTGGAGAGGCATCGAGGAGCCGCGCACGGGGAAGGAGCAAGGGGCGCGGGGGAGTAGCGGCGGCGGAGGAGGAAGGCGCGGCGGTGGCTGAGGCCCCGGCCGAGGCGGAGCGCGGCGGCGGCGGTGAGCGGCGCCGCCATGGCGAGGTTGGGTTTTGGATGTGGTGGAGAGGAGAGGAGAGGGGGTAGGGATTTACTCGGATAACCCTATGGGGTCAGGATGGCCGTCGGATCGAAGATCAGCGGCCAGGAAAAAATGCGCCTAATTTCTTGTCGATTTTTTATGTTTTGATGGATCATGAGAATTTCTGCTAATTCTTTACAGGATTACAAATTATTACTATCTTTTAACTCAAAATCATGCAGTTTTCAGGTTCAAATCATACAAAACATTCAACAGTGGCCTCAAAACTTTCATCCAAAAACTTTACACGGATTATTTGTTGGAAACACACGTGCGCTAATTAGCAATCCCGAGCCCTTTAGAGGGGCTATTCAGATTGTAGCCAAAATAAACCTTACCAAATTTTGGCAATATCAAAATTTTGATAAGTTGGCAATATTACCAAAATTTCGACAAAATTTCTTACTAAAGTTTGACAAAAAAAAAAAACTAAATGTATGCACATTTTTTAATAACTTTGCCAAAAAATGATGTGATTTGAAATGACATCAATTTGAACAGCCCCAAAAGGTAATACATGGTTTCTTTCATGAATTATATCCATTTCTCCCAAAACATCAACAGCTGTACACAAATTTCAGAAGCAGTATCTAAACCAAAAGCTCTCATATTCTGAATTTTTCAGAACACATCATTCGGTTCAAGAATATAGACAGAAAACAGATAATATATGCCTAACTGGAAAAGAAATAAGATTTTTTCAGCATTGTTGATCGTCATGCTTGGTAACCATGCACTATCTGAATTCTGACACTCTTATCAACAATTACATGACTTGCTCAAGGAAGTAAGGAACTTCATCATGCCGTGCTCTTCGTTCCTTCTTGCACAGATATCTGATTCATGTTAAGAAGGTGATGAAGGCCAGCGATGACGTGCTGCCTGCTAGTCGGTACGCCAGTCTTTGCTAAGGCTCGTCCATTCTTGTCAAGAAGCACAAAGCACGGGACATATCTGATGTCGTAATGCAGAAGCTGAAAATGTACGAAGAAATGTTGCTGTTAGAAACTGGAAACAACTCAACATGTGTATGTGAGATATGGCAATACTATGACAGGAATACAGGCATACAGCTCCCACGTGTATGCGGAAAGTGCTAACATCTTTCATATGCTTGGTCAGTTACCATGTCTTGCGACAAAACGTTTGTCAAACAACTAGAGATAGATTACTAGTAGCTAGCAGATACAATGGTTCAGTAACAGGGCAAGTACAACATGACACCATAACCAACCATGGTTCGTTAAGGCATAAAAGAAAATGAGAAAGCAGGCATAAAAGAAGTTGTTGTTGGATAGCCAAACAAATATAGAAAAGGTTAGGAGAGTAGAAAAAGGAAACCAGCCAGGATACAAAATGTAAGTACAAATGCAAGATACTAGATACCAATATACCATGAAAACTATGGTCTAGTAGGCTAGTAGCCCATCATGTGCCCAGCCATCATGTGTTGACAAGCAGCAGCAAGGGGTAGCAAGGAGATGAATACAACAGCTTATATGTATAGTTAGTTATTTACTAAGGATTTTACAATTTTTCAGAACTTTTAGCTGTCCATAGTCGTGGTACTTTTGTTGTTTACGTGAACTTCAGTGAAAAATAACATTTTTAGTATCTGAGTCCAAGATATTCTTTGCATATGTGTATACATCAATTTTTATAAAACTAAAAATTAGAGCCCCTACACTTTCAGAAGAACCTACGGCCATGTCTCTTTGTATGTACACATACATACAAAGAGATAATAACAGGAAACCTGCAAGCTGAATCTTGTTCAACAACCTTACATGACAGACTTAAACCCTAAAAGTTTAGCAATCCTTCAACTATTTACTCCATATGAAAAATCTGAGAAACGCATACTACTTAACAATTTTCAAAAGAAATCCAACACAGAGCACAACTACTTGTTACTATCACAGCCCAAAGTTGACGCTAGCGATTTAATTGAGCTCCACTGTAACACATAACAATTGTAATGAATTTTCACCAAGACAGTTAATAACAGGAAAGCACCACATGATGGTAGAACACTTTAGTCCCCAGATCAAGATAAACAACACCAAGACAAGTCCACGATTGATTATGACTATTGGGCATAAGTTACATGTACATTATCTACAGTGAGGAGGTCCTCTAACCCCCCACTTTTTCACTGTAGACAACTCATTAATACATTAATCAATGGCAATAAACGACTTAACCACTGAAGACACAAAATTGGTAGTTTCCTACACAAAGATTGCACCTAAAGCAGCAATTTCCAATGCACAATTCACACAACTTGAATTGCACCTAAAGTAGCAATTTCCAATGCACAATTCACACAACTTGAAGCATTATAGATAGAGTTAAGCCAGGATGCGAAGCCATCAACGATCATTCTAAAGCAGGATTACAGCACATGTCTCACAAATTAATCAACGGCCCAAGTCTCAATTTTACCATAGAACCTATGAACATGACATATTTATTTTCTACCAATCAATGCACACGCTAGCAAATCATCTCATCTTAAAATTAGAACCAGGAGAACAATCTCATGACTCATCTCACAAACATGTCATCGCGAAGGCACCCTCAAAGTTGGAAACTAACGCCCAAATCATCAATCACAAATCTATGGGGGCGCAGAGCAATGCAGTCGGGTGAAGGCGCCTCACCTCGGGGAGCCACCGGTCGTCCTCGGCGTCGGCGAGCACGAAGCCGGCCCGCCCGCCTGCGCCGTCCTCGAGCTCGCGCACGAGCCCCTGCAGCGACGAGCACAGGCGGCACCGGGGCGAGTAGAACTCCAGCACGGTCGCGTCCCTCCCGCTCGCCAGCGCTGCCGCGAGCGCCCGCTGCTCCGCCTCCCCGCGGTCCGCCTCCGCCGCCAGCCCAGGGCCCAGCCGCCTCCTCCTCCTCCACCTCGTCCTCGCCCCACCGCCGCCTCCTCCCCCGTCCGACGAGGGGGAGGGGAGGTCGCCGGCGATGAGGAGGCCCTGCGCCACGGTGCGGATGGACTTGAGCAGCCAGGGCATCTCGAGGTCGCCGCAGGGGCTCGGGCTAGGGCTAGGGCTCGTTGCCTTGGGGTCGGGGCCCCATGGCCACTTGAAGCAGACGAAGGGTGGGGGCTTCGCGGCGGCGCCCATCCTCTCCGGCGAGGGAAGCGCCGGCGAGGCGGCGGCGGCTGCGGATTGGGCGATGACGTGGGTTGATGAATGGACCGCGCATCACATATCGATTCAACGGCTGAGATCTACCCCACTGGAGTGTACTGGACGCGGCCTCTACTTCTGCAAATTGGACCCTCGTTTGGTTGCTACAGACCTACAGTTAGCGAGTAAACTATACTACTCCCTCCTTCCCTAGATGTTGACGCCGTTGCCTCTTTTAAATATGTTTGACCGTTCGTCTTATTTAAAAACTTTTGTGAATGTGTAAAACTATATGTATACATAAAAGTATATTTAACAATAAATCAAATGATAGGAAAAAAATTAATAATTACTTAAATTTTTTGAATAAGAAGAACGGTCAAATATTTTTTAAAAAGTCAACGGCGTCAAACATTTTGGGATGGAGGGAGTATATTCCTTTCCGGGCGACCATTCTACCCCTGTCATTTCTTCACTCTCATTGCACCATTTCGTCCATCTTAAGATATTAATAATACTCCCTCCGTTTCAAAATGTTTGACACCGTTGACTTTTTAGTACGTATTTGACCATTCGTCTTTTTCAAAAAGTTTAAGTAATAATTAATTCTTTTCATATCATTTGATTCATTGTTAAATATACTTCCATGTACACATATAGTTTTACATATTTCACAAATTTTTTGAATAAGACGAACGGTCAAACATGTACTAAAAAGTCAACGGTGTCAAACATTTTGAAACGGAGGGAGTAGTAACCAACGCACATCATATCTTTTTAGACGGCGTCATACACGGTGATCAATCATGCCGTGGAAAGGACAATGTTAAATTGGATAATGCTTCCCCTAGATTGCTAAATGGGCCGCTTGGCCCGGCAATGACCGAGCCTATGTCGAGATCAGTCGGGCCGGCACGCCCCGACCAACATGCCAGGCCAGGGCAGGCCCGCCCACTTGCTGCACCTTCGGCCTAGGCGCTCAATAAAACTCAGGCCAACCCAAAAGCACGTAAGTCTATTGTGCTCCTCCTTGAAAAAGTCTATTTTCCTCCCTAATCTCTTTAGGCTGGCTCTTATATAGCTGCATTGCATCCTCATTCTTTGGCCGTACCTTATATGGCTAGAATAAGTCTACGTTGGCTCCCTCATCTTATCGTGCCGACGAAGAGGCCCATTCACAGCTCAAAGATCGGGCTATGCTGTGCTTGGACCGGGCCAAAACTCTGTGCCATGGGCCGGGCCATCGGGCCTTGAGCCTTTTGGCCAACTAAACCCTATAAAGTGGCCGACGCACTGCACACGATCGCACTCTCGCAAAGTCGCAACGTCATTACTCATCATCCGTTAATCTCCTTCCGGACGATTAGGCCAATCCTAACTATAAAACCCAATGGCTGACATAGGAGAGGACGGAAAACGCAGCCTTGTGTCTATCCACATTTCAGACAAATTTGCTCCAATCATATGCCTTTTTTTCACACTTTATTAGCAGTCACTTTTATTGCTCAAACAAATAGTAACAATTACAAACAACATCAACATGATCATAATTACAAGTTTAATTAAACCCAATCTTTCCTTAATGAATCAACAGCAATCATTAATCAATCATCTTCTGGAGTAATGAAAAGTATGAAACAAACACTTACAAAGTTGCATTTGCAATTCATGGATGCTCTCGATCCTACGACGCATTGAAGCATGGGAAGCAACCGCACAGCTTGGACAGAGCCGACGGCGTCGCCGGTGCCGGCGCCGTGGCCGGCGGGTCAGCCGCCGGAGCGGAAGACGAAGCAGAAGCCGAAGCCGGCTGCAGCATCGGGACGTGGGACCCGTCCATGCCGCCGTCGCGGCACCGGTGGCACTCCTCCCGGAACCGGTCGAACGCGTCGCGGCAGTACTGGGCGGCGCCGGCGACGGTCATCCCGCGGACGAACACCTCGGGGTCGTACCCTTCCCCGTCGTGGTCGCCGTTCAGCGCGGCGCCGAGCTGCACCAGCTCGGCCTGGAACTCCGACACCTCCCGGTGCTCCTCCGCCTCCGCCGCCCGCAGCCGCGGCGGCTCCGGCAGCGTGGCGGGGCAGTCCTCCCTCGGCGCCGCCCGCGTCAGCACCGTGTCGAACGTGCCCGCCCACGCGTCGCGCCTCGTCAGGAACTCCTTCAACCCAAATATCCTCTTCACCGTCGCCGGGATCGACGAGTGCTCGAACTGCGACGTCGGCTCCGGCGCGCCGCCGCACGACGCCGGGTCGTGCACCACGGTGCCCGGCTCGATCCACGGCGAGACGAGCAGCGTCGGGACGCGGACGCCGAGGCGGTCGAAGGCGAACGACACGGGGGCGGCGCTGACGATGCCGTCGGGGGAAGGGACGCCGGCGACCGGGGTGGGGACGTGGTCGAAGAAGCCGCCGTGCTCGTCGTAGGTGATGACGAAGAGGATCTCGTGCCACTGGGGGCTCGAGCGGAGCGCCTCGTAGACGTCCTTGACGAGGCGCTGGCCATGGGCGACGTCGTGGGAAGGGTGGTCGTCGTTGCCCGGGAGGAGCTTGAGGTCGAAGTAGCGCTGCTCGATGACGACGTAGTTTGGGAGCTTGCCGGCCTTGCAGTCGCGCTTGAAGGCGGTGTCGTAGGGGTGGAAGTTGCCCACGTACTTGAGTTGCCTCATGTTCCTACATGCATGCCAATATATCCGGTATTAATTCATACTTCCTCCGTACTCGTAAAGGAAGTCGTTTTGGACAGCGACACGGTCTTCAAAACACAACTTTAACTTCTTGTTTCTATAAAAATATTTATTAAAAAGTGATATATGTATACTTTTATGAAAGTATTTTTTCAAGGCAAATCTATTTGTATATATTTTACATTTTCAAACTCAACAACTTGAGAGTTATTCATGATTTATATTCTTAAGGTTTGACTTAAGCATTATCCTAAACTACTTCTTTTATGAGTACGGAGGCTGTAGCTGATTAACCAAGTACTCCCACCATGTAAGTCATTCTAGCATTTCCCATATTCATATTGATGTTGATGAATCTAGATATATATCTATCTAGATTCAATCTAGATTTATTAACATCAATATAAATATGGAAAATATTAGAATGCCTTACATTCTGAAACGGAGTAAGTAATTATTATCATGGGTGGACATAATTTTTTCATTACACGGAAGACATGTACTCTCACGTGACGACACACAACTACACACGTATACCACACTCATGTACTTGTAAATGATATACATATATAATAAATATACTAATAAAATTAGCCTTACTAAAGTCGTAGTGAAAGCACATAGTGAAACCCCGAAACTCACCTAGCTACCCTACCTAGAAACCACCTATCCTGATTATAAGCCGAAAAATCTAAACCCAAACAAACAAATAGTTTTCGTTGGTTTTTTTTTAATCCATAAATCACTCTAACACTATTAAGCCAAAAGTTAAGTTGGAGATGTATTTTGTCTTTTGTGAGGTAAAAGTAAATATTATGAAATAGTCCAATATTTGTTTTCAAAGTGAATATCATATATTTAAATAAGCAAACAGTTGGTACTAACATATCTGATAAAAAATATATATTATGTATGGCATATTATAATATGCTTTCTTTTACCCAAAGCAAAGTATAGACATTTTGCTAGTATCTTAAAGTATGTGTAGAGTGTTGTTTCATGAGAGCTAACCATTTATTTTTCTTATTCTCTTATTTTTACATAGGTTTATAGTTAGGTTATAGCTTACTATAAATTGACAGGTTGCTGTTGCAAGGAACACATGCAAATCTTCTATTATATACTAAAATTCCATTAAACTTCCTATAAACACTCTTAAACCGTCATGTGGCACCCTACAAACGCTCCTAAGCTGCCACGTGGCAGAAAAACATCTAACCATCGATTTTCATTTAAATTGGTGGACCCATTCTTTGAACCATTAGATTAGTAAAAAAAACAACCAATCTACCTCTAAACTGGGCCCCACCCTATTTGTATGGACGTTCGTGTAGGTACGTACTCCATACCATCTTATGTTCTTCTCTTTTCACTCTATTATCTTTCTTATTTTCCTTCTATTAGATGGAAAGCAAAATTTATATAAAAACATTTAAGTAACTATAGTATTCTTTTTAGAAACACAAAACAAACGCAGGCATTCACAACACGCGCACACTCATCCCTTAGGACGCACACACGTATACCCTACCCCCTATGAACACCATCGAAAACATTTAAATCATATATGTATTCTTATATGCTTATGTTGTTAGATTATTTATATAGTATCTAAATCATACATGTATTTGATCCGCTTATGTTGTAAGATAATTTATCATTAATAAATTTACAGTTAAAAACCCATATTTACTATAGAAATATGTCATTATTATGGATAAGAAAAACTTGAAATCGTTACAGCGTATAATTATCTTAAAGAAAAAAATTACCTCCTAAAATTGGGCCCACCAGGCATGTATGTACATACGTATGTTACTTTTTCTAAGAAAAAATATGACATCTTTTCTCCCTGTTACTTCTCCTATTTTCATGTTTTATTAGTTAGAAAAGCAAAAAATATTTTTTATAAAATCTAAATCATATAACTAATTTTTATCCGCTTATATCTTATGACTAAATTTACAGTTGAAGAACAAATTTAACTATAATTCAACTTTGAAAAGAAATGTCATTTTGGGTTTTATTTTCGGACTTTTGTGTGTCACTCAGGCAATTATAAAAAATATGAAATAATAATAATAATAATAATCATCATCATCATTATTATTATTATTATATCATCGTACATAACTTCATAATTAAATTAGATCTGCAAAAAAAAGTAAAATGAATATAACTATGAGCAATGCTGACAAACTTATACTAAAAAATAAATAACTATAACATCTAAATCACGTGATCCGTTTATTCTATATTCACTGTAATTTAACTTTTTATATGCCACTTCGGGGTTATATTTTTTTTTAACTTTAGCATGACATTCAAACAATTATGAAATTATGAAAAAAAAATGATATAGATTTTATCGTTCTATATAACTGCACAATAATTAAATTAGATCTATAATGATAGAAGTAAAATGCCAAAAAGACTAAATTGAATTATTTGGAGAAAGTCTAATAAGTTCAGAAAAAAATTAGTTCTTACTTTTTACTACAATTGATGTTTCAATTTCATAACAATTTTTAAATACTTAGATATTAATGGCCTTACATCTATACTATACCATACCATAGCATTATGAGTTTTTCCACATATTATTACATATATAAGAAGCCACACTAAGGTTGCAGTGTATGCTAAGTATGTAATAACTTGCGTCAATAAGAACCAACCAAAAGGATGACTAACTTGATTCTACAAATAAAACATATTTATTAATAATAATAGTTTTTTATTTGTTCAAAAAATTCTACTAAACATTCAATTAAATAAGACAAAACACCTTACTTTTAAATTATAAATGTTTCCTAAACAAACTAAATATAGCTCTGTACTGAAGAAATCATAGATAATTATTTATTGCGATGTTTTAAATATCATATATTTTAAAAGCTAACAAATAGTTTGGAAAAATTATCTAAGCAATGCGATGTAGAAAATTTATTGAGAAATAGTGCTTTTTAAACATGGCATGTATCATCTGGTTGATATTCCGTCTATATAAGTTTTTCAAACGCAATCTACTATACATGCCCGCACATCGCGCGGGCTACCTTTCTAGTTAGTAAAATTGTTGCTACCATTATAGAGAGAAGCATCATGCATGGCTGCTAGCTAGCTATATAGATTGAGATCTAACCGATCAAGTGACCGAGATTTAAAAATTAACAAATCTCAGTTTGCATTAATTATATATGGATCACTACTTACAAAATTAATCAGAAGATAACAAAAGAAAATTATCCAGCTAACCAGAAACGCCCAAACCTCTAACCTCAAAGATGCCGTCTGCATTATGTAGATTATAAATTTTAGTTTATATATATATATACATTCATGACTGCTATACCTAAGTTGAGCATCTCTTACTTACTCAATACTATACTATCTAAAATTTCAATCTGATTTTATATGCGCAGTTGAAGGCATCAAACACTTAGTGTTTACTCGCATATTCGATCGTCTGGTAAGAAATTATCTATGGCAGTTGTTGGAAAATATTATATACAATATAACTAAGTCAGGTCAACTGCACATGGTTAAGATAGTTAATATATTTTCATCTTAATCTTATAATTGTATCAAGACAACATCCATCCAAGAAGAGGTGATCTGTACGCTACATGTTTAAGAGAATATCCGTTCGATATGTCCTATTTCAAAGTCAACACTAGATCACTACGTCTCTACCAACGCGTGAAGCAATCATAGGCTGTTAATTAGGAGCCCCTCTATATATGCGATAATTAAGCAAATAATAAGGCAATTAATGGAAGTTATATATACTATATCCTAAGTGTCACATTTCTCTCTGTTTTTTTTTTAGTAACTTCAAGCACAACTTGGACGAACATATATATAGTCTTAACATCTGCATAATATTATTATGCGCAACTAGTTGACATATCTGTTCTGTTAGCTTCAAATTCAAACAAACATCAGTATATGCTTTGTTCAAACTTAGCCATCCTATGTGTTCCCTCGTCACCATTGGATAATTCATGTGTCAACTATAATGATGACTTCGACAATGACTATAATGTACTCTATCTCGTGCAATTTGCAAGGTTAATTGATTGGATGATCATTTCGTCGAATATAATGACAAATATGAACTGAGCTATCGAGAACCAAACACTTCCAACATTTGCATAGAACATATCGATCGAGAGTCGAATGCATGGACACATTGCTTACTTAGCTACACACGTACTCCCTACATTTTTAATAGATGGCGTTATTAACTTTTGGTATAACATTTGATCATTCATTATATTAAAAAATTAGTGTAAATATAAAAACATATAAATCACACTTAAAGTTTCTTTATAATAATAAACTAAGTCAAAACAAAATAAATGACACTTATATTAATTTTCAAATATAATAAAAGATCAGATGTTATGTCAAAAGTAAACGGCTTCTCCATCTAATAAAAATAGAGTTAATTAGTCTATGATATTAAACTAATCCACCACTATAATAAATGGAGCCTAATTCAAATAGCATTGTTTGCAATTCCGGTTCGAAATATCGGAACTCCCCCTTCCCTAATACGAAACCATTTTGACCATTAATATCATTTTTTCAGTTGTTTGTGAATTAAGCAAAATTCATTCAAATCAGTCAAAAAATTATTCAAATTTCAAAAAAGAAAAAAAATCAATCTACGCGTGCGATCATGTTAAGCAGCCCGTCTAGGAAGACTTGTCTTCATGTGCGGTTTGGCCGCCCGCACGCGAAGATGGTGATCTTCGCAGACCCTTTAGGCATACTGGCCGCACACGAAAACGTGTTTCGACCGTCTGTAAAAACCGTTTCTTCAATTCTATAGTGCTAGCTGCCATGCTACTGACCTGTAGAAGAGCACGGAGGGAGGGAACTGGTAGTAGACGCCGAAGGAGTGGCCGGCGTCGTGGAGGGCGTCGAAGATGGTGCGCTGCGGCAGGCCGGCGCGGAGCTGCTTGCCGTCGTTGCTGACGAGGCCGTGCGACGTCGCCGAGTGGACGAACATCCGGTTCGGCTGCGTCGACGTCGGCACCGACGCGAACCACCGGTCGCACACGGCGAACTCCCGCACCAGCTCCCGGTACACCGGCACCTTCTCCGGCCGGAACCCGTTCATCACCGTGCTCGACATGCCGGCGCGCTCCTTCTCCGCCTCCTGCGCGAACCCGCTCATCGGCGGCGAGGGCACCCCCGGCTTCGTCGCCGGCGAGGTGGTCCCCCACGTGTAGGCGTCGCCGTACACCTGCTCGTAGATGGCCTGGAACGAGTGGCCCGGGTCGGGGTCCACGTACCCGGAGCCGTCGCCGAAGTGGATCGCCGGGGAGGAGGGGTCGCCGGCGGTGGCGCGGTTGAACTCGGCGCCCGTCACGCCGTCGATCTCCGGGTTCAACGACTTCATCCACCCCAGCATGTGGTCGAAGGAGCGGTTCTCCTGGACCAGCACCACCACCGTCTTGATCTTGCCCGCCATGGCTGGCGTCGAGGCTGGGATTGGAAGAGGGAAGAGGAAGATAAACGATCGAGGATGGCTTATTAGCTAGAGCTCAGTGGCGAGCTGATAGTAGCTGCTTCTATGTGTATTTATTGGCGGCTCTCGTGTGGTGGAGACGTGTGAGATGCTGCTAAATACAGTATGTACAAGTAGTCTCATTTTGTTAATTAAGCAAATCCTTGCAATTGCTGAGGTGACATGATTAATTATTAGTACGTCGTAGTAGGTTGTTATGTTCATTAAAAAAAATTACTGTATTAGGTTATTATGTACAGCGTACTCTTCTCATGTTTATGTTTGAAAGTAGAGGAAAGAAGAATACTCCCTCCGTCCCATAATATAAAGAATTTTGAATTTTTGTTTGTATTGTTTGAACACTCGTCTTATTTAAAATATTTTTAAAATTATTATTTATTTTTTTACTTACTTTATTATCTAAAGTATTTTAAGCACAACTTTTCGTTTTTTACATTTACATAAATTTTTTGAATAAGACGAGTGGTCAAACAGTGCAAGCAAAAATTCAAAATCTCTTATATTATGAGACGGAGGAAGTACTGGAAGACACGTAAAATAAGGTGTGCCATTAATATATACTCCCTCCATATTTATTTTTATGATGCTAGTTAGTTCAACATCCTTTATTTAGAGAAGGAGGTAGTAATTAATTAAGTAGGTGTATTAATTATTTCAAACTTAATAAATAAATAATTTTTTAAAGGAATATTCCTATAGAAATTGATGAGGATCTAAGAATACCTTCACCTTCAACTTCAGCAACAACTCTTATTTCTTTCTCTTTTGTTTCAACGTACACTCTATACTATGCCTAGTTTAACAACACAATAATTCAAATATGCTTCCACGTATTATTTAGCCACTCATTTTAAATTATTTGTTAAGTTAAGTTTTTAAAACTTCAATTCATCCATATAGTTCTAGATAATCCGTGGCAATAGGCCGGAGTACTAATGTACTTGTACAGGGCCTAAATAGACTTTTTCCCTAAAAATATTATAGGCCCTTGGTGGCCCAAAGTTTTGCAGGCCTCGGTAAGCCCAGTACTAAACTGTTCGGCCTTCGCTGAGTCTATGGGCCGTGTGCTTTTCCGATTCTAATTCAGTTTTCGGACGCGCGCGGCGTGCGAAACAAGAAGAGAAGCCGTTGCGGCGGCCAAAATTCCCCAATTCCCAAATTCTAGGGTTCGCCTCTTGCACCGCCACGCATCAGGAGCACACGCCCACATGAAGATGAGGGCGGCGGTGGCCGACGGCGACGGCGACGACGACGGCGCCGGCGCGCCCGTCCAAGTCAGCGTGGACCCCGCCGCCTACCGGGACTGGTCCGCGCTCCCGGCCGACCTGCTGCTCACGGTGATGGAGTCGCTCGCCATCCCCGACCTCTTCCGCGCCGGGACCGCCTGCGCCTCCTGGTACGCCGCCTACTCCATCGCCCGCCGCGCCCGTATCCCCATACGGGATTCGGCTCCGTGCTTGCTCTACTCCGGCGAAGGCGACGACGACCCCAGCAAGGCCACCCTGTACAGCCCCTCGAGCGGGGACTGCTTCCGCGTGCGGCTCCCGGACCCGCCGCTCCGGAGCCGCAACCTCGTCGGCTCAGCGCACGGCTGGCTCGTCACCGCCGACGAGCAATCCAACCTCCACCTCGTGAACCCGCTCAACGGCGCGCAGGTCGCGCTCCCGCCCGTCACGGCCCTCCACCATGTGGAGAGCTTCGTGGACGAGGAAGGGAACATAGTGTATAGTGTTGATGAGTCTCTGGGGCCCGACGATCCAGAAGCCAATCTCCCCGAATTCGAGGAGCTCGCCGACCGGGAAGTCCCCGTGGAATACCCTGCGGAGAAGCTGCGCCTGTTCATGTACCACAGGGTGATTCTATCCTGCAGCCCATCCGTGGGGAGGGAATGTGTTGCCCTGCTGGTGCACAGACCGGATGGGATGATCTCCTTCGCCCGACCGGGCGACGAGAGATGGACCCATATCAACCGGACAACGAGCAATGGATCGCTCAAATGGGATACCGGCTATACCGATGCGCTTTACAACAAGAATGATGGCTTGTTCTACCTGTTGAGCTTTGACGGTTCTATATGCGCGTTGGATCTAAGTGGGTCAAGTCCAGTTGCGAGGAACATTGTGAAGAAAAATACACAGTGGGATAATCCTAGCAAATACATTGTGCTGGCACCATGGGGCGATCTCTTGGAGGTGTGGAGGTTGAGAGACTTTGATGAACCTGATGAAACTCCTGAATGTTCTTCTGCTGAGTTTGAGGATCGATCTGATAAGTGGTTAACAGAAGAAATTATGCTATATAAAGTTGATATCGATAAGCAGAAACTTGTTAAGATAAGCAGCATCGGGGATTATGCTCTGTTCCTTGGTTTCAATTCTGTGGTGTGCCTTCCAACAGAGAATTTTCCTATGTTAAAACCTGATTGTGCTTATCTTTCTGATGAATTTTATGAAGAAATATGTGTCAAGAGGCATAACTGGCGAGAAATAGGCATTTGGGATTTGAAAAATTGCAAACTGCAGAGCCTTGGTGATGTGGAGTCTCTTCATGCTTGGCGTAATTGGCCATCGCCTATTTGGATAACACCATCTCTTAGTTAGAAAGATGTGGGAGATTTTCATGTATTAGGAGCTCCAATATGGATATCATTAATCGAAAAGAGAGATTTATGATGAACTGATGATAGCCCAATACTCAATTTGGTTCTGAAATGATTCTTGCTCCTGTACAATAAAAGCTGTAGTAGTTATTATTCTTATCTTAAAGCTCAGCAGTTTGCTGCACCCTTGTTCATTCCATTGCTATTCTTGTGCACATGCCTTCAACACCTCAGCACATGCCCCCGGTAAACCTCTCCTTCCTCGTTTTCATGTACTTTCACCGTCGTTGGATGTTACTGCTGCTTTGCTTCTTTTTATTTCCTATCAATTACTCTTTTTTCTTCGTTGTTGGTGTTGTTCCCTCCCTTTGCTTGTGGGCCGTCCTGTCAGTTACTCAAATCATCACTTAAGAGAATATCCCCTCATTTTTGCATGTCACTTAAAGCTTAAACAAAAAAATTTAAAAAAACTAGTACGATAGAACAATATATGATAGGTCACTTCATAAACATGCAAATTTAAATTCAACTTATACAAGTAGAAACAAAAATAACAAATTTCACTATGAAGTGAATGCGTAATTCACGGTCACATTTGTTATTTTTGTTTCAAATTGTATAAGTCAAATTTTAACTCGCATGTTTTCAAAAAGATATATCATATATTGATCTATCTTGATATTTTTTCAAAAAAATTTGATAACTTTTTGAACGACACGCACAAAATGAGGGGATGTCCCCTCGAGGAACAAAAATCCACTTCCGAGTTTGATTGACATCATTCGTTGTTTTTTAGACTCTACTACCTTCCATTTTTCATTGTCCCACTTGTCTGTAAACTGTTGCCTTTGTCTTCCTTCTTCTGCTTCTGTTTATTTCCTTGTTGCAATTGTTTGTTGTGTGCCGTCGCAAGCCCCCTGGTAGTTTTCCTTCTCTTTACTCCTTTCCTTTCTTTGCAAGCTCTGTCACTTCTTCTGTCATGCTTGCTCGGTTGCTCCGCATCTTCATGATGCATTCTTAAGATCTCCCTCCTCTCTTGCTCTCATCACTCTCACTGGCAGTGCTTCTCCATGTTTAAGTTGCTATATGTGACACGGCACTCACAGAGAGTGCCCTAGAAGGGAAGGGGGAGGACTCGGCATGGTGGTGGCCCGTGCTGTTCTACCGGACGAGAGGGCAGCTTGTGGCCATGGCTTTTGATTTGAGCCCAGTGGGATAGATGAGGAGGTCTCCCCAGTGGTGGAACATAGATCAACTGTCATCCTGTCATGCCCACATCCCTTCTCTTAATCTCTCCATAGATTGCTGGTTCTTATAGTTCTTTTTTTGATGGTTTGATTTGGATTGCTTGCTCTAATGTTTGCTGATTTGCTCTATAGGGTGTCTTTGGTGGTGTTCCTTAAGTAACTCGCAATGGGGATATAGGATGCCTGCACACAGAGCAAGATCCTGAGGATGAAAAAGGGACAGATAGAAAAAACTATTGTGAAATCTAATTTTGGTGTATTGTAACTGATTGTAAGTGCTATGTAATTGAGTGTAAATCCAATGTAACCGAGTGTAACTACAAGTTGGATATACCAGAACACGAATCTTGATGCAATATCCTAAGGGTGAAAAAGTGAAAGATAGAAAACCAAAAATCCATTGCAAGTGAACTAAAAAATCTGTTTTATTCTTATGTTTTTTCCCGTCGGTCCTTTGGGGGTCTTGCATGCGCCTTGGGCCGTGGCCTTGGCACGTGGGTTGACATGGCATGGCCCGACCCACTACAGGTGCCGTGCGGTTGGCGGGCCAACCGTTCGGGCACCTGTAGAAGCAAAGAAAAAAAACCGGTCACACGACACCTCCCCCATGCATGAACCCATCCGAATCTTTGCCTCCCTCCCTCTCTCCCTGTCTCCCCTCTTCCTCTCTCTTGTCAGGACTTGGCCAAATTTGAGTCCAAAACATAAAATTTCAGAGAAAATTAGGCTAGTAGCTACTTAGTAGGACCAAAAGTAAGGGAATTTCATTAAAATGGGAAGCAAACATAACAGAATTGAGATGGGTGCTACAAGGAGTTCGCTGATCTCAAAAAACTCGATGGCTTATAAGGAGTTCGCTGCGGCTACGCGACAAAAGAGATGGCGATAACGCTATGACAATGGATCCTCTGTAGAAAGACTTGGAGCATCCCAGGCCATTCGATCCTCATAACACACTCTTGCGAACCATTTTCCTTAAATCTCAGTCGTTCATTCGCAACCATAACTTTCCTTGTATTCTCCACCTTGCTTCAGGATCCAGACTTTAGTTCTAGGCTTCAGTTTTAGAACCTGACAATGCCCCCCTTTAAGACCACATGTCCTCGTGGGTGAAAAACATGAAAAACTTTGGAGATGAAGGTTGCATCTTCCTACGTAGCTGCTAATTCAGGTAAGTTGGTCCAATGGATCTTCCATTGAACGACCGACTCATTGTTGTGAGGAATGAGTCTACGCTCCAGGACAGCTAAGGATGCCGACAATATATTCCCATCAGGATCCACCAGAGGCAAGCTAGATTCTGGAAAAGCTTTTGAGCCCAAATGCTTCTTCAATTGACTTACATGGAAGACATGATGAATATGGCAATTAGTGGGTAACAAAAGACGATAAGCCACTGATCCAATCTTTTCCAGAACACGAAAAGTACCATAGTATTTGGAATGCAGTTTGAAAGAATTGTGGATGCCCAATGGCATTGTGGCTGTAAGGTTGTATTTTCAGGTAAACCATGTCACCAATGTCCAGAGTTTGTTCACTGTGTTTTTGAACAGCAAAGTATTTCATTCTTGCTTTGATTGATTCCACTATAGTAGCCTTAGCTTGTGCTTTGTCATGCATACCTTCACTAAGAGCAGAATGAATGAGGAACTCACCCAACAGTGGTGGAATAGTACCATGAAGAGCTTGGTAGTGAGACATGCCCAATGAGGTGTGAAAGTTAGTGTTGTACCACCACTTGACCTGTGCTAGGAGTGATTTCCATTTCTTTGGTTTATTTAAAGTCAGAAATATTAGGTAGTATTTCTCAGCTTTTCTTGACATTCATCATCAAAAATAGGGAAATCAATATGCTTTCGGTCGTTCTGGTAATAGTGCACATGGCGGTGAGGTGGTTCATCAAAGGCTTGACCTTGATACGACCTGCGATCCAATGGAATAGATGGATCCCACATGGGCCATGGTGGTTGTGGCTGATCAGGGTGAGATACCCATGGTTGTGGATAGGTAGGGTAAGATGGGTAGTAATATGGTGGATATAGTGGCAATTGGATATTGCTCATAGGAGTTCTTGTGTTGTAATTCCATTGTATAGGACTATGGAAGGTTGGCTGCTGAAGGCGTCCCATATGCATGGGTTGGTAGGTTGGGGGTAGTGGTAGTGGTGTTGAGTGAAATGGTGGTGGTATTGGTAGAGTATGGAAGTACACTGAAGCATTCCACTCTAGTGTCGAAGTGGTTGGAAATGCAGGTGGTGATGTTTGTTTAGACAAAGTAGAAGTTGATAAAGCACAGTTAGCATGCCTAAGATCAAAGACTTCATGTTTAGTTGGTTTAGATGGTTGTTTATCACTCCTCTTAGCTGGTTGAGTCACTGATTGTGTATTACCTGTAAACAAGAAAATTGTATCACCTCTCGCCCTTACAACTGGAGAAAGTCCAATATGTCCTATATAAACCTGTCTCACCTCTCGCCCTTGATAACTAGAGAAAATCCCAATATGTCCTAGATAAACTTTAGACTATGTATCACTTCATCCTTGTTAGCTTGGGCCTGGGTGTCACGCCCAGAAATTCCCAAATAGAATTCCAAGCAGAATGTGCATTATAATCCCCGTCCAGGACCAGCCGGGGTACACAAACGACAATGTTGACATTCAGATCCACGTCTTACAAACATCATAAAAGTCTTACAAAAATGCAGCGGAAACAAAAGATAACTGGAGCTAAGCCTTGACTAAACTGCAGCGGGAACACCACTCCACAGGCATCCTCGACGGCACGGACGAAGCCTACTCCTCGGGGAAACCTTCATCTGACACAAACCCGTCCTCTGGGGTTGGGAAAAGTAGAGCAAGACTGAGTACTACCCACTGTACTCAGCAAGTCATACCGGAATAGGAGTATGATGCAGGGAATTAACAAAGAAGAGCTAGAGTGGTTCATTTGCATAAATACTGGCATTTAAAAACAGGAATTGAATGCGAAAACGGTTGTAATAATTAATTAGTATTAAACATCCACTGTCCAACGCTAACCCACGTTGCGACAGGCCCAACCGTCCACCTAAACTATCCAAATTCAAAAGATTACCCTAGGGTGAGACTAATCACGGTGAATCTGGTTGACCGCCCATAACCGCGGGCACGGCTATTCGAATAGTTTTACTCTGATCAGAGGTGTACAACTGTACCCACAAGACACAGCCCCACGACACGTTTCCGTGCGCCGACATGCCACCACGACATCCCGGAAAGAGGCTGTGACAGGACCATTCGCATAACCCCCTCTAACCAAGCACACCACACCTCAGGTTTCACCCCCACTCCTCGCAAGGCAGCGGGCAGTCCCCTCTCGTGCCTAGGTGAATCCGGAAGCCGCATAGACCGTCGCAGGGCCCATCCAAACTCCATCACGCCCACCCTTGCCTGGATGCGTCGGCTAGAGGAAAGCTACACTACAAGCCCAGCCGTTGCCCACGCTGGCTTGTGGTAAGTACGATAAATTCTTCCAGGGCATCCCGTGAACCGGTCCTTAACTGCCATGGGTGCGACCAGCAAAACCATGCACCCACAGCCCACCATGTGATTCATTTTATTTAACCAACACCAGAGCGGTGGTACTAATCCAACATTACCATTAGAACCAACAGTCTAAACATTAATATGATTTTCCCCATTGTGAACTAGTTGAACTAAGCATGGCTAAGCAATTACTAGTCCAAACTCTAATCATGTTATAACCCCAAGCTAACAAAGGAGCATGGTATCAAAATAGCATGGCTGTAACAATAGGTAACCATCCCATAGTAATATTGCAAAACAAATGCGGTATTTGAAAGAAAACATTAGGACATTTGCAATATAGGATCAATATGATCAAGTGACAAGCATGACTTGCCTTGCTCTGCTGCTGGAGGAACCTCGGCGACTATCTCGAAGTACACCGGAGCGTCGGAGAAATCGGAATCTAACGACATACAAAGCAAACATTGCAAACAGGCTATAAGACTACTGAAACAGGGAACAAAACCATTTTTAATGGATTCTACACATTTTTCTTGATTTACTAAGACTTGAATGGGATTAAACGGAGCTCGGATGAATTAGTTATGAATTTTAGAAGATTCACTGTGTTTATTACTATAACAAAAATCCTTAAATAATTT